CCCAGCGCTCCGCGCCGCACAATGGAAATTTCTTATTTTTCTGGGCAAAAAGATTTATAGGAACTGCCGGCGGCGCAGCCACTTGAGAAGCAAACAAAAAACGAAAGTCCAAGTGCTACAATAATATAAGATCTTTCTCCAGATTTATAGGCCCATCTATGGAAACAATTGAAAAGTACTCATGGACAATATTTTCCCTTTCTTCAATTGGGGGGCGGGGGATCTGGGAAATGCCACCGTTCTGGTGGCAGCCCGGATAAACCCCCCCCATTTTTGGTATCGCTTAATGAAATCGCACAAGACCCGAACTGAAGATGGTCATTAATTTGACGGCCCTGCCAGCCCATTTGAAACGTAACCCGTAGGAAATTACTGCTCATCCGGTAATTATTGGTCTTGGGATCTTGATAGATCGATCGACGGGCTGATACTCGGCTTTATTTTCGGATGCAGCCAGCGTCTTCACACCGCCAACGGCTCTGATAGATCTTCATTTGGGAGCCGCTTGTTCACAGGTGTGTCGGTGGAATGTCTAAACATGGCAGCCTCGATCATCGCCATGAGAATCGCGATTTTTAGTCTCGTTGGGCTTTTGGGGACCTACTATTCACCAGCCTTCGAGTTCGAGACTTCTCCATTTCACCAGCAGCCAAAGTAAATCATTTACCCGTGGCCTCAGGCCAGCGAGGCTTCCCTTTCCTTTTCCCAAAAAGGTAAACCTTTTTCTGGCCTTTGCCCTTCGGACATCATCAAGAAAAAAAGTGAAGGCAATTGTAAAAATATATATAGTTTTCTGGCCAACATTTATCAAGAAAAAATTATAAATCCACCCCCCTGCCGGCGCCCATCTCGCATAATCTAAATGAATTTTTTTAGTTTCGCTTTCTAATTAATTGCATTAGCTGCGGTGGACGCCTACACAAAACGTTTTCGATGTAAAAACGTTTTCCCTTTTTAATTTTCGCCAATTAAACGGCTGCACAGTCGAACCTTGATTACCGGCCAAATAAATAAGTAAATAAAAAATGAGAAAAGAAAATACACATCAGCGAGCTGGAGAAAAAAGCGGTGACGGAAGTCAAATGGATTCTGTGAAAGGTGCAAAATTTTTATGGAGAGCCGCCAAACAAACAATGTGCAGAAAAAACGCACCTAATGAAGACGAAAGTCGTTGCGCAAATGGAATTAAATTAAAATGGCATCAAAAGGAAATAATAGTGCAATTAGACGTGGCCCAGCTGGCCAATTCGACCACCAACAAAGTCGGTGTTTAAACAAAGTTCGAAAATAAAGCCCACAGCGAAATACTCTTCATTAATCTAGTTAAAAATATGAAGTCTTGATGTCTCAGCTGGTAGAAAAAAGAAAATTAAAGAATATCATATAAACTATAAACCCAAATTATAATAAACATATCTATAAAATAATAATTGTAAAAGTAAAGATCTTTAAGATTGTAAGTTTATAATTGGGAAGTTAAGATGTCATTTTGTAATATTGTTAAACAAATTATAAACAGAGCTACATCAAAATTTAGTTGAAATAGGTATAATTATTTATAAATTTATAGATATAGGTATATTAAATAATAATGTGAAATTTATACCATTATTCTGTTTAAATTGGTGAAGTTAAGATGTTAAAGATTTCAAGTTATAATGGGGAAATTAAGATGGCATTTTGCAATATTGTAAAACAGATTAATATACCTATTTATAAAGATATATCTATAAATTGAATAGTTTATGGGACTTATGTGACACTAGTATTACCAAACCGATAGCAAAGCCAATGAACTCTTAGTCTGCCCCGAAAACCGTGCCAAAAGTTTCGCCCATTTCTCTAATCGCGAGCGGACCCGACTCGTTTGCCAGTTTATTGAATAACATTTGCGTAATTAAAGGTGTGCGAAAAGAAACCGAAATTAAATCATAGGTGTACCATCTAGCTGCGGATTTGCCCGAGGGGTCTTGACTCGAGGAGACCCTTTTTCCGGCGGCCATTAACACGCGCTAATTGAAAGCGCAAGTTGTCAACCGGTGGCGTATGCGTGATTTGTTGTCGTTTTAGAAAACCAAACTTACGCAGTTAGGTAGCAGGGAATACTTATATTTGAGGGGAGGGTAGTCCTGGTAGTCACAGCCAACATGTCATACATTGGCTTAACAATCATTGGCTGTATGTCATTTGTACTTGCTGCTGTTAGCCGCTACTCACTTTCATTTGTTATGCCGAAGTTTCTTTTCTCTCTGGCCCTGTCTTGTTTGGCTTAGTGGGCAAACATGGCTCGCAACTTGCTAAAAGTGAAATTATTGCCTTTTCAATTAGTCACAGATCCCCAAATACCGATCCGCTGAGCTACTGAACTCCCGCGTTTGAAGTTCGAACCCTTTGAAGATGGCAAATGGAAAGCCCCGCCAAGATGAGTTTTTGGTTCAATTTGCGGGTAATAAATCATAGAAACATGTTGACGCCTCATTTTGATTAATTGGGTCCTAATCCCAGACAGCCCGGAGACCAGAGACCATTGACCAACAGCTCACAACAGATCGGCATTATGAACTTGATGGCTTTCGATTTCAATCGCCGCCGCTGAAAGCAAAAAATTAATGGCAGTTAATAAACTGTAAGGGGAAACACGGCGAATTGGCAATTTGGTAGGCGTTGACATGGCAACATCCCTGTAATGTTGGCCAAAATCGAACCTTCACTTTCCGCCGTCGCTGGAAATTGAATTTCTCACACTTGTCGCTCACTCAGCGATCATTATGTTGATGTTTTCATCGATCGCTCAGCCAGCCCCCTGTCGATATTTCTGCTTAGTCTGCAAATTACTTGGCCAGCTGTGAAATAGAAATTTTGACGGCTCATCATTGAGAGATATCTGTATGCTTATCGAAAATCAAGTGGCCATTGCAATTAGCATGATAAAATGATGAACTTTTGCATTAAAGAAATTGCAAAATCAATTATGACCCATCTCTAAAATCTCTATAATGAGGATCGCAAAGACTGGATAAAATGGTAAATAATACCTAAATGATTTTTAAATCATTACATTTTACACACTTTTCTGTTCTGATTCCATATAAAAAATATTAAAAACATTCAAACAAACAAAAACCTTGATTCTCTTTGTTTATGTTCGCTTATGAACTAAGATCAATTTGTCTGATGGATGTTGCCTTCAAACCCTCGACTAGCGGTTATATAACCCAATATTACCTGGTCAAATGGGTGGCGGCATCTGAAACAGATGCGATCGAAGAATGGATTTGTATATTTCATCATTTGGTGTGCGGATCGTTGGGTTCGCCCCGTTGCCATTTGTTTAAAAGTTCGTTTTTGGGTTTTGTTATTGCTTGATTTTGGCACCTTCTTGGGCGAGCTCCATTGTGCAGGAGAAAGTCAACGCTTCGCAGGGTCTTTGTCTTTAGATACCATACCGTTGATTATGCTAAAATCATTTAAAATCGTTCATAATTCGGCGCATTCGTGGCTCTGGGGTGTCGTAATACCGCATCTAATGAATCATGGGAAGGCGCTCTCAATGAGAAAGCCATCAACTCCAATCCCAACTGGTTCTGGCCTGGCTTAGTCCACCCACGTGACCGGCATGTCCAAATCAGCCGGAGACCGCGGCTCTCGCTGCGTTTTCCATTTCGATGGGCTGACCACGAGAAAATAAACAAAAATAAACCGAGAAATGCAGAGAAAAAATATATTTACATTGTACAGACAGAAAAAGAAACATTAAGTGAACAGAAAAAAACGGCAAACGGCGACAACAATAACGAAAGTGAAATTCTACGCAAAGATCGTGATGGCGGAGCGGGGTCCACGCTTGGCCAGTCAGCAGTGGAAGCAGCCTGGTCAGGCGTTTACCCCCGACATCATAATGGCCACCAGGCCAAGCCCAGCCCCAGCCAAGAAAGCCAAACAATAACAAACCACTGTCGCCGCCGCATTTTCCAGCCCCGTCTCATGTGCGCGCAGTGAAATTTGGGTCAAGGAAATGCCAATCGACAGGTTGCACCTCCTCGCCGCAAGTCGCAAGTGGCCACATGGCCAGATGTTGGCCACGATGACCGTTATTAGCCGCCAACTTTTGCCGGTCTTTTGCGGGCCACTAATTGCCAGGCTCGGGAGGGGAATAACCTTCCCTGACCCGCTGCGTTCCAATGCAATTCACGTGAATGTGTAGCAACAAGGAAAAATCGCACTTTTAATATTCTCGAGATCAGCTTTGCATTTATCTGTTAAGGTTAGGATAAAGTAATTTAATTTAATGTATAACATAAGGTATTTACTAGAGCCCTTTTAATATTCCTATGGCGAGATCAGCTTTGTATTCAACTGTTAAGGTTAGGATAAAGTAATTTTATTTAATGTATAATATAAGGTATCAACAGTTTGTTCAAATAATTATAATTCGAAACATACGTAACCCTTAAGTCAATAGATGATTGGAAACATCTCGTTATTATTTAATTATAACCAATAAATCCTTTTCACAGTAATACATAAATTTTTTTAAAGATTATCCCTATCTTGTGAGCTTAAAAAGATTAATTGACGTTACATTTTAAATTGTTTATTTATATGAGCAAACCATTTCAGGAACTTAGGGTAATGTTATTACCTCAAATTAATAATGATATACTTTATCGAGTCTAAATGCCATTTTACACAATACACCTAATACATAAAACCTTCATTAAATAATTGATTACAATACATATCTGTTAGAATAGCATAATACATTTTTTTTCCTTATTCATAATTTTTCCTCATTTAAGCCTCATTATTAATTTGTATTTAAAGAACTTTCAAATGGGATTAATCAATAGACTTGGCCAATTGATCTGGTCACCTGGATCGCTGCAGGCGAAAGCCATCCCATCCCGGTAACAGCGGGCGGCACTGTTAAGCGGCACCGGGATCGCAACGCTCTTAACTGCAAGGCCGCGCTGTATAGCGATTCAGTTGGATTTGAGGTGCGCACGCGTACGGACGGCAAGAGTAAACGAAAGAGAGGCGACTGGGAGAAAGAAAGCAGGCGGCGAAAACAGGAATCGCAGATCGGTGGCAAAAGCAACAGCTCAGCAGCAGCACAGCGGCTGAAGAAGAAGCCGAGCAGACGCCGAATTAGAAATGTTTACCATTTAAGCGACGCCTAATAGAAATACTCTCACGTACCGCTCGCGGCTCTCTCCTCTCGCGAACGCGCTCTCCCGCGTTAAAGTGAAAGTTTTCCACACAAAAGTGGCGAAGGTCCGTTATCTTGGCCGCCGTTCGGGCCAAGTCGCAATCAGACAGTCAGACACACGCGGAGCGTTCAGTCGACCGGACGCTTGGTCGCTGATTTGAGCCATAAGCTTCAAGATATAAGATATAAGATATAGAGATACCCGATGCCCAGATACTATATGTGGTGCAGTGTGTTAGTGTTTTGGTGCGAGCAACGGTAAATTCGCAGCTAACCAAAGAAAGTGCGGTCGTCGCAATTAAGTCGAATTGAATTGTAATTGAAATCGGTATCGAAATCGCAATCAGAATCAGAATCAGAGTCGGAACTACAGTTACAACTTACTTCGCGTTCGTCGCCTAAGTCTTTCGTTTAGAGCGCGCGCTTCGTTAACGAATTGCCCGATTTTTGGTGGCGATTTCGAAACATTAAACGAGGCTTCAAAAACATAACGCTGCCAGACGGTCTAGGCCAAGAACTCCCCGCAAGTGTCCAGTGGCCAGCAGCAAACATGTTTAAGTGGGTTACGCCGGCCTCAACGGCAACGTTGTCCCGCTGCACACCAACAACAGCAATAGCAATGGCAACAGCAACAACGAGAACAGCAACGACAACGACAGCGACGAGAACAACAAAACCACAACTACTTTCCATCGCTTTAACAAGTTTAATAATAATAGTCGCATCATTTGTGCCGACAACAAGTGGATTTAGATCAATTGAAACGAATGGCGGTAAGTGACAGACCATTTAGCCCATTGAATCGATGAAAGGCAGAAGCACGGAGAGAAGAAAGTTTAGGCACACACAATAAAATGTAGAATTATGGCAAAGAAAATCAATTTGCCAAATTGCAAGCTCATGTCGCTGCAAATCGAATCGTGTCAGTGGCTTTTGCTGCCTCACTTAGCCATCCCCATACACATCCCCTTCCCCTCCACACCGGGGGCTTTCACTCAATGTCTTGGCCTGGCCAAGTTGACAATGCTCATGGCAAAAAAATAAAATAAGCTACACACATATGTATGCCTTTGTGTCAATAAATGAATCAGAAAAACTTTGGCACAGAAAACTGCGACTGTGGCTGGTGCTCTCTTCGAGTGACTTTCCACACTCCACGCACTTGGCAATTATTTGGTTCGTTTTATGCTACATTACGGCCACAAAGCAGCCACAAAAGACCTCGAGATGCTCGATGCTCGAGATGTTAGACACAGACGTCGACTTTCCTTGTGACAGTTTTTACAGCGATTTAACGATTTTACGAGTGGTTTGCTTCGGCTTTCGGCCCGCAGCATCCCATTGCCGTTAATTGTCGAGGTCATTTGGCTGATTTAAAAAGTGAAACAAATTTCTAGACTACCTGGTTATTAGTTCGAATCGGCACCAACCTGAGCCCATTCAATTCAGATTGAGCCCAAGTGCCGGCGAACAAAAGACTGGAGGTGCAAACTCAATAAAAAGCCAGACACAATCAAATTTTGGGGGAAAACAAATAATCTAGCACCAAAAAAAGAATCAAACTTCTTTCACATGAGAGATTTCACACACCATTTTCATTTCTTTAGCATCATTAAATTGGTGAAAACAGTCATAAGTATGTTGTTAAGATATTATGGCCCCAAGAAAAATCATTGTGTAGCACATCAGAGCTCAGAGCTCTTATAAGGTGGATCTTTTATTTGTGCAGCTTACGCTGCAAAATCCACCTGCAGCCCTTGCAAGTCCTTTGATAAACACTCTTGTAAACAGCTTTTCTATAATAATAAGAGGAGTGTTCGAAGTCTGTTGTACCCTTGAAATTCCAATGTAAAAAGTGTATGGATGAATTTTAATTAAATTTAAATAAATTACAGAAAAAAAGTTAAAGAACTGTTTACTCATTTACTTATTTCGCAAACCTTCAGTTGAGCTATCAAAAGTCCCACAATTATTATGACTTCTTGGGATGCAATGGCTTTTCTTTGAGCTCTTTTTCCCAACGATTCCCTTTGTTCTTTTGCCCGCCTAACCATTTCCCAAAGGTTCGGGGAAACAAGAAGAGAAAATCAATACTTCCGCTCGCCAGCAGTCGCAGAACTGTGCTGCGTCAGTGGAAGTCAGGTGGAAGTCAGCAAATGCCAATCATCGGACACATACACACCTGATCATTAGTACGAAACACGTAAAACAATTTTCAATTTCTATTCAAGCGTTGTTTGAACAGAAAGCAAGCCAGGAAAGCAGTTCAGTTCAGTTCAGGAAAAACGCGTGCGAAATGAAAATGTCTTGGCCAGCAGCAACACCACACAGCAAACCACAGCGATTCTGATGGCAGCGTGTGCCAGTTTGCGGCTTTCTTGACGCTGTCAGTCGTGGTTTTAGCCATGGTTTGGCCATGGCCGCTGCACTTGTCGACTGCTGTTGCCTGCAGACTGCAGTTGACTTTGCGGTAATTTGAGACTCGGCCTGCGGGAAGGAAGCTGACTCGGAGAAGCAGATAGCAGATAGACAGCGCTCAATGTTCGATGTTCGTCAGCGATGTAATTTCAAGATCACGTTTTTACCGCTGCCCGATCATCGACTTGGTCAATTGTTGCTCCACATAGATCTCGGCATCTCAGCGACTGGCTTACTGCTTGGCTACTTAAAAATCAATTCATAACTCTTTTCTGCTCGTTTGGCTAATTGTCGCAACCGTTATACGCACACACAATCGGGCCAAGATTCAGTTCTCAGTTTATGCAAATTACGGATTCCATAATTCCACATATTTGTCTCGTTTTCGGACCCCTTTCCCCCACCAGCCACATGCAATTAATGTGAAAGCGACATTTGACTTTCTTCTGGGCCGCAGGGCTAGAGGGCCCAAACGATTTTCCCACAGCCATTTTACACTTCATAAACTTAACGCAATCGCATTAAAACTGTGACAGATCATGAACATCGAGTGCCGGGAGAGCATTTCACCTCGGCCGCGTATGGATTGCACTTCCTACCACCGAGCAGCCGAGTGAAACTACAGTAGAACATCAGTAACATCAATTTGAGACTTGGAACTAATACTTGGTTTCAAACATTTATTGGATTTATAATTAAATCTTAAATGAGAAATAAACTTTAAAAAAATTCTAAAGTGTATAGAATTAGAATGAGAGAGGTTCTGTTATGATGTCAAACATTTAAAAGAGTGGTTATTAGCTTTTCTTTAAAAAAAATATGTATCATGCCCCATCCCACTCGAAGTGATTCGGGTACTATGTTTATGTTGGAAGATACTTGCAAACTTTAATGTAATAAATAAAAAAATAAATAAATATAAAAATAAATAAAAAAAATAAAAAAAAAATAAAAAAATTTTAAATGGGTTAGATAAAATCAATTTAATTTATTGATCATTATTAAATAATTATTTGCTTTTGTTACAAAAAAAACGGTTTGAGTTACAGATGTTCCACTGTAACCTGAACATGTGAATGGAGTCGAAACAGTAGCCACTCAATTGAAATGACTGCCGCGGTACTCACACACATTTGTAGTCTGCTGGCTTATCTTTCAAGCTCATCGGCATTGTTTCAAGTGCTACTGCATGGAGCATAGAGCACAAGGTATGGGGTATCGATGCCGAGCAGTTACAAATTATCGGGCTGTCAACGCTGGCTCGAACCGAAAGATGCGCCCGTCTAACAGGAAATACACGGCAAAGCAAACTTCGAATTTGTTTTGACATGTTTGGCGGTGAAAGTGAAATTCTCCGCTCTGCGCTGGCTTCCGCTGCATGACAGCACACATTCTTCGGTGCCTGGGTTTTCGCATCGAAATCAACCAAACGCATTAAAGTTTGCCCCGATCTTTGTGCATCCATAAAAACGCTTCGAAATTCTGCGGCCGTTTCCGCAGACATTGTAGGCTCATTGCTGGTAAATATCGATGGGGATCGGAATCGGGGAATCGGGGTTATGGCCAAAAATGATGTCATTTATTGCGGCCAGGCAACTTTCACTGCTCATTCACACCGCTCTGTGACAACAGCTCATCGCATTTGATATGATTTTTCAACAAATTGGTTGGCAAAACGTTTCCATTTTGATTTATCTGCGCCGCGAACCTTTTGTCACCCGGAAAGTGTTCAATAAATTTTCCATTGTGCACAATTTTCACCAAATTGAATGTTTGCCGGGTCGCCATTGTTTGGCCGAACAATCAGAGGGGCCCAGAGCATCATGACCTGGCAGAAAGTGACCACCAGAAGAATAATAATGGTAATGAAAACAATACAAAGTCGTGCACACATGTAACAGTGGCAAATGGAACCGCCTCTAAGCGGTGGCCAAAATGATAAAAGCCAGGTTACCACCCAGAAAAAGAGTCTCTTCTCTTGCAAAACGCTGGTGGAGTCACTAGAACCCGTTTCCATCTGAGTCAAGTTGAGCTGGACTCGTGGTTGACACCGTGTGATTACCTTTCTTATTACGGCCAGAAAAGCGAGTTGGCCCCGTGAGGAATGCCTAGGTTATGCCATCAGCAAAAGAAAATGTATTACTCACTAAAATAAAGCATAGAGCAATTTGTATTTATGGTCTTGTGGCTACTAAACTGACCACATTTGACCGCTTGGTCTTAATCAAACCGCAAGTCATAAGAACTACAGATTTGTTTAATTAAATTAATTAATAACCAGTTACTTGTATTTGACTAATTAACCATAAATTAATTTATTGATTTATAAATTAGAAATTCGTAATATATATCTTACATTTTTATACTTAATTTTTATAGCTTGAAAAAGACTCAGCAGAAATAATTTTGTTAAAGATTTTAAAATTGACCATAAAAATTTTTTATACATTTTTATTTTATTTGACAAATCGTTAGAATATTAAGTTTTCTAACTGAAACCTTTTTTCAAATTTTATTCAATTTTTGCAAATTTTTTAAGACTTGTCACTTGCTCATCTCTGATATAGGTTGTCTTGAATTTTTCTTGTTTGGCCAGTGGAAATTACGGTTTCCATTAGAATTGCATGCGTAAAATTCGTACCTACACCTGTGGCCACCTCACTAGTCCCAGTGGCTGTGAGTGGAGACAGACAGCCTGGCACAGGCACATTCACTGTTAGCTTACCGGTCTTTTCGGTCGCCCGTCGCCGCAATTTTATTTGGGTCACTGTTACAATTTACACCGCCGAGGCGGACCATGAAGTGGCCATCAGGCATCAGCTATCAGCCACTGACCACTGGGAATGGGAATGGGAGTGGGAATGGGAAGACACAAGATGCTGTGCCCAATTCGCCACAGCGACACTCGAGCAGATCGGAGCAAATCGATGGAAATTGTAGACGCGCAGAGATCAGCGCGACTTTCAAATCCAATTTTATGTAATTCAAGGTGGATCCCAAGCTCGGGAGTTCGCGTGCAAATCGGTTATAGCCGGTCCTAGTTATATAGCGCACGCCACAGTCCAATTCGCAGAGAGCGTAGTAGAGCATGCAGCGGGTTATGTTTATGCTGATACACTGAAACACTGATACACTTATACCTAAGCAATTCAATTACAATGCGATTAATGGGTATGCCATGTTCGGTTGCGGATCGGCAGCCATATGGAGTGCGGGGATGCGTGATATGCCCGAGCCCAGCGACTTTAGCCGCATCGGATAACCAAATATGCTGTTTAAGCCGAGAAAGGTCAAGACTCTGAGCGAAACTTTCCATTTCTCTCACGCAAAGCAAAGCGGGAACGGGAAATCTTCTTGCGTGATGACATTGCGGAACAGAGCGCTTGAGAAAGATATTTCTACCGACGCACAGCCGCACGTAAAGCCCATTAAAATTAATAAAAAGTAACGAAAAAAAAAACAGCAAAACAAAGACAAAAAGATAGCACTAACTTTTAGTAAACTGCAATCGGCACTCTCGCTTCCACCAGCCAAAGTCATAATTAGTAGCCCAAATCAAGCGATTCATGAAATGTAAACAGTTTTTCTTCGCTTTTGTCTAGGAAAAGTGAAATTAACCTGGGATGAATGAAAAGATTTTTTATGCTAATTCCATGAAAAGTGACATTGGTTATTTTTTCCTCTTCGCCGCCATCGTCCGTTGGTCATTAGATGGGGCCTTTCTGCAGCCAATAAATCGCTTGGGAATTTTTTCCTGTCGATCGTAAGAGTTTCTCTAATTAATTGTAGCAGGGGAAATGACTTTAGATTTATACTTTTTAAGTTTGGAATATTTCATACTATTTAACTTTTAAAGAAATATCATTATTTTAATTAAATATCAATATTTTAAAGAAATTTCTTTATTTTAAAGAAATTGCATTATTTCAAACAGTTTATTTTGTTGCTAAAAGAAATATACTTTAAAACTCTCTAAGAGGTTCTGATATGGTCTGATCATTTTAGGTTTTTTCGAAGAACATTTACAATATTTTTAAAACCTCTTGGAAACCTGATAACAAAACATAGTCCACTTGATAACCAGTTTATTACTTTATTTGGTTTTCTGGCTAATCAAAGTGTTCGATTTCACTTGACCGGTATTACCACTGATCGGTTAATATCTTGTGCCAATGTGGTCCAAGAATATTTAACACTTTCACAACGCAATTAGAGCAAGATTCGTTAAATGCAAAACTGGCCACGATCCAAGATCTCCGAACCCACTGTGATCTGTGGGCACGATACACGTGGATCCACGAGTTGCATGTTGCGGCAAGAAAGTTGTATTTTATTTTTTTTCTTATTTAGCTTTTTGCAGTCTTGAGCTAATTGATCGATAATAATTTTCCATTTACCGTTAAAGCGCCTCGTTTGTTTACATTCTTCGGACTCCGGCACGTCGAACGGTCGGAATCGGAATCGGGCCTGAAAACAAGTTCTACGAAATCTCCGAGCGGAGCAGGGCAGAGCAGCTCTCTTCTCCTCTTGGCCAGCATCATACTCATGATTTAATTAATTTCCATTCCATGGCTGTGCGCATAAATTTCACTGCACGGACGGCAGCACCAGCACAGCCGATAACTGTTCCGTTGGCCAAAAGGCATAATATGTATGGGTATATATATATAGCCATATAAAGAACCCACTGCCCCAAGGGCCGAGTGACACACTGCCGGTGTCCCGAGTTCGTTCCAAGTTCGGGGCATGCCACAGAATTCGGCTATGGGGCCAATTTTCTTGGATGATTAATGGCATTGCCACCGACTTTTGGCCGGGAATCGGGAGAGACAAACTTGTTATCTCATTTTGCAGCTGCTTCCTCTGTTCGTACTTTTCCCTATCCCCGATTTTTTCCCCCTCTTTATAATAAACACCGAAAAATGTTTAAAAGCGGCGCGAAATTATTCAGGCGTTTGACACACTTTCGTTCGGCGTTCAGGTGGCCGAATGCCGTTTATAAGCATCTATATGTGCATGTGAGTCTTAGCCGGCTGCTTGTTGCCTTGACTGTTCCTCTTCTCTCAGGTGCGATGCTGTAACCTATTTTGCATGCGACGCCTGAGATTATGACGGTGCAGCGCGCATTGACTCGAATTTCTCGATCGAGCAATTAGGGTCAGAGAATTGGCAGATCGTAATCGGTAATCTGCCAGGAAACGCACATATCTGTATATTGGTTTATAGCAGGTGTGTGAATATCTTGGGATCGGGGCGTGCCACAGAATTCCTAGCATATTTGATTCGTGGGATACAAAAGTGTTGCTATGTGGATATTAAACATGATTAGTTATAATGTTTCTTTTACAGAGGAAGCTTAATAATTAATGATAAATAGCTATAAATCAGTTATATTATTAAATCTTATCTTTCTGGATTTTATTATTCAAGATCTTATAAATGTTTTGAATAATTATCTTTATCAGTTCTAATAATTTTTAATATTAGTAGGTAGTGTAGGCGTGCTAATACAACAAATATTTTTAGTGTAACTTTCAAAAGGCATAATCATGTAGTAGGTTGTACGTACAAACATTCAATTTGCCCCGGCTTGATCAAATAAATTATGTTAAACTGCATAATTATCGCTGGTTGGTCGTGCTGCCTGCCGAACATCATTAAGTCAGCCCCCGGTCGGTAATTAATTCATTGACTCCGCAACTCGAGATTGAAGTAGCATGGCTCTGGTATGGGGGCTCTGTTAGCCGTTGGGGCCTCTGTTAGCGACGGCGGCTCTGTTAATCGGCTCTTTCTTCTTCGGGAACGAGAGCTTTTGTTTTGGCGCAACTCCCGCCGCCTCCGGCCTTTTCTCACGTCTCTTCGCCGAAGCGACTCTCTTTCGCTCCGTGTTTAACGATTTGCGGAAGAATACTTGAGAGCACTTAAGTGTCTAATCGTAAAAATGCGAAATGTCTGCAAATAATAAAGCTGCAAAAAACATTATTGTTATTTTATTAGTAGACGCCAGCAAAAAAAAAAAACGAAATCGCTTTGAGAGATGAATGGGCCGAGCGAAAATAGAGAAAAGGGGATGGAGAAACACTATCACTTTTACTCAATTATGTATGTACGAAGATATTTTGACTGCTATTCTAATGGGGGCTTTTGCACTACTTTTCCACGACTCTGGCCTTAAACACCTGACTCAGCAGCCGACGCAGTACTTCGCTTTACTTTCACTGGCGCTACGTGTCCGGCATACCTACTCTCCATCGACTGGACTCATGATTGCCTCCATTTCGGACTCCGGTTCCCTGTTCCCTGCAATTTCGGTTTCGTTACCTTCTGATTTTCATTTAATTAGCAGCGAACTAATTGCCACTAAGCCTCCGAATCTAGTTCGCTGGCCGTGTTTGCACTGGGCTCTTATGCTCCAATTTCACGACCAAACATTGACACAGTCCCCGTTGCGGATTGGGGCCACCGTCCGCAAGTGGAGCGTCCGACCGCGAGGTGTTAATTTGTCAGCATAAACCCGTCACAAGTTGGCGCTTTCCCACTGCGGGTTTAATTGCTGCCAAAAATCAATTTCGTTCTAAATGTCAGGAGTGGCTGGTTTTTCCGAGAATTTTAAGAGCATCCTCTAATGCAGTACTTAATCAACAGCACTCGGATGTTTCTAAGAGTTTTGCTTGAAACAGCTGATTTAAAAATGGATTTTTATTACAAATTTCAAATGTTGTTGTCTTATATTTGCTATCTTTAAGCTTAAAATCTGAGCTGGTTTAGACAAACAATATTTTAAAACTGATGTTACGGTTATATAAATTTATTTTGAGTTTAATAGACCCATAACGAATTTAAATGCTTTCAATATTTAATTTTCTTAGTATTCAATAAGACTTACTTACTTACCAGTATAGTAATAACTTGCTTAAAAAGTTACACACATTTATTTGGTAATCCGTACCTTAAAAACCCCCAAGTTAGCACTACCGAACCTTTCTCCATTTTCCCCAGCCTACCTGTGGTTTTCCGTCGTCATTTGGCAAATGAGGTGGAAAAACTCTGAAGTGCATTTGCCCACACCTGGGCCGCAGATGAACTTTGACATGGCAAGTGGCTGCTATGCGAGTTGGCCAAGTTAGTTGGGCTGCCAGCCAGGGCCACTTTCACTTGGTGGTTTTTGGAGTGGTCTCCGCTGGGTTTGGGCTGCTTCGGTGGGTTGCTGGGTTGACTGGCCACAGAACAGAGAAAATATGGCCGCTGTTAATTGAGTTTATATACTTTAAAGTTTGTGTTTGTGTGGCGACTGATGTTGATGTGTGTGTGCCCAAGGCTGTTTGCCACAATTAGCACTCAAAAGAGCAATTATATGGATGAAATCTGTGTGGCATTGATGTATTCGTTCGGCGTTGTCACTTTCATTTAAGGAATTTCCCACATTTTCACTACCCCCGCCGGTTATAATCCAATCAACTACAGTTGAGCCGAAAAAGAGATGCCCGAATGACATGTTAATTAAGCTTTGGTTTGGCCACGGGGAATTTGACAGTTGACTTTCTGATTATTGGCAAGCGAAATCTGCTTTGAAAATCTGGGCGAATTGAAATCGAATCTTTAAATGGGGGAAAATTCATTGTGTCAGTTATTATTTATTTATTTAGTTCTTCTTCCTAACGCTACAAGTGCAATACTTATAATTTAATGCGCAGTCTTAACTCTAATTCACAAATTTTATTTATACTTATATTAAATCTAAAGCTAGGGTCGCTATGTTTATTTTACGTCATGTTAGCTGCTTGGAAATGAGAAATTAATTTTGCCTTAAAATGCGCAGCACTACTAATATTTTGTATAAAGTTTGGTAGTTGGTTCCATGACCTTTATTGCATAAATAAAGAATTGCCGGTCAGGAAGCAGGGATCTATGCCTTATTTGAATAATCGTTTTTGCTCTACGCGAATTGGAAAATCTAAGCGTTTCAAAGAGGTAGCTTGGTTCCTTTGTAATTAAGAATATTCAATGACTTTCTTTCTATCTTTAATACCTATATATTAAATTAATATTCCTATTAACTTTTTGTAATAATCCAATATTTTTCCTGATTAATTTACAGGTGGTCGCAAACTGTTTGGCGGCTATCGCATCACCCCGAAGCACTGCCGGGCCACCAAGACGCTGCCCAGCTCGGATCCGCGGGCCAATGGACCCACCATCTGCATGTTCAACCACGAGTGCGCCCAGAGGGGCGGCGAGGTGGTGGGGGCCTGCATGGACGGCTTCCTGTTCGGCGCCTGCTGCCAGATCCCGCCCACCCACGAGTTGGCCAGCACGCTGATCAACGAGGCCCAGAACGCCTACTTCCAGCAGCACCAGCAGCAGACGAAGCTCCAGCAGGCGGCAGCCCAGTCCTCCTTCGAGAGCTACGGCCAGCAGCAGCAATCCCTGAGCGAGGAGCAGCAGGTGGTGGCCCAGCAGCCTGCGCAGAGCATCTACGATCAGCAGAACCTGGACAAGGTGTACCAGCAGTTGGGCAGCAGCAGTAGCATCAGTCCGCCCAGCGGAGCTTATGGCAGTGAACAGGAGTTGCAGGAGGATCATCCAGAGCCGGAGGCTCCAGTTAGAGATGAGCCCGGTTACTCCAGCAGCAGTTCCTCCACCGAGGCCACCCAATCTTCCTCCGGCAGTGTGGAGTTCGAACAGGAGCCCAGCGATCAGACCACCAAGCAACCGGCTCAACCCATCCAACCACCGAACTTCCATGTGCACAAGCACTCCGTAACGATCAACTCACCCTCGTCGCCGCCCCAAAACGATGACTTTGTGATGCAGGTGCTCAGCACTTTGCCGCCGGAGCATGCCGATGACCATCACATCACCTTCACCACCGAGGTGCCCACGAAGATAGCCAGCGGTTTGCAGGACCAGACCAGCTCCGAGTCCAACTCCTTCGAGGAGGTTTCCTCAACGCCGGCGGCCACCCAAAAGCCCAAGCCTAAGCCCACCCAGAAGGCCACGCAGAAGCCAAGTCCAAAGCCCACGCAGAAAGCCAAGCCGAAACCCGTTCCCCAATTGGCAGAGAGCATGAAGCGACCCATCCAGCAGAAGCCTCAGCCAGTGGTGAAACCCAAGCCAAGTACCCAGTCGACGAACAACAACAACCACCAGCACAACCACAACCACTTGATCCTGGATGGCGGAGAGTTCACGCACAGCGATATCACTCATCCCGGGGCAGATGCCGATCTCGTCGAGGATCTGCAGTTCTCCACAGGCTATGGACCACAGCCGGTTTACGCGGAGCCACCTAAGCAGCAGCAGCAACCGCAACAGCCTGCGGAGCAGAGCTACATCTCAGCCAGCACCAGAATGCCAAGCGACCAACGACCACCGTTTCCTCGATTACCACCCATGTGGACTCCATCGAATCCATCATCCTGCAGCTGAACAACACGAGCCATGGTCCCAGTTACAATGTGGTGAGCCAGCAGACTCCCTCGTATGGATATCCCGGTGCTGGACAAGTTCACACGGAGCCAGCCACCCAGCCACCCACTTTCTACCAGGAGAACGAGGCGGAGAAGGTTCAGGTTCAGGACAGGATTATGGTTACACCACCACAGTAAACTACGAGTCCTCGTACGACAAGGTTTCCGACGAGCAGGATGCCTCCTCGGCAGCTGTCAGTCAGTCCGCTGAGATGCCCACCGCGCGTCCTGGTTACGGAGAAGACGTATCCGCCGTGCTCGAGGATCATACGCTGCCCGCCAACGGCTACAACGATGCAGTGGCCTCGGATTCTCCACAAACCTCCGAGTTCATCAAGATGCCCACGGGCATTGCCTACCCGGTGGACATGTCCTACATGGAGGAGGAGGGGAATCTGGCGGCCACGGCAGCTGGTTACGGCCAGGTGAGCAGTGACTCCTACGAGGCGAGCACCGAATCCGCCTACCAGAAGCTCTCCACCGTCCAAACGGAGCAGCCGCAGCCAGTGCCCACTTATGTGCGACCCACCACGAATGCTAATAAGCAGAATCGCCCAGTGGCCTCCTACATCGGAATGGTGACCATGCAGCACTACAACCCGCAGTCCGGAAACGGTGTTCCCGCCGAAGTGTCCGTCTCCTCGCACACCACCAAGGTGCAGGAGCAGTACGACGACACCTCGAATGTCTATCAGCAATCGGAGACCACTTCCGGCTATGTAGCACTACCCACTGCTGCTCCTCCGGCTCCAGCTCCTCAGTATGACGCCGTGCAGGAGGCTGCCTCCTCGGAGCGACCCGTTCTGGTGACCGCCAGTCCAAGGCCGCGACCTAAACCGACTACCAAGCGACCTGCCGTGAAGAGACCCATCAGTGGTGAGAGCACCAAGAAGAAGCCACAGCCACAACCAAGTTCTAGTGCCTACAACCAGGAAAAGATCAGCGAGCAGAGCACCAGGAAACCAGCACCGGTGTCCACTGCCTACGACGAGTCGCCCATCACGCACATTCAGATCAAGAAGCCAACGGTTAGTCATCATCACAAGGAGCCAGCTAATGCGGGATACGAGCATACCACTGCGGCAGCTGCTCCGGCTCCCTCTCCCTCCCTCAACTACGACAAGCCAGATGCCCCGACCAGCCAGTACGACCAGCCCTCTGCTCCATCCGTCGGCTACGATCAGCTGGCACCGATGCCATCGCTCAACTACAACGAGGAGCATGTGGCCAGCTCGCCGGGCAGGAAGCCGGCCACGTCCAAGCCCATTGCCACCAGCTATGTGACCGGACCCAGTACGCCACGTCCTCCGGCCACCGTTGACTATCACTACGACAATGTGCCGCCACTGTTTATGGCGGACGACAAGCTCGATGCCTTCATCCAGAGCACGGCGGAGAACATTGTGGGCTCCACGCCGGGCAACTACCAACCGCCGCTGGTGGCCACCGCCTCCACGCCCATCTACGCTCAACGACCGACCAGCAGTGGTGTCTACGGTCACAAGAAACCCGGTTTCGTGCAGATCAATGGAACACCCAAGCCACCCAGGCCCACGGTTCTCATCACACCCAAGCCCACGACCATTAATTTGGTGACCTACAGTTCTCTGAGTGACGATAGCAACAAACTGGCCTCCAGTGCAACCGGAAGACCCGGAGTTCAGGGAGTGAGTTCCAATGACTTCGAGGATCCCGGCTACTTTGGCAGCAGTCCCGTGCATGTGGCCTTCACGCAATCCACCACCGAGGCCATCTATGCCGTGCCCTCCGACGACAAGCCCGCCTTCCCAGGCTACTTCGGACCCACGCCCTCGTATCCCGCCTTCTCGGTGCCGGGCGAGAAGGTTGGCCAGAATGTGATGGAGGAGACCTACACGTCGCCCAATGACTTTGTCAACTTCCCGCCGGTTAGGAACCCAAATCTCAACATGTCGGCTGCCTCCAGCGCAGTGACCAGCGACCTGGACCTCTCCACACCCGCCTTTGTCGAGGATGTGGTGCTGAAGGACAAGATGCACACGCTGGTCCACAAGTTGGTGGCCTCGCTGCAGGGTAACTTCGAGGCGCTGGCCGATATGATCGAAGAGCCGGGAAGTAACAAGACCGTGGCCACCTACCAGGCAGGAGGCGGTGGTGCAGCCAAGCCTGTTAGGGTGGTAACCACGCGGAAACCCGTCAGAGTAGCCACCACGGCCAGACCGAAGGTGACCACGAAGAAACCAGTGACCAACAACCGGGTAACCACCAAGGCCCCGAACAAGAAGACCTCCGCAGTTAGCAGCACCACTCGGAAGCCCGTGACACGACGCACCACCGTGACGGCCAAGGTGACCACCACAACCACCCGGAAGCCGGCAACCAAGAAGCCAACCCGCCCGGTCAGCAGCACCGTGAAGACCACCACCGTGAGCTCGGCCAGGCCGGCGGACGACGAGATCGTGGACGAGGAGGACGAAGAGGACGTGAACCCAAGCCCCAGCGACAACGAGGTGGACCAGGGTCCCTCACTGAGCTCCTATGGCGGAGCTAATGGAAGGAAGATACGTAAGTGTGGACTGAATGTAGCATGGACTAGCATGGACCCGAAACAACTGTCTTTCTCTCTCTATTTCTTGTTCTCTCACCTGCCTGTTCCTAACCGCTCACGCATTTAACCCAACGCTTCCTCAACCTAAACCCACATCTCATTTCCAATTGATCCCAAAATATAGCGCGTCGCAAGCACAAGCGACGGAACCAGAAATCCACCTAGACTATCTGAAGCCCCCTCGTAGTTCTAGTGACCTCACCCCTCCACTCCACTCCCTGTCCCATCAGTTCTATGCTTCCCCCCAAAACTCTCAGACTCGACTTCTCGAACACTCCCCACTCCTAACCTCGCATTTCACTCCCCATCAACAGAGTGCGGTGTGCGGCCCCATGTCAAGTCCGGCCGCATCGTCGGCGGCAAGGGCTCCACCTTCGGCGCCTTCCCCTGGCAGGTTCTCGTCCGAGAGTCCACCTGGCTGGGCCTGTTCACCAAGAACAAGTGCGGCGGCGTCCTCATCACCAGCCGCTACGTCATCACGGCCGCCCATTGTCAGCCCGGGTAAGTCTACGGCTGTAGTTACAGTTTCGTCGGCCTCTAATCAGGGATTTCTCTTCAGTTTCCTGGCCTCTTTAGTAGCCGTCATGGGCGAATTCGACATCTCCGGCGACCTGGAGAGCAAGCGTTCTGTGACAAAGAATGTGAAGCGAGTCATCGTCCACCGGCAATACGATCCGGCCACGTTCGAAAATGATCTGGCCCTGCTGGAGTTGGACAGTCCCGTGCAGTTCGATACCCATATAGGTAAGTCCTTATCTAAGGAAGATGAATTAAACGAAATACCAGTGGCGCCCGAGCAGGGACCTTGTTATTATCGTCTATTATTATCTATTGTTTTCAACAACTTATAAAGAGGTTGTAATTTCCTACCCCCTTATTAAAGGTAACTATTAATACTAATTTGCGTATTTCTTGTTACTATTCCTCTCTAGTGCCCATTTGCATGCCCAATGATGTGGCAGACTTCACTGGACGCATGGCCACCGTGACCGGCTGGGGACGCCTCAAGTACGGCGGAGGAGTGCCCTCCGTTTTGCAGGAGGTCCAGGTAAGCAGTTGGCCACGAAAGTGTTCTTTGAAAGAAACCACTAACCCCAGGCTAATTTAAATTAGGTGCCGATTATCGAGAACAGCGTTTGCCAGGAGATGTTCCACACAGCTGGCCACAACAAGAAGATTCTCACCTCCTTCCTATGCGCCGGTTATGCCAACGGCCAAAAGGACTCCTGCGAGGTAAGTTCTATAATAAATAGGAAACATCTTTGTAGTTTTTCAAAGATTAATAATATTTTCTAAAAGTACTGGAAATTTCTTTAACTAGGCTTGACTTTTCATTAATTAAGTGCACCTTTTTCTTGAGTTCTTTTTTCTGATTTATGAAATTATTCCTAAAAACTTTTTCAGGTTCTCTGATTTAATTTGTTCTAAAATCAATAAAAAATAATTAGCTCTCACACAAAATTTATTCTTTACCATCATAAAAATTTGATATGAATATAATGAAAAACAGAATGCAGTATTGTAGACAGACTGTTAATTTTTCCAAGGATACCCGACTCTAATCGTTCTCATTTTCCCGCAGGGTGACAGTGGCGGTCCCTTGGTGCTGCAGCGTCCCGATGGGCGCTACGAATTGGCCGGAACCGTATCCCACGGCATCAAGTGTGCGGCGCCCTATCTGCCCGGCGTCTATATGCGCACTACCTTCTACAAGCCGTGGCTGCGCAGCATAACGGGCGTGAAATAAGGTGGCGCCTCCAGAGCCTCCGAAGTCTCCGTGTCCCCGAGATGGCCAGTTAGCTGCTGGGGAAGGAGCAACAAGTGTAAATAGAACGTAGAGTTTTAAGAGTCGTGGACTCAAGCGTCATAAAAGTTGGCTCAACTTTTTGGCGACGTCGCATTTTTCGACCCCTTCCCCCAAAACCCTCCTCCATGCAACCATCATTTCATTAGCTTAATTGAAAATCAGCTGCAGCAACTTGAAACGAAATACGCTGGGGACTCCCAGGACTTCCCAGGATTCCGATATTTTGTTTAAGCAGGCTGCAGGTTCCGTTTTTGAGTACGCGTGCCTAACACTTGTAGAGTCTGAATGAGAATTACGCTAATTGCAAGCCGTATGCTTAAGACATATTTATTCTAGTTCTAAGCCTATTTATTTGACTATTTATTTATTTATGTGACGAAACGAAACGAAAGGAAGCGATTTGTGCGTTTGATTCAACTAAAAAAATTGTTATTTTCATAGGCAAATTGTTGTTATGTTCAAATGAAAGCGAGAGCAAATGTTTTTAGTTCAATTGAATTTACTAATTTATCGATTTATATTATTAATTTTTTTATCTAATTACGTTTTATGTTAATTGTTAAGTAAACGAACAAATCGAAAAAAAATCGAAATAAATATTAGTAGAAATGATTAAAGGGGACTTTGTTTTCTTAATTTTTAAATTGTTAAAAGTATTCTTTAATTTTCCTGTTTACCAAAAAATAAAGCCAGGGGTAAGTATTTTCACAGCAGTACTTTTTTACTTTTTTAAGGGTTCTGCAGAAGGAACTTTTATGTCAGTATTTCAGCGTTAAACTTGGCACATTTTATGACGCTCCCCGTTAGTTTCACAAAAATCAAACAAAAGCAATGGAATTCCAGATATATACTGACGCGGGAGCCTTGATGCAATTTCCGCCCCACGGAGCTCACTTTACTTCTTTCTGAAAATTGCCACTGCACTCAGTCCCCTCGGTTTCCCCCATTTGGAATATTCAATGTGGTTGCACTACGGCATTTCTTTCTCAGCTTCCCCAGATGCCAAAGCTGCTAGTAGAGGGAAAACAAGGTTAACACTCTTAGCCGCAATCACTTGCCAGCGCTTTGCATCTCTTATAAAATAAAGTCTTTCAAATATTTTCAGACACAACATTATAGTTGTCTCAGCTTTAAAACCTAAATCCATTTCCTGGAATTTTTTTTATGAAAATGTAAACTGATTATATTGTTGTAAATGTAAATTACAAAACGCTTATTATATTGTCACTGATTGGATCTAATATATTTTAGGGTTTACGGTGGAATCCACCAAGATAGTCTATAGATTTGGGTTGTTAAAATTCAATATTACATGCTTATAAACATTCCCTTTGACTTTATAGAAATTGAAAACATAAATGTTTTATCTTAAAGTTGATTTATTTTTGCTAAATGAGGTTGTATACTGTTTGAACTCCAAGCATGCTAAGTTAAATGCAAGGAATCGAATGTAATGCCTCTCAGACCCTGCAGCAATATCTTACATTTACTGGGCAAACTTGTCAAACGAAACCATAAATTTATTATACCTGTTATGGGTGCAACACAATTTTCTTCAATTCACTCCAAGTGGCTAAAATCATTTGCATATTGAATATTCCGGACCAAGGGCTCTGTGTAACATGAACACACAATCCTCATTAGCAAGAAATGTCCCAGAGGGCAGGCTCTTTTCATCTCGATTCGACTGCCAGAATTCGTGTTTTCCATTTAACAGATTTGCCTGCAGGACAGCCACTCGGAGTCAAGGATCTGTTGTTGGTAACACGAGGGGGCGGGAGGCTCATTAAATTTGCACTGCTACCACAAATCACAGTGACGTCATGGCCCGAAATCCAACCGACCAAATACACGTACATAAACATGTATTCTTCATTAAAATTGATTCCTAGAAGCTTTCGGTGCGCCACAAACACACTTAATTCATAAAAATCTAACCGAACCGAAAGCTTCGAGGACCAAAAGCTCCGCGGCGGCAGCTAGCCGACAGGTGTTGTTTCAGCCAAGTCAGGCAGTCAGTAGCCGACAGGACGCGCAGCCATCAGGTATGTTGTGTGCCACAGAGGACCCGTCCCGAACCCAATCCCAACCAGTTCGCGAGCGGTGAAAGTGAAAGTTGAGCCGACACGTGTATCGTATGAGGTTTCAGCGAATCTGTCCTGGCAACCGAAGGGCGAGGTGATGGTGATGCCAGCAATGTAACTGCACTCTAAATGCATCCGAGGGCGTGTCGCAGTGAACTCTGGCCAATAACGGTCTAATTTCCAGCGAGAACGGTTTTTCATTTGGAGGTGCTTGTGTCCTGGTAAAAGTCGGTCGGCATTTGATCAAATTTCCCCACTGAGTTTTGCATTAGTTTCGGAAATAGGATATGGCATAAAAGAAATATCATTTACGGCAAAATGCAAAGTAATTAAAGGCTAATTTGGTAAGGGGATATTTTCCAACCAATTTCAACCTTTTTATCTAGAAAGACGTAAAATTACACCTTGGTAAGTTAAGTTGCTTTCACTTTGCTTGAAATTTATCCCTTCTAATTACGATTGGAATAATGGGAATGGCAGTTAAACTTAAACAGGAGCGAAGAGGAAATATTGAAAAATTCTTTTGGAAACATATTTAGTCCTTTCAAAAAGTACTGTACACTTTAAAGTCTCTTTAGTAAAATACATTTTGGTGTTTTTTTTCTTTATTTGAATTTATTAGTTGAAATAGCTGACATTTAAAATCAATTTTGAACATACATTTCTAGAATTTGGATTTATGTATTAACTCCGTAAATGTTAATTAGCTTAAAGGCGATTTATTAAAATGGCTTTCTCCTCTAGGCAGTGCACAATTGTGTTTAAATGGAGAATCTTATAAATTATGATACCTTCTTTAACTATTGTGGGGCAAATAGTTTTTAGTTGCCAAAGTTCACACCGAGCATAATTCCTGCAAAAGGTCAACTTCCGGCAAAAATCGATGCTCAATTAAGAAACTTTAATAAACTCATCGCCTAAGCGCTTCCAAACTAAAGTCACCTACCGATCATTGGAAAAGTTTGGCCAATTGTGTCGAATATAACAGAAAAACTAAGTAATTGCTAAACTTTCGAGTGGCCCCAAAGCAATTAGCCACATTCAGCGAATGGAATGGACGGGCCCCAAAGTTTTGCCATCGCTCGAAATTGCAGTTTCAGACTTGATACCTTCGACCTGATAAGGACCCAAACCTGCAGATGCGTTAACCACACTTTGGTAAATTAAGAAACGCCAAGCACATGGATCAATTTCAGTTTCCCTACCTCGCGCTCTTTTTCGGCTAAGACGCAATTAGTTAAGATTTGATAACCGGCTATGGATGGTTAATTATAATTACTGTCCTCCGCTGAAAAGGGGCAAAATGCCAGGCAACAGAGCCTTGACGAGTTTCGTCTGGTGGAAGTAAGAAAAAGTAATTAACAAAATGTTAAAAGAGAGCCGCGGAAAGGACTTTGTGTTGTTTAGTCAACTCCATTTGCCTTGGCCACCTTCAAAACCAGGATCATTAATGAAATTGCACTCCCACGCCGGAAGATTGCCTGTGACAGCGGGGAAAAGGCTTTCCTTGGCCTTTGGTGTGTCAACAGCCTTTCACTCATTTACTTATTTATAAGGGAGCGCCAGCAACTGGGGCCAATCCACCATTTGTAGGAGGCCAAAGCCTGATACTCAATGTCTGTTGTCAAGGATGGCTATTTGTAAAACAATGCAGCAAATTGCCACCCCATTAAATACATTTAACCTTTTGCTTATTTTTATTTTTGTAAGAACATCTAAGAGAAACCCGATGCAAACAACTTAATTCCCCTGGAATATGAACCGAAAAACTTTAAATTCATTTTCTAGAAGCTTTTACATAAATTGCTTTAATTACTTTTCCCAGGGGAAGCCATCATGAAGCTGAATACAATTAACATACAATTTTAAAATGAAAGAAAAATTCACTTTGAGTTGTTGTAATCCCCAAGGCAGGCTCAGCATTCAAAGTTTATTTTTTGACTGGAGAGTATAAATCCACTTTAAAAGGTTTTTGGCAGAAATTAGTAGCTTTAATTGAGGCAAATAAAAGACTTTAGGTCATAGTAGGCAAGAATCTTAAAATAATAATTTTTTCCTTGATTTTTGAGTATTTTAAGCTTGCTTATTTCGTTTAAATGGGTCTCTGGTAAACTGTCAAATTTTGCCAGCTTGAATAAAGTAGACAATAAGCGAAATTTGATGTATAAACTCTTAACCACCGACCACCCCTCACGATTCATGTAAGCGACTTTCATTCGGCAATAAAAAGGGAGCTGAGAATGGAACTACGAAGTCTGAGGATACATAAATTAAGGCACAGCCGGTAATAATACTAAAAGCAAGCCGACAATTTTAATGAGCCGCCTGACAGGGATATTGCCGGGAACGGTTAACGGAACCATAAATGAGTCTCCGGGCTGGAAGGCAGCGATTTATATGCCGCACGCTCCAGTCGAGCGCATGTACACGGAAATTTGCTCATCCCGGAGGGCAGCAATCGACTACGACTCTCGGCCAGGCATACGTTTTAATTAAGAGAACACTCGGTTTTCATTTTCACAGTTCACCGGGAACCTGGCAAGAGGCCACATCAACGGGCATTCCAAGGGAGATGATGCACTACTAACCTGGCCGCCATGAGCCACATTCCGAGGTGGGCAGCCCTGCTGCTGCTCCTGGGCTTGGCCCATCAGCTGGACCCCTCTCTTGCCACGTCCCCATCCTCGTTCTCCTCCGGAAATGCCTGGCAGAGGGCATTCTACGGTCGCGATTCGCGCAACCTGATGCACCGCAGAGCTCCGTTTCCCGTCGCCGGAGATCAGGGCCTCAACGATTACCTTGGTTCGTATGCTGGAGGTGAGCAGGAGCAGCACCAACCGCTGCCTCCGCCACAGCAGGTGAGTGTGGTGGGCGTAATTGCTTTTAATTGCTGGGCGGAACTACAGTGCGTATAACCGCTGACAGAGATTGATAGCAAATGACTGCAGCAAGAGAAAAATAAGTATTACATTGCTTTTTGCGATGCAATCCTAATTTGCATCCAATAGTAAAATAATAATAAACTGCAAAAAAAAACAGTGTTTAATTAAAATAAAAAAGAAATTAAGAATATTTAAATCTGCAACATAGAAAACTTTATTCGCCTGTTTGGGGTTTTCTATTATTATTATTATTTTATTGTTATTATTTATTATTAATGGTTGAAATCTACCCCTATCAAAATAACTTTTTGATCAAAGGCAACAGAGCATATGAGTGATAAACTTATTCATACAAATATAGACCGCACTAATGTACTCTTAAAAATTTAAAATGTTAATTCTTAAATATATACTGCAGAATTCTAAGTTTAATAAAATTGTATTTAAGATTTTGAAGACTTAAAAAATATTACTTTTCACAATAGAAGAAAATATGATCAAAAACAACGACGCTATATTTTTCCCATTTTTGATCGAAGATGGATATGGAAGATTTAGGTTATAGTTGTTCGATCCGTCCCGTTCTCATACATATACTACCTGCAATAGTAAGAAGACTTTTGAGACAAGAATAAGGTGACTCGTCTTATAATGATCAAGAATATATATAACTTATATGATCGAAAAGTCTTCTTCACGTTGCAAACTTCTGACTGAAATGATAATACCCTCTGCAAGGGCTTAAAAAATCTTCGGTTGCCTCGTGCACATTTCAATTCGTATACGCCATGTTGGGAAACCACAAATAGCCACAGGCATTTGGCGAAGTGTTTGGCAGCAAATTGAAATTTGAACCAGTATTCTCGTTTGGTTTTTTTGGTTCAGGGGTATCAACCCAGGGAAAGTTCAGAGTTCACAGCGGAACTCAAATTAATTAACGCACGACAAGTGTCAGCGTTATTGATAACCAACAGCTGAACTGCAATGGGGGAACGGGGAAATATAACGCATACGCTGCGTATGCCGCACAAATGCCGCTCTAATTGCCACCGCATTCGACCATCCCCCACAGATGCGCCAACAGACAGAAGTTTACGGAATTGTGGAGCCGCTGATTGAGGACACGCCCTGCGCCGACCGCGCCTGTTTCCTCAACGAGGATTGCTGTCCCTCCGGGGTCTGCGTCAGCACTTACGGAGGTAAGTTGGACTAATTGCATTGTCGCTGCCCTACTATATTTTATAAATATACGTGATATTCCAAGTGGTCCTAGAGATCAAGCAACGGTTTGGTACTATCTAGAAGGCTATTTCTTTGAAAATAGAAAAACATTCAATGGAAGGTTATTTAATAAACTTAAATTTTAAGAAATCGAAGAAATGTTCATGTTTTTAATATATAATATTTTTATTTACGAAGTTCGTAATAAGTTAGACAGTAGTAGAGAGGGAAAAGGATCCAAGAACAGGTATCCAACAAAACCAGACAATTTAAAAATGGTAATTCATAAAAATTTAGCGATTTATTAAATTGCCTTTAATTAAATTTCCAGGTACCACTTTTTGTAAATTAAAAAAAATATATTTACTTTTCTAGCTAATTTCATAACAAAGTTTTTTAGCTATCCAAATATCAAAACGTTTCCAACTATCCTAACAACTCTATCCCATACTTTAAGTTTTCAGTTAATGCATTTGCTAAAACATAAATTTTCTTCAGTAAAAATTAAATCCAAGGACTAATTTTATATGAATAAAAATTAAGAACATTTATATTTGCTGTGCCTTGCAGAAGGCAAATGCGTTTATGTGTTCGGACGACAGCGGGATTTGTGCCAGCGACATGCCGACTGTCCACAGGGTACTGCCTGCATACTGGCCGCCCAGGAGAGCGTCTGGCGCTGCGAGACGGATGCGGAGTCGGGTGGTCCTACGTCTCTCCTGGAGGATATGTTCGGATTGAAGCAGAGGCAGCCGTTGGGAAGTGATTGCAGCAGCAGCAGCGATTGCCAGGTGATCAAGTAAGTCAACAGGAATCCATTATTTTCAAGGAGATCTTAATTCTCCAATTTTCAGTGGCATGTGCTGCCAGCAGCAGCGGTTGCACCATCGGGCTGCCATCAAGCTGAGCTGTGGCTATTTCCGCGATGCCTTCGACTGCGTGGACATGGTGGGAGCAGAGGTAACAAATCCTGATCCTTAAATGATTACACTAGTTTACAAAATAATATTCTTGGTGTGCTCCCCAGCAATTGATGGCAAATTCTGCTAGTGTTGGACCCCTAGATCACAAAAATAGCAATTATTTTTTTTTCGATGGCACAGTTTTTTTTTAAAGATTTTTTAAAGTTTGAAATGTTAAATTTCTGACTTTTTTCGAATTTCTTCTTATATCTCGGCAGATATCCACTTGGTTGAGCCAGTTTTAGTTTTATTTTAAAGTCAATAGATCAGAGCTTAACTTTGCCATACAGATCAATATGATTGGATGAGTAATGGCAGCGCAGAAGCTTGACAAAGATGAAAAATGTGTTTTTTGGTCGTCTGTAAGTTTGCTGTATATATCGTAAAAACTCGAAATAAATCCGTTGAAAAATCATAATGGGTATAAACTTAAAGTGTACATCCTACCGAATAGAACAAGCTGGATATGGCCCAAATCCATGGAAAACTGGATTTATGGTGGATTTTTAAAGTTCGGATTTTTCCACTTTTTTCGGTTGACAGAGTCCAAATTTAAGATTTATCATAGGCGGCGACATGTAAACAAAAATGAGTGGTGACGGCAGCCGGGTCAAAAAATAGCTAAATTTAAAAGCTAGAAAATTATAAAATAAATTTAATTTCTGAAAATTCCTTTAAAAATATAAAATTGCTTGCGTTATGACTGTGAGTATATTTAATTAAGTACTATCCATTTGGATAGTTCATTCTTATGAAAAAAGTAACCTTAATTTCAAAAATTAAATTCACTTTAATAATTTTATAGCTTTTAAATATCTGATTTAGCTATTTAGTGACCCGGCTGCCAACACCAATTATTTTTGTTTACATGTCGCCGCCTATGATAAATCTTAAATTTGGACTCTGTCAACCGAAAAAAGTGGAAAAATCCGAACTTTAAAAATCCACCACAAATCCAGTTTTCCATGGATTTGGGCCATATCCAGCTTGTTCTATTCGGTAGGATGTACACTTTAAGTTTGTACCCATTATGATTTTTCAACGGATTTATTTCGAGTTTTTACGATATATACAGCCGACTTACAGACGACCTTTTTTTTTTTTTTTTTTTTTAAAATGACTTAAAGAGTTTATTATGTTGATCAGCCAATTTAATGGCTATAAAACATAGATTACAAATAGGAACAAATAACGTGAGATCATAACAGGGTGGTGAATAACAAATTTTTATAACCTATACTACAAACTAAGACGACAATTTAACAACGCATTACTGCTTCAGGACTCGTGAGACGTGACGTCCTCTTGTCCAGAGATCGCCGGGATGCCTTCGCTTCAGCCTTCTCCTGTTCGTCGGGTTGGCCAAGGAAGCTGCTAGGTGGTTGGGGTGTCCTGTGAGGCGTTCGTTGTACCGACTCGAGTGCCGGTTAATCTGATCCCTAACCGAGGGCATGTGGAGATCGTTGGCTAGGTCTATGTTTCTGACGTACCACGGCGCATTCGTGATTGTTCGCAGCGCCCTATTTTGGACTCTTTGGACCTTCATGACGTTAGAGTCGGAAGCCATGCCCCAAAGTTGGATGCAGACGACCAAAAAACACATTTTTCATCTTTGTCAAGCTTCTGCGCTGCCATTACTCATCCAATCATATTGATCTGTATGGCAAAGTTAAGCTCTGATCTATTGACTTTAAAATAAAACTTAAACTGGCTCAACCAAGTGGATATCTGCCGAGATATAAGAAGAAATTCGAAAAAAGTCCGAAATTTAACATTTCAAACTTTAAAAAATCTTTAAAAAAAAACTTGTAGCAATAAGTTACACACACATACATATACATACATATATATTCCTAAGCAGCTGTTTATACATACATACACTTACTTTAAGTTAGGTCACACTATTTGTACATATATACATCCCTGTTACTCCAAGTAACACTATACTTGTCTCACTCACACACACGATGTACCCAACCCTTGTGAAATAGGCTAAGCGTGCAGAGTTCTGCTTAATAAAGATCACTTTTGCTGCGACCATCAAACAAGAAGCACACAAATCGGCTGTCTACAATTTCAGAAGTGGGATCACTGCGAAAATTTTTTTTCGCATATCAAACTCTGCCTACAATAAAAAAAACAAAACCAAAAGTTAAAAGTACACTAGTGAAACTTGTTAGTTAGTGAATAAAATCATGGAAATCATCGGTGCAGACGAGTATTCAGCAGCAGAACTTCGGGGCTGGCTAGAAAAGCTTGGGCTGCCAAAAAGTGGAAACAAGGCAACTCTCGCTGCTCGTTTAAATGGCGTGCCCCCCGAAGCCCGTGGAGTTTGCCCAGTACCGGATCCCAAGGATTTATCCGATGCTGAAGTTGGATCCGAGGAAAGGCCAAACACATCTACCGACAACGTAGCAGAACAAGATGGCGCCGGCACCTCATCGCTGGATGCCCACAACAACGCCGATGTCTCAAATATCATGAACGTTCCAGAAGTTTCGCTGGAATTGGAATCTCTGAAGCGTCACTTGGAAATGATCCAATTGGAAAATGAGTTGCTCAAGTTGGAAGTTTCGCGCCGTCAGCCATCTATTAGAGTGACCACATCTTCGACAAGCAATTTGCCAGAACTCCAAAACAGCGTTGCCACACCAAATCCAAACAATGTTGCCCCATCGGATTCGGGAAATATTGTTGCAGAAGTTGCCAGATCAAACACAGCATTTTCTAACAACAATTCTTTGCTGACCATGGTCAAGGAAATGCTTCCAGTTTTTGACGGTGCTGCCAACAACAAGGTACCAGTTAGTACTTGGATCGCACAACTTAATGCAATTATCAAAATGTACAATCTGAGTGATGACGTGACTCGCATGCTGGTCATGTCAAAGCTGAAAGATCGCGCACAAATTTGGTTTCACTCTTCTGATAATCTGCTCGCCCTACCAGTACCGGAACTCTTAACACAACTCGCAGAAGCCTTTCACTCAAAGGAGAGCAAGATAATGTCCCGCCGTAAGTTTCAGGAGCGAAAGTGGCAATACTCTGAAGACTTCGCCACTTATTTCAACAACAAAACACTTTTGGCTGCGCACATCCGGATTGACGACGAGGAGCTAATCGACAGTATTATCGAAGGAATACCGGATACCCTTCTACGACAACAGGCACACATGCATTGCTTCAATTCGTCTGCACAGCTGTTGCAGGCGTTCGCCAAAGTTTCTTTGCGAAAACCATCCTTCGCATCTGGACGCCCCAAAGTTTCACCCGGAAACCAACCCGGACCCGCTATAAGATGCTTCAACTGTAACTCCATTGGACACTTCGCGGCCGACTGCCGCAAACCTAAACGCGCATACGGAGCTTGCTACGGATGCGGAAGTCTGGAGCACCTTGTATCCCATTGCACCGAGAAGAAAAACATAACCAACAACGAATATGTGAGACCGTTTAAAATTTTCTTTAATTCAGAACGTAATCAATGTTTGTCTTTAGAATGCCTAATCGATTCTGGGAGCCCAATTAGTTTTACAAAGTTATCCTGCGTTGAAAATATTCTGAGAAGCAACAGCATTAAGTTTAGTGAAAACAATAATACGAATTACGTTGGCTTAAATCACAGCCCTTTAGATATATATGGAAAAGTATCCTGTTTTATTATTATGAATAAAGTGAAATTTAATTTTGATTTATTAATTGTGGCAAACAAATCGATGGCATATAGTACTGTTTTAGGAAGAGATTTTATGAATATTTGTAACTTTAAGATTGTTAGGGAAAATGATTGTCCAAATGATTGTGAAAATGATAGGTGTTTAAATGATCGATATGTTGAAAAAGATCGCTCAAATGATAGTGGTTGTGAAAATGATAGTTCTAACGATAGTAGTCTTAAAAATGACTGCCTCGGTGATAGTGGTGTTGAAAATGATCGCTCGAATATTGGTTGGACTACAAACGATTGTGTTATTAATAGCGGTATAGAAAATGATTGTTTAAATGAGAGTATTGATATTAGTGGTTATAACAAGGAAGTTAGGAATGATCGCGCAGTTAAATCTATTAAAAAGGTTCGGTTTATAAATAGAGATGATCACGATTACAATAACGATAGAATTAAAACGGATGGGAATACAGATAGTACTAAATTGGTAAAAATGTGTAGTCAAGATAATTTGAAGTTCCAAAATAAAGAGCAATGTAATGAAAGCAAACGAAAATTAGGCAATTCTTGCAAAACGATAGAGTTAAGTCCGAGTGCAAAATGTCAGCCCAGCGATAATTTTGAGTCAGAAATAATGTCAATTGAATATCCTGATCCAACAGATAGCAATCAGTTAAACATAAGCGATACGTGTGAATTTAATTTAAAGAACAAATTGATAGACATATTTGATAAGTTTTATACGAAACCAAAACGACCGGAGATACCTGTAGTTAAATGGGAAATGAAACTGAATTTTGACAATACTAAACCGTTCAATTACCCTCCAAGGCGTTTATCATACGCAGAGAAAAGTCAAGTCCAGAATTTGTTAGATGATTACATTCAAAACGGTATTATTCGAGTAAGCGAGTCCGAGTATGCGTCACCAATAGTCCTAGTTAAGAAAAAGTCTGGAGAGTTAAGAATGTGCGTAGATTACAGAACATTAAATAAGAACATGTTGAAAGATAATTACCCCACCCCCTTATAGACGACCTTATTGATAAACTTTCCGAAAAAATTATTTTTACCAAGTTAGATCTTAAAAATGGGTTCTTCCACGTGCACATGCACGAAGATTCAATTAAATATACTGCTTTTACAACACCTATGGGTCAATATGAATGGCTTAGAATGCCGTTTGGCTTACGAAACGCCCCTGCAATTTTTCAAAGGTTCGTGAATAAAATTTTTGCTGATTTAGTTAGAGACGACAAGGTACTTATTTATATGGACGATATTTTGATAGCAACGAAAGATAGTAAGAGTCACATAGAAATATTAACGGAGGTATTTAAGCGATTGGTAGATAACAAGTTAGAGCTTAGGTTAGACAAGTGCGAGTTTCTCCAAGGTGAAATAAAATATTTAGGATACATAATATCAGGAGAGGGTATTAAACCAGATTCAAAAGGCATGCAAGCTGTTAAAGATTTTCCTATTCCGACAAAAACGCATGAAGTTCAAAGTTTCCTTGGATTGTGCTCCTATTTCAGACGATTCGTTAAAGACTTCTCAACAAAAGCTAAGCCGTTATATGATCTTGTGAGAAAGGACAGAAAGTTCGAATTTGGTGCAAAAGAGTTAGAGTGTTTTGAGATGTTAAAAGTAAATCTTTTAGAATCCCCTATTTTGGCGTTGTATAACCCAACAGATCCGACAGAGCTACACTGTGATGCTAGCTCCCTAGGTTTTGGCTCAATTTTAATGCAGAAAAAGAAAGATAATAAGTTTCACCCAGTATTCTATTTTTCAAAACGCACGACAGATGTGGAGGCGAAATACCATAGCTTCGAACTAGAAACGCTCGCAGTAGTTTACGCGTTAAAACGTTTTAGGATATATCTTCAGGGAATAGAATTCAAAATAGTTACAGATTGTAGTGCTTTTACTCTCGCGTTAAATAAAAAGGAACTATGCCCAAGAATAGCTCGATGGGCGCTTTTTCTTCAAGATTATGACTATACTTTAGAACATAGAGCCGGTAAGCGTATGCAACATGTCGATGCACTTAGTAGAAACACACACATACTAACGATTGATTCTAATTCGTTTGAGGAAAACTTAGTTATTTGTCAAAGTAGAGATGAAAAAATAAAAAGTATAGTAGAGCAACTTCAACAGACAGAACTTAAGGATTATGAAATGCGCAATGGAATAGTTTACAGGAAAAAGGATAGGGATTCTCTTTTATTTTATGTGCCAAACGAAATGGAGAGTCATGTTATGTTTAGTTATCATGATCAGTTAGGACACGTAGGAATAGATAAAATGGTAGAAGTTATTTCAAAAAGTTACTGGTTCCCCAAAGTTCGTGAAAAATGCAAGCAACACATTAATAATTGTTTGAAATGTATCGCCTATTCTGATAAGTCTGGAAAAGATGAATGTTTTCTACACACGTTATACATATAGACCACTATGGTCCGGTAGATAAAAGTAGAGCTAACAAACACGTTTTAGTAATTATAGACGCATTCACAAAGTTTGTAAGACTTTATCCGGCAAAAGCCACAAAGTCTAGAGAAGCAATAGTATCATTATAGAACTATTTTAGGACATATAGCAGGCCAAGATGTGTGATTTCAGACCGAGAGACATGCTTCACGTCCAAAGAATTTCATGACTTTTTAGAGGATCCCCGCAGGCAAATGGGCAAGTCGAAAGGGTGAATAGAAGCATGATCGCTAAGTTGAGTGAGCCAGACAAAGGATTGTTTTGGGATACAGTTTTATAAACAGTTGAACACGCACTTAATAATACGATGCTAAGGTCAATCAATCAACACCCAAGTCAAGTTTTGTTCGGAGTATCTCAGAAGGGAAAAGTTATAGATAGCTTAAAAGAGAAATTAGATGAGTTAAATAAAGATAGCGAAAGTAGAAATTTAGAAATAATAAGAGAGAAAGCCAGTAAGAGTATTGAAAAGTTACAAGAATATAATAAATTACGTACAGATCTTAAAAGAAAAAACCCTAATGAGTATGAGAAAGATGATTTAGTTATGATAAAAAATTTCGACTGTCATGTAGGCGTATCTAAAAAATTAATACCGAAATTTAAAGGCCCTTATAGAGTGACTAAAGTTTTGCGTAACGATAGATATGTCTTGGAGGATGTTGAAGGGTTCCAACAATCTAGGCTTCCTTATAAGGGAGTTTGGGCAGTAGCAAATATGCGGCCATGGATACAAAATGTAAATAGTTAAGAGATCAGGAGCTCTCCGGTCAGGATGGCCGAATTGTAGCAATAAGTTACACACACATACATATACATACATATATATTCCTAAGCAGCTGTTTATACATACATACACTTACTTTAAGTTAGGTCACACTATTTGTACATATATACATCCCTGTTACTCCAAGTAACACTATACTTGTCTCACTCACACACACGATGTACCCAACCCTTGTGAAATAGGCTAAGCGTGCAGAGTTCTGCTTAATAAAGATCACTTTTGCTGCGACCATCAAACAAGAAGCACACAAATCGGCTGTCTACAAACTGTGCCATCGAAAAAAAAATTAGTGCTATTTTTGTGATCTAGGGGTCCAACACTAACAGAATTTGCCATCAATTGCTGGGGAGCATTTCGGCTGTAAACTAGTGTTACTTAAATCATTAGATTTAATTTGTACAGCATCACCGCAACTAGGGATCACAGTCCTTTGGTAGCAAAGCTCAGGAAATCGAAAGAGAAAAACAGGAAGCCAAACAGGAAATGAACCAGATAACTGATTGAAATGCAGCTATTCCTCGGATTTATTTCAATACTGCAACATATCCAAATGTGTTAAACGAATACATATCAAGTTCAAATTGCTGTAGCTTAGAGCAATCGGATTTAAATAACCTGCATATGAATATTTATTATTACTCAAACGATCTTAGATATCTTAATGTGTTTTTAGTAGAGACTCTCCAAATATACTGACTGAGGCATTCAATGTTATTAGCAAAAAGAAGAGTAATCCAATCGTTTTACCATATTCAAGCAACAATTAAATCGTTTCACGTCTATATGTAAATCAAATACAATGAATAAATTAGCAAAAATCTGCAATTCCGAGTATCCTAATTTGGTTAAAAGTACTCTCTCAGTGAAAATATGAGTTAAAGGTAAACTAACATATTTTTTCAGTACTTACCCTTAACATCCCAGAAAGTTACGGTGTTTTTGTTTTTACAAAGCATATTTACTGAACACTGCGGTATACATTTTAGCCTCCAGTGGACGCCCAGGGCAGTTACAATAAAATAAAATATGCATGCACCCACGGTTTCCGCTCAAGTACATTAATTATCTCGGTTTTGTAGCTTAAAACCCAAAAACAAAAGGCCCAGGGATATTAATAAGGATAAATGGCCAAAAATATACACATACATATACACAATTGAATAGACTCCACAGAAACCCCACATAATAACTAATTAATTAGGTATTCGCCAGGTAAACGAAGAATGAATTATAAGCAAGCCAAGTTCTTTTACAAATATTTTCGGTTGGTTTTATTTTTGTATTTTATTTAAAGTGCCAGTAAAAACGCAGCTTAAAGCTAAAAGTTAGACTCTGTTTACACTTTCAACGCTTTTGTTTTTAACATTACACCCAAGTAAATCTTTCCTGCTCTCTCTTTCTCTTTCTCAATCTCTCCATACGATTCTATATATCTCTCATGATCCAATCCATTTACGATTAATACACATTACAAATGCTTTCGCTCTTAACATTATGGCTGAGACACTTTTCGCTTACTTGAGCCTAACATAAACCGCACAAAGTGCATCCTTTTAGTTCTTTAAATCTTTGAAATTTTGAACCAAAACTATGATTTGCCAGCAAAATAGGATTTATTTTTGTAAAATTAATTTTTATATGTTTTTGCCCCTTGTTTAAGTCTTTTCTTGATTTTGTGTTCTTCGGTTTTAATTGAATCTTAAACTCAGTTGTTTTTTTTTTAAGTTGTTTTTGGTCTGGATCAGGGACTAAGGTTGTGGGTTCTAGGAAGTGCCCCACATCGGAGGTGGTTTTGGGGGTTATTCTTAAAAACAACTTTCTGCTTAAACTTAGCTTGGAACAAAGTCAAACGTTAATCAATCGTTTTCGTTTTTTTATGTGTTTTTGACTTGCACGCACAGACTATTTACAGATTTTACAATTACAGGAATAGTTTCAAAAACTAATATACGTACGCAAATATATCTAAAAATATTTTGTTTAGATTTGTTTTCCAAAGAAATCGATTGTGTTCGTACAGGAAATGATTAACTTTAGTAGCTTAAATTAAAATAGGAAAGTAAATTTCGCAGGCCGAAAAAATAACAATATGTAGGTACTATATAATTATAACCCTAATTACAATCTTGCATGCACTGCTCGTACAGACGCTTACACGTAGCTTACATCGAAATGATTAAAATGTTAATTAATGTTTACCTATAATCTCTCAGCTGGCGTGTGTGGATGGGTTAAGGAAACATGGGTTGTGTTGAAACTACTATTGCATTCTGGTAATGGATTGTGTGAACAGGTATACACTGACAATGGACTCATTTAGCTTTATGGCATTTGATGTAAGAAATTAATTAATATACGACGTTAAACATATTGTATTACCCGGAATAAGCACACCAAACCGCATGTGCGCAGACTTAAATTAGTGGTTTAGGTTTGTTCGCGAAACATTTAGTTCCTTAGAATTTACAATAGAAGCAAAGTTAGTATACAATTCATATATAAATATACCATATATTTTGCTTTGTTATTTTATAGTTTTATTTACTTTGCTTTATTTGTATGGCTACGATAAAATAGGAAGAACAAGCTTTGGTTATAAGTGAACAGATGTAGTAAAGTATGGAAAGATGAAATAACAAAACAAATAAGCATGCGTGAGGATGAACGTGCAATTAGATTTGGTTGATTGCCAGGATCGAGAGTTTTGGTGTAGACATTTTAAAATAGTTTAAGCTAAGGACTTTAAAAAGAAGCTCTTTCAGCAATATGGGTGTATACTTAGGGGAGAAGGGCTGGGTATGTATTAAGCTAGGGAGGCACAGCAGCAGCAATAGCGACGTGGGCATGGCAAGCTAGCTGTACGTGAGCTGGCGGCGCACCAAATTGTTTGATTCTTTAAATTTTACTTTTACTTTACGATTTCCTGAGTTTATCAACTTTTTCTGTTGGTTTATGTTTATGCCTAAATTGTTAATTATGTATATTCTCTGCTGATGATCTGGTTTGGGCTGTTTTTGTATACTTTCTATATTGCAGGCAAAAAGTTGGCCGCGTTTTGAATCTTGTTTCTCACTGCTTCCACTGCTGCTCAGTCTTGACAAAGTCTTACTGTGTTTCTCGTTTTGTATTTATCCTTTCGTTTGATGGATTTTCTCTCGCGAACACGATCTATAAAAAATATGTACGGTGTATATAACGTGTTTGTTTGTTGGTCTATAACTAGGCCCTAATTGGTAGCTCTAATGGCAGTGCGGCAGTTACTTTTGGCACGCCGCCTTGCTCACGCTGCCCGGAAACAAGCAAATCTCAGCAAAATGTCAACGAAGGTTATGTACAATAGTTCGGGATGGTGTAGACGACACAAAACTAATAACGAGCTCGTTCGGAAACAAAGCAAAGTATTGAAAACGTTAAGGATGAGTTAGCACTTAATATTTACAATTTTCTTTGTATTTCATTTCTTAACGGGTTTCTGGAACTGCTTGGCAGGCGCTGCCAGGACATTTAAGGTAACACGGGGCCAGGTTACAGGTTACTAACGTATGTCTCCCCGCCGCTCCCAGGGGACGGGATGCGCGGGCTACTCGTCAAACTAGAGCCACAATCAGTTCTTGACCTTGTCCTCCACACTGATGCTAGCAAGTGTCTTTTTGATGCGCAGCGCCGTCAAGCGGGCCACGGGATTGGGATACCAGCACTCCTTCATCACCTTGGCCATGTTGTGCAGCACATCGGAGGCATGCCAGCGGTTTGGAATGTTCGGCCGGCTCTTTTCGATGCAAACCACCTTTGGGGATGTTACAAAAAGTTAGACAACTCGTTTCCTTACTCATTTACCATCAAGGAAATACCTTTTTCATCTCCTCAATGCTGGGATCTGGCTGCACGGCATCGTAGTACGGCAATTGGTACTCATCGTAGATGCCCATGTTGCAGCGACGTGCAATTTCCCAGAGGATCAGGCCAAAGGCGTAAACATCCGCCCGCTTGTACGAGTCAAAGTGCTGGTCATTCATGCTCTCGTCCAGCACCTCCGGTGCCATGTAGCGCTTGGTTCCAACGCGATGAGTGGAGGGTATGTCCACCGAGTCGTTCTTCTCCACATGGCGCACGGCCAGACCCAAATCCCCGATGGCACAGCTCAGGTTCGATTTGACCAGTATGTTCTTGGACTTGAGATCGCGATGGGCGATGGCGGGCTTGCCGCGGGTGCCCACAATGTCCATGTGCAGATGGGCCAGTCCGGTGGCAATGCTCAGCGACATGTTCAGCATGGTGTTGGTGTCCACAGCGTGCGTGGTTAGGTAGTCGAAGAGCGATCCGTTCTCATGGTAGTCGGTCACCAGCCACAACTGTGTCCAAGTTCCGTTGTCTGTAGGAAAAGGAATAACCAAAATGGTAAGTATTTGAGGAATCTCCTAGAGAAAAGGCTGATGGGCTCACCCTTGTTGTCCGCAGCTATAAAGCCCAAAATGTTCTCGTGCCGAAGCATTACCGTCTGATAGATTTCCGCCTCGCGGAACCAGGAGCACTCCTCGCGACTGGAGAAGATCTTGACCGCCACGTTCTCGCCGCGCCAGCGTCCACGCCAGACCTCGCCGAAGCGTCCCTTTCCGATGACATGGCACAGCTGCACCTGGCGGGCAATGGAACGCTGCACCAGCAGGGGCAGACCAGCTGAAAGATAGGATTTAGGATTAGATCATGTTTAAAGAGCGAAGTAACCCTTCCCATGGAACTCACCCGAACCCGAACCGGAGGTGGTCATCTCAATAATATCGTGTATGGTGGTGTTACCATTCAGTATGGGATCGTACACAGAATCCTCCTTGGCAAACGGCCTGCCGCTGGCCAAACGCTTGCGACGTTGGCAGTAGTACCAGGTGCTGGTGCCCGTGAAGCAAATGAATAGCGTGGCTCCTAGTATAATGGCCACAAACTCCCAGCTGCTCAGACGTTGCGGCACATAATCTGAACAGAATCCACAGAGACTTTCGTTATTAGTGGCAGACAAAGGGATGTTTATGCAAATGTGATCGAATTAATGGAAAATAAGTACAAAGAGAATGCAGAATGTTAGTCAATCAATTGAGATTGGCATGCAGGAAGCCGTTAACAAGTAAATGTGCGTGATATCAATAAGAAATCAGGGTGCAGATACGAAACGAAACAAATCCGAACCCAAAAGCTCATTCCAAACATAAGGTTTTAGCGGTTAATAGTACTTAAATGTAGTAATTTATTTACAAAAACATCACTGACCTGCACATGAATAATTAGAGTTATTTACAAACCTTTGCATGGGGTAACAAGCCTAGAAACTACTTTAAAACCACTAAATAATGAAGAAAACTTATCAAACAAAAACTACATTTTTGGCTGTTTACAAGAAAACAAAACGAACCAAATCCAAACCCGAGTCCCAAACGAGATATTTCGCAGACGAACTATGTAACTCATACAGACATACCAACCTCCCACTGAACAAACACAAAAGTGCAATGGAAATGAGCGAACAACTACGAAAAACAATATGAACATCTTTGCCGCACTGACGGTTGAATACCCTATCAGAAGTTGCATCTTGAACTCAAGGTTTTATTACAGAGAACTTTTAGAAATTAAATTTGTATAGGTAAAAAAGGTATTTATTTAGTTGAAGTTTGTCTAAAATGTAATATCTTGGTATCGATTAATGTTAATTAAAAAAGTAGGTGTCCAAAAATGTAATCTACTTGTAGGTTGGTTTAAAAAAGTTGTTTTTCAAGGTTATAAAAGTTTTCAACGTCGATTATTAAAGATAAATATTTTTGTTTCTGCTAATAAGGATTATTAAAATAACTTTTTATAATTTATTAGAAAGGAAATGTACTATATAATTGCTTAAGCAGATTGAGTGGCCCAATAGAACTTCTGGTAGGGTAATCAGTATAAAAAAGCGGCAGACAGCGGGGCAAAAAATGCGGCCATTAATGAATGAAATGAGAGACCGTTGACTGCGACTTGCAGTTGCAACTGCAGCTCTGAAAGCGGCATTGCACATGAATGGAAAAGGGCAGACACACAGATACACACACACATTTTGGGAGTGGGCATAAGAGGGTGGGGCGGTGAAGGAGGTGGCAAACAAGGCCACCGTCTGCAAGGGCTTCTTGAAGCTACTACTCCTCCTCCTCCTTGTGGGCGGTTGTTGTTGTTGTTGCTGCTGACGGCCCTTGAGACGGGTTTTTGTTGTAGCTGGTAAATACCTTGCTTACTTCCTTCTTAAATGCGTTTTTAACAAGTCAATGCGATGATGACGCAAAAGGTCAGGTCAGCAGACAAACCGGCACAAACTCAGTTGACAGGTGAACAGTTTGGGTGGCGGCCTAAGTAACGGGTGGGGGTTGTGGGGTGGCGGGCCGCTTGGCCATCAGACGAGGCCACAGACAAGGTAACAATGTGGTGCGTATAATTTACATGAGATGTGGCAAGGGAAGTCAACGTATAGACAAGGACGACATGCCAACGAAACAACAAATTGGAGCGAAGTAAAACCCTGTTTCCAATCGTGTTTTCGATCTTAATATAAAAATAATTAAAATAGTTTTAAAACGAGAATATAAAATATTTTATCTTATATTATATATTAATAAATCAGTTTCTTAGAAATTACTTGATCAATTTTAGAAATATTATACTAAAGATTTAATGAATGTAAATGAAATTAAATTTTTTAAATAAAATGTACCCAAGGCACATAGGATTTTTTAGAAAATTAGTTAAATTAAAAAACTTATTGTTTGAAAAGAACGATATTGGAAACAGGGTCCGATGTTTATAATACCTATTCTTCCCTCGAAGGACGAACAAGGACGAAGACTGGGGTGGGATGGGGGTGTTCGCTGGAAGCGCGTGTGTGCGAGGTGTGTGTGTTAGCCAGGTATGTATTTCTTGTGTGAATTCGATGTGTTACAAATTTGAGTATACCAAAAAAACTTTGCAAATGAGGTGGTGGTGCAATGGCATGGGCGTGGCTGCTTCGATGGCTGGTGGTTGGATTGTTGGGTGGTGGTGGAGGTGTTGGTGGTGGCGGTGGCGTTGTTGGCGGTGCATTGCTGGTCTCACCTGGTAGGACACCACTGTAATTCTCACGCGTATTGCAATAATCTTCGGCGCAGCACTGTGAAGAGGCTGCCTCCGAATTTAATTTGCACGAGGTCGGATCTTCAGGTGGCAACTGGTCTGTTATGCATCTACATACATAATATTTAGTTGGGTTTTGTTTTTATCTACTAATTGGCTTTAGCTGTTTTTTGTTGTTTAGTTTTTAGTACTACATCTAAATTAGGTTCTAGTTTATTTGGGTAGTAAGAGATTAGCACTTGTAGTTGTTCTAGTTGTTCTCGTTGAATTTGTTGCGGTGTGCAGTTACGAAGCAGCTGTTGTTACCACTTACAAGCTAAAATTTATCAGCAGCTTTTGTTTATTTATTTTTGGTGGTAGCTCAGCCAGGATTGGGGTTGGGGTGGATTTTTTCAGCTGCAGCAGGTGGATTCAATTGTGTTTTTGGGTGCAAAGGCAGTAAGCAGAGTCGGTCGGCCATCAAAATACCAGGGAAATGTGGAAGGGAAACCACTGCCAAATGTGGGAGAGGCGGGGATTACGTCTACACTAGTTTTTCAGGCCAGTTCCATATTTCACTTCCCAGGAATTTTATTGCATTGGACTCCAATTTGATATTGGAACTCTCGGCAAAATATTAAAAATTCTTGAAAAATTGTAGAAAGTAAATATCGGAACTGGACTGCATATTCCAAAACAATAGGACCAAGGAGTAAAGCGCAGAAAAACCATATCAGGGAATATCTGAAATTACTTAAAGGGCATTCAGATCTATAAGGGGTCTTATTTTAAAAAGGAAATTGGAACCAACTTCGCAAAATACGTCCTTCGAAAACCGCTGATTTTCTTTAAAAAAAATAGAGCAGAAAACCATAGAAAAAAGGAATGCTCCCAGGACAAAACCAATTCACCCCCCTTGAGTGAAAAGTCAGATATCTACAAACTACAAACACGATTCGAATTTGCAAAGATACTTTGGCATGCATAAAGTTACGTGTAATTTATTAGGATAAGGTGTAAGCTGGATTCCGTATAAGATTTATGGTGTGTGTTTGTGCCACAGGGAGAAGCAGGGGGAAAAGAAAACAGTGAAAAGAAATAGGAGAAATAAAAGTGGGAGCCCAAGAAGCGAAAAAGGTGCAAAAAGTTAAGGTAAATAATAAACTTAGGAGACAAAAACTTAGGCGTTGTGCACACCTGAAAGAAAAACGGACTAAGCTAAACCAAAATATTATTACAGATTATTGGATAGTTATTATTATTGCTTTAATTATATTGATGCAGTGCTTAATTAGGCAAAGTGAATTAGAGAAAGTGTGCAAACTAAAGAGAGAAATTGTATTGTTGTTGGTTTTGTTTTTGTTTTTGGTTTTGTGTGGTTGTTGTTACTTGAATGTGGCTGTACCTGTTTCAAATATCCTCTTCATAATCTCATTCTTATTGCAGAAATCACTCTTACAGCAATCAATCCTAAACGAATTGTACTTTTCGATGCTGGTGAGGCATTCGAGGGGTAGATTCCGCTGCATATTGTATTTCACGGTAAGGCACCTAGGTGACCGTACAGCACGGTACACAAATATATGAACGAGCGGGGATTTATTCGACACAAGCGAGTGGAGGCCGAGGGGAGCGAAGGGCAGTTTGGGAGATATAGAGAAAATAACGATTAAACGGAATTAGTATTGCTTGGCTTTGTTGGTTGTTGGTTGGCTGCTGCTTCTGCTGTGGTTGCTGCTGCCTTCGGCTTGTTGCTAATTGAAGTTTCAGTCTGGTTAGTAGCAATAAAAGTATTATAATTATATTTAAAACAATGTATGTATCGCCGCTCTGGCTTCCAGACGGTACGTCATCATTAGTAGTGCTCTGCATTTCGGGTTATGATCATCTCAAAAAACTTAAACTCAACATTGCATAAGTGGGGGTAACGATCAAAACGGGGGCAACTTGTTCTTGAACGGCGTGCGAGTGAACAGAAAGAAGAGGGAGCAGTCAGAGAGGAAGGAAGGGAAAGATTTTGGGAGCGAAACACGTGCAGAAGCGCACGCACCTTCGACAGCGACATGCTGTCCCTCCAAGGAACTCGACGGCTGCTGGTCCTTCGTCTTTGGCCAGAGAAAGCGGTTGCAAAAGTCTCTGTCCCTGCAGCAGGCGTGGACGCCACTCCGACCCACCGGACGGACCGTGGGACCGCCGTGCAAGCCATCATTGCACCAGATGGAGCGGCCCGGCGGAAAGAATTGCGATTTGTGCAGACATCTGCATCGCAGGTCATACGTATCAGATATATTCACACTGGCTGCTCTGAGGGACAAGTGCTAACCTAGTCGAAGGCCTGCTCTTCAGGCGCACGAAACTCACCTGTAGCTGAAGATGATGGTGTCATCGGCGTTCTTCTCCACCGACGTGAAACAATAGCCGTCCGTCTCGCAAATGTGGTTCGAGTCCTTGCAGACGTCGCAGTGGCACTTGATCATTTCTGAAGGTTAAAGGAGGGGAAAAGAGGATTTAGTATTATTTATTTTCAATTTGTTTAATAAACATTGTTTATAGAATAGTAAAAATGGTATTTGTAAGCAAATATAGGCACAAAATATCATTGACAATGAAAAATCAGCAATTTAAAGCATGTAAGAACGAAACTCATGTGCATGTTCATATAAATATTGGGATGACTTATAAAATAAATAAATAAAAAATAAACAAATAAAAATAAAAAAAAAAATAAATAAATACAAATAAACAAATGAAAAAAAAATAAATAAATAAACATATAAAAAAAATCATTTCTTGGGGGGGAAATGCTAAAGAGTCCTACAAATATACGTGCCAAGTTGGTTTACAAGTTTATTACTTGAGCAAGTAAAGCCCACCCTTAAGCTCTGACCACCAATAACTCTAATACTCCGATTACAAAATGCTCAGACTCCGATTGAAGCAAATCAATCAATTAGGTGCTGGCAGAAATTAACTAATTAGAGAACGTAGAGATCCATAAATCAAGCGCTCGCTGATTGGCGTCTCCTTTGGCTCTAGCCATAATCTGGGATTTGCCATAACCATGCCCCCGGGGCACCTGGCCGGTGCGGGCACACGCTCGCCCAGCCAGACATCCACATTCACCGACACCGCCGAGAGCGTGATGAAACAAAAACAAAACCATTTAGCATTAACAAAGCAGACGCGGAGAAGACAAGTGCAAAGTGGAGGGCCAGACAATGCGACCAGTTTTTCCTTCCCCCGACAGCGAGAATCCAGTGCTTAGGCCGGGTTTTTTTCTGTTTTTTTTTTTTGCCGACTGCAGTTGCAAGTGCCCGAGTGCAGCAAGCAAATGCATCCAGACGTGGGGGTGTCTGCTGCCAGGCAGTGTTGGAGTGGGCCATGAGAGCTGTCTGGCTCGGCTCATTGACACCGCGCCGAGCTGACGTCACGAGATGGGAACGGAATAGGAGCCACAGGCGGAGACGCCGAAGAAGACGGCCTTTTAGAAGCATTCAGAGTCTTTGAGGTGTTACAGTCACGCGATATACACTCGGAGAAAAGACTACAATGCTGTTCAAAAGATCTCGAAAACTTAAATAGATATTCCAAAAAAAAATGAAGAATCTATTTCTATTTTATATAAATCAAGATTAAGATTTTTGTTTAGAATTTCATCTGCATTTAGGTTTGCACAATCTAAACTTCTGTACTTTACAATTTCTTAATTTTATACTTTTAGGGCCGTTTGTTAAGTTTAACGTAGGGAAATCATTGTTTTAACCCTAGTTTAAATAAGTTTTTGCAATACCTTTCGATTGGTGTATTACTCATTACGATCGGACTATCACAGCAGATTTTCAATTTTGCGGCTATATAATAGTAGTCGCCTTCGCACACTCTCCTGGTGCGCTTCGTCACTACATGGACTGCCGTCCATAGTGATTTAACAAACGGACGAGAAAACGGCCCTTAAAAGATTTTTTTAAAAATGTATACTTTTTTAAATTTGTACCCAATTTAATTTAAAAATGTTTAAGTCCCATTCTCACATTTAAGTATTTAGTAAAGAATGTTTACTGTTATATACGTTAACATTAGAATTTTTCCATTTTGTTAAATCTATATATTTTTTATAGATAAATATAAAAACAATTCTAGTCTGATCTGAGTTTAAAACTCTATCTGAAATAATTGTACCAATAATTTAAAACAAGCATAAAACCATTTCAATTTACCGAATTTAAAAGTAAAAGCCGAGTGAAAAGGTCTTAGCTAAAAACTTCTTTGTTGAGGGCTGGTATTGAACCTAACAAAAGTGGTCAGAAACAAAAAACCTCATATGAAACTAAATTTCTTGACGTTATTTTGATATGAAGATTTTTGTTTTGGACGACTTTTTGTTAGGTTGAACATCCCTTATCAGATAATCATTTCGCTGATCATGGATAGTCAGAACATTATCTTTCAGTGTACTCTCCAATTCTTTGGCGTTTTGAAACTTACTTTGTGGCTTCTTGGGGGCGGGCTGAGCTACGTAGATGGGCAGCTGGGGGGCAGCAGCCGTGGCAACTGCTCCGGATCCATCGCCGTCTTGCATGGCTACAGTGCTACCGTTGATATGGTTGTTGTTGTTGTTGTCGTGGCTCCTGTTATCAGCGGAGAGTGACGACGATTGATAAGCCTGGCCAGCTGTTCCATTCGGCGCCTTGGTCGTCGGTGGCCACTTGCCAGGGTGGGAAGCGGTCGCAGGATCAGACCGGGAGGCATTCAGGCTGGTGTTCATCACGAACTCGATGGGGGAGGCTGCACAGAGGGAGATTTTAGGTTAGTTTCGCACCTGATGCGGACTGGCGGGGCGCCTGGGAAACTCACAGCTAACGGAGGCGCCGAGCAGAGCGCCCAGGAAGATTAGCCGGGGCGCAGATAACATGTTTGGTATTCGCATCGATAGTGCGGCGGTGTGTTATTGTAGTGGTGTGTTATTGTTTGTGCTGCCCGGGGGCTTTTCTTTTGTTTTCCACGATCGCACGCACACGCGCGTCGCAAGTTCAAAGTCTGTGGCCTGCAAATGAGCTTGTTTTGCGGGCGCAGGAGCCGCAGGAGCAGGAGGAGCGGCCAAAGGACACCTCAGACAGCCACTAATTGGCCCCGAATTGCGCATTTATGGCGTAGGACACGCGCCCGCGGAGTCTCACACTTTGCTGGGGCATCGCCGCGGGTTATAGTTGGCCGATTCTCACGCGATTAGTGAAATTGGTTGAACGGGCACTACGAAACTCCGCCCAAAGTTGCTTGGAAAAACTGCTCTGCCTTACATTTCACGGACGAGGGCGACTTTTCAGGCGGATTTTCATCACGTGATTTGGGGCAGTGGCGCGGTGGAACTGCTACTATTTCCGATTCCGCGAGGTGGCCGGCGCTTTCAGGTGTCCGGTGCAACCGTTTGTTTGTATTAATTGCTGCTATTTTGCGTTAAATGTGCAATTTTGTGCAGCGAAAAAACCGCGCTAGTGTGTGTGGAAAATAGTGTGACCGTGCTTTCCCCAGTGTGGCCAACATGGGCTGGCCGCAAAACCCACCCACTCGCCAACTGCGTTAGAATACCCCAACTATAACTAGACTAGGAATTAAATTGGAAAATCGCTTGTTTTAAGGATAAATGGCACAGTCTTCATTATTTTGTAACATAAATTTATTTCCAATAACTGCAGGTACTGCGCAAGTGCCCAGGAATCCAAACAGAACCAAAATGCGGGGCACGCCAGGGGGAAATGGCCATGTTTCGGTCGACTGCTAATTTTCTACTGCCACAACAGGCTGAAGACGTTCAGCGGCGGCATGCCGGGCTCAGCACCCTTCGCAAAGCCTGAAAAATAGAAATTGGCCTAAATCAATTGTCGGCTGATACCATTTCCTGGGTGCTTCTTCTTCCCAGCCGCGTGTGGAGGGGCAGAAAAACATGGGCCCCAACTCACCCAAATACAGGACGAGGGGCACGAAACCCCAGTGAAATCCAGTCTGCACGGCGCCAACAACCACTCCCAGACGCTCCTTGACTCCCTCGGAAAGCTCCATTTCGTGCGGATTTTAATTTAGTTTGGCGAATTATGAAATGAAATCCAACGAATCCCACAGAAAACCTGGTGTTGGAAAACGGCGTGTTCCTTGCGAGCAAAACAGCTGACGGGAATTAATTCAAACGAAATGATAACTTTTCCTTTATTTTTTTTAAGGACAGCTCTGCCGCAGGTTGCTTGGACTGATATAGAAACCAATTTGTAAAACTCCAAGGAAATTTGAATGCCAAATTTTAATAAGCACTACTCTCCGTTGGGGTGGCAACGCTGGCAGTCTAACGTCATTTTGGCAAATTTTTCTGACTTTTTCGCTATCACTTTGCTGCTTGCAAGTTCTATAAAAGATTTCCCAAATTTGTTACAAGAAAACCTACCAGTAAGAGAGTTAATTTTATTTAAAGGAGAGCTATATCACAGACATTACTCAATTTCAGAGCGATGAGCCCTCCGTTATATCAGTTAAACAAGGATCCCTTGGACATGGACTTGCACGAGGGCGAAGTGGTCATAGTATCAGATGGACAGGTGTCGTTTTCAATCTGCGATTATGGAGTTCTCCAGAGCGCTGGCCAAGTTGAGAATAAAGCAGTCAATGATTTGCCGGAAAACGAACGTGAAAACCCCGTTCAAGAAAAGCACTCCGAAATTGGACTGTCATCTTCCACAGTTAAGATCGATGTTGAAGAAGATGTTGGCCCTAACGAACTCGTGTATAATAAGCATGCTGGATCTCCTAAAAGTCCAAAACAATTGGAAATCCACCAAAAAGCAGAAAAACGGTTCCAGTGCCCCCAATGTTCCAAGGCTTTTATGTTTAAATCTCAATTCAAATACCACTTTCTAAGTCACTCAGGAGAAAAACAGTTCAAGTGTACCCATTGTCCAAAAACTTTTAGCCAGGTTGGACATTTCAATAACCACTTGCGATCGCACACAGGAGAACAAGATGATTTGCTCGAAGATAAGGGCCGTAACGAATTCGTAGATAATGAGCCTGATGATGATTCAAATAATGTTAAAGAATCTCCGAAATCCCAAACTCCAAAAAAATTTGGAAGTCCACGAAAAAAGAGAAAAACGGTTCAAGTGCTCCCATTGTCCAAAGGTTTTTGTTTTCAAATCGCAACTTAAATGCCACTTACGAGGTCACACTGGAGAAAAACCGTATAACTGTACCCATTGTCCAAAAACTTTTGCTTTCAAATCGCAACTTACGTACCACTTTCGGGTACATTCAGGAGAAAGACCGTTCAAGTGTACCCATTGTCCAAAAACTTATACCCAAAATAACCATCTAAAAATCCACTTGCAATCGCACTCAAGAGAAAAACCGTTCTGCTGTCCGCAGTGCTCAAAGTCCTTTGTCTCAAAATTTACTCTTGGTAAACATTTGCTACTCCACACAGGAGAAAAGCCGTTTAAATGCTCCTTTTGTTCGAAGGCGTATCCGTACAAAGCTGGTCTTACGTATCACTTGCAAGACCATGAAGATATGTACATAGCATCGACTTAAAATGAAGCATTTTTAAAAAGAATTTATCTAAATCTAACTATCCGACCCAGCATTTTATAAAATCGTTTTCTGATCATAAGCTGGGCGAAACTGGTATTCTATATCACATTTTTTGAGTCGCTAATCACTTAATCGACTTGTGGTAAAAAATCCAAAATCTAGGAGTGGCTGTGGTAGTAAATAACTACTAGTAAAAATCAGGGACCGTAAATAATCATTATTTGAGATTTTTATTTTAAAAGGCCTGAGGTTTTTACAAGTTTAAGGGCCGGTTTCTCGAGTCCCTGTCAAAGTCCCTGATAGCTATCTGTTCGAAAAACTTAAATACCAGATAAACTGCTCGTAAAAGCAAATCCGCTTTCTCGACTGCTTTAATTTATCTGAACGAGAAACAATTACAGAGTGCTGTTAACGCACAGAATTGTGCTGTAAAGTGCAATAAATGGCATGCTTCGATTATTTCATCAGCTGTTTGGATATAATTCAAAGGAAAAGTCAGCTGTGATTTCGTTTCTTCTTCTTAGTTGGCTTTGGAAAATCAGCTGTCATTCTATCGAGTCGAAAACGGTTAACAGGGACTCCGAGTCCCTGTCAAAGTTAGCTCTCACATTTATGCTCGAGAAAGCCGAAATGACTTAGCAGGGACTTTATCTGTTCGAGAAATGTTAGCCGGCACTCGAGAAACCGGCCCTTAATCAACAATTCCCTGTAGTTCGCCGGGACTGGTCCCGAACTAGCGAAATCGCCATACACCGGGGGCTTGGGACTGACTCCCGTTCATACCACCCGCAATGTAAATTTCTATCCACTTTTACCACGGCATGTCCTAGGCGGTGGTCATATGGCGAAGTTCTGCATTACCTTTCGCCACAAAGGGACCGATAGGTGGTCCCATTTCATACCCCTTTTCGCCACAAAAGGGGCCACCTATCGGAACACCTATCGGTCCCTTTTGTGGCGAAAAGGGGTATTAAATGGGACCACCTATCGGTCCCTTTTGTGGCGAAAAGGGGTATGAAATGGGACCACCTATCGGTCCCTTTTGTGGCGAAAAGGGGTATGAAATGGGGTTGGTGTTTTCAATACCAAAAAGCTGAATGCTATGAAACTTCCCAAGAAAAAATACTTTTGTTAAATTAATTTATTGTATTATAAGTAGACAATTTTCTATTTTTTAATTTATATTTATTGAACAAAATCCTCTGCTGACACGTTTTTGTTGAGTTCCTCATTGTTGTTATTATTTGATTTGAATTTATTTTTAAAAAATCGTTTCTTTGCAATTGAATTGCCTTGGGAATAAATATTTCTGCATTACCAGATTCTGAAACAATATATGAAAAAAAAAAGATTTTAGTGTTTTAAAATAAAATGAGAACAAAAACTAACTTCGGCAAGCCAAAGTTTTAATACCCTTGCAGCTTTCAGGAATAAAATTGTGACTAGAAAAGCATAAATATAAAATAAGAATAACCAACAGTTAAATGTAGACTTATTTCACGCTTTGAAACTTGAACCGACAGACAGACGGACATGGTTAAATGGATTTACTTTATAGGTTTGAAAAGGTCTCCTTTACTGCGTTACAAACTTCTGGACTAAATTATAATTCCCTCTGCATGGGTTTATATATATATTTTTAGTTTTTGTTATACAAGCCTGTTCACATCAAGCCATGTTTTAAAAGTGAAAAGCAGAAAAAGACTGAAAGAAATAGGATTAAAGACAGATGGCATTCTAAGAAAATAGATTGAAATTGAATCAAGAAACTAAGTATATTATAAAAAATACAGTTATAAAAATAACCTACCTTGGAGTGCACCATAAAAATGTGTAAATGAGTTTAAGGCTTTTTTCCAGAAAGGCCTTTAACATTAAATCCCACAACGAACTCATCTGTGAGAATCCTCCGCAAGTTTTTAAAACCCCTTCTGGCAGCAACAACGATCTCATGGCTTTAATCTAAAAAGGAAGAAAATTTCAATATAATGTTTATATCAAAGAAAAAGACTTACGTAGGAGTCCTTTGCACAACTATTAATATTTTGGTTGACTATATTTAGGGCCTCCTCATCTTTAATTGGGAAACATTTCGCCACGTTTGTGTTTTCCACTCGTTGCCGCACCAGTTGCGAAACAATAATTTTTGTTCCGCAAGGGAAAGAATTATTTCCTCAAGTTTTCTAAAAGAAATTAAAATTTGATTATAAGAGCATTTAGCAAGGAAAAAATATACATATTTAAGAAAAGAAACATCACTGAAACAATTATTTAAAAATAATATAAATTAAATAAAAATTATTTTACATTTTTAAAAACAAAAAAATGTCTAAGGTTTATAGTGCAAAACAAAATTTAACGTCAAAAAGTTTAACATTTTACCATTTATTTCCGCGATTTGCTTCTAACTTCGCAACAATTTGTGCACACGACGGCGGTTGAAAAGGTTCGTCTGAAATGGAAAACGAATGTACTTTACGTAACAAATTCGGTCGTAATGAGATTATACATACCAAAGGAAAAATCTGTGAAACTGCGCTTCGAGATTTTGAAGGAGTAGCCATTTCTGTTCTTCTATTCTATCTTCAAAAAATATAAATAAAAACTAACAAAACCAATGAAACCGACACATCGACAAAACAAACAAATCGACAAAAACAAAAACTACAACATTAATATTTATTTTTTAAACTTCCCTAATAAAAATGAAGCATGGGAAAAATAACCATCCCACTTCCCCTGGAATAACAACGGCCTTGCACTCTAAATTTTCTAAAGGAAATCTTTCTCCTCTTGCATAGACATATCTTTAGCAAAATAAATACCTAAACATGTTGAAACTACTGGTAGATCATAAAACCTGTCTAAATTGGTAAATCGTTTCCCTACTATTGCTGCCCCTTGACTGTCTAATTCTATAATTTTTATTGGAATTCCTTTCTTTATAAAACAAAAATTATCAGGTGACTTACAAGTAAGCGTACAACCCTTAAAATACATTTTTACCTACAATTTGGCATATTCGCACTAATGGTGGTTCATATATTTGTTCTGATAATTTCCTGTGAATTTGCTGCAAAATTAATGACGGTTTTTTACCATTTTTTCAAAGATTGTAGATAATTCTCAAAGGAATAACAGGATCCAGAAATTGGATCACCTACATGCTGGACCGTCTCTTTTAAATGAACTAAACTATGAATATTATACGAAATACTATTTACCAAATAAAACAGCAAAATTTTTAACAAAATAATTTAGCATTGCTTGGCATAGATTTAGGTTTGCCTCTCGTTGCTGTGAACAACACAGAAACCTATACGAACAGTGTAAAAGTAGAAACTCGTAATAAACATCATGATGGACACAATCTTTAAGAGCAATTGGTCCTGAATACAATAAAAATTGCCGAAACTCAGTAGCCTTCCAATGATTAAGATCAACTAACGATCTGGGCTTTCTTGCAAATTCATTAGGGATATATCGACGCATATTTATTAACCTATTTGAAATGGTATCTTTTCTCTATTGGAAACTCTAATCGAAACGCTATTACTTATGAGTCCCTTTAAAAATTTACGCATTACTCCTAGTTCTACGAGGTGCATGCTATCTAAAGGAATTTGTGTCACCATGCCCACATTTAAATTTTCTAAGACGGTTTTCTTTGCCAAGTATTCGGCCTGGTGATGATCTGGATATTTCCTATCTAAAAATCCTGGTCGCTAATTAGATTTCCTGATTCTGTACAATATGTTAAAGTACCCTCTATTTTTTCCCCACCTGGGTACATTTTGCGCAACCATGTCGGGAAGTATGACCTGGTGTTCCACTAATAAAAGCCCTAGCAGGAGCATCGCAAACAATTGCCCTAATTTTCATATTTATAAAAGTCCCATTTTTTCCATGCCATTCTCAATTATTCCAGACAATTCTTCAAACAAAGGACTCAAATATTCTTCACAGTTGTTTGGTTTGTGTACCCCAGAAAACTCCTACACAAATAACTGGCGTATTTACAAAATTATTAACTCTTATCAAAATGGGCCAAAGTTGCGCCCGGGAACTTTTAAAAATTGGCAGTCCGTCTATATTAATGTCAATCACTAACTGATTTTCACTCTGATAGCAGTCTAATAACTTCATAAATTGATTTTTAACTCCTACATGTAAGTATTGGCCACCTGCTACCCGCGAAATAATTGGCTTGGAGGACAAGAAGACTTATAAAAAGAACTGACGTCCAAATTTTCTTCGCGCAAAATTTTAATCAGGTCTTTGGCGCATTCGCGGGAGACTCTATGCTTATTGTGCCATTGGCGAAGCTTGTCATTTAACAAACCACTATTTCGGACTGGAGGTCCGTCATTAGTTTCTACACGTAACTCTTCTGTTTCTAAGGCTTCCATATGATTATCGAAATCTGCTGTATTGAATGCCCAACTATCAGACACTTCTAATTCACTTGGCGGCTGCGCTTGCTCTATTTCCCTAAATCTTTTCTGACATTTCTCCTTTTCCTCTTTAATTAATCGACGAATGTGCCTGTTGCTGTTCATGGCTGAATATCACATATTATTAGGGATTTAACTTCACAACATATATGGCGGTACTCACCTGTTGACGACACTTCAGAACACAACAAAATATAACACTTTAAATGTACAATAAGACAATTTACAATAAGACAATACAATGTTTACAAAATTTGGCGCACGCGTTGGGTTAGTGATGGTAGCGGAGTTGGGTAGTGATGGCAATCCGTTACGATTAATATTGCGACTACCGATATCGTATAATCGATGGCAATAAAAACATTGTTAAAAATATTGCTGCAGCTAAATTGCTCATTATTAAATATAAATAATATAAAAGAAATAAAATTCTATCATTTATTATTTTATTTTATCTCATTATTAAGTTTTTATTTTATTATTTTAACTTTTTTAAATTTGTTTTTATATAAACAAAATAAAGTTGTATTCGTTATTAAAATCATTATATACTTTCAAAAATTTCATTTTACAATTTTTTAACTCATATTGAAGTGTTCAACCTCCCATAACTCTTTTGCTCTTGTAAAAATACACACGCCACCTATTGAAAAAAAACCCTGTGTTTTTATCCCTTTTTTTCCCCCAAAAGTCCCCCCGCCCCTTGAGAACTACAGGGTTTATAGACATGAACAAATACCAGTTAAATTGCATCCAGATTTGTTGAAATGCATATACTTTGTGGACAAGAGTAAAAAAAACGTTATTTTTGACGTTTAAAACAAAATATCACAGTAGTCTTTTTAAAGTAAAAATCTCAAATAATGATTATTTACGGTCCCTGGTAATAATTCATATTTTGTTAATGTAGTAATGCCGTTGAAATTGAAGAATATACATAAAAATGCTGTTTAAAAATTCAAAGAGTACCCCAAACAATTTGGCAATAAAATAAATATGAAAGGGAATACCCTGATTAAGTATCAAAGCTGACAAGTGCTCCATATATCGATACTATCGTACGTCTCACCTTCTCTAATCTTGCCTCTCTTTCGCTCTCGCTCCGCTCTCAATTTAACATAAATGTTAAGATACAACGTTTTCTTACATTGGCAGAACTGTTGCGCCTCTGCCGCTGCTCTGCCAATGTAAGAAAACGTTGTATCTTAACATTGCTGTTAGAAAAAGCATGAAATCTAACATTTAGGGGCGCCAAATCGGCGGAAGGGGGAAACTGGTTTAAGGAAACGGGCGCCCTCTATGGAAACATTTGTGAGCTAAATGGAACGAAATACAATCGTTGTGGAATATCGATATTTTTAGGGGGAGCGACATTTTCATCTGGCAACACTGCTCCCTTCTCTAATCTTGCCTCTCTTTCGCTCTCGCTGCTCACATGCGTTCTAGATCGTTTTATTTTCTTGATTTTGATTTGCTCGCAAAATTGTAGCAACGTTGCTGGTTTAAGTGCACCTGCAGTCGCGGACAATCAGAGAGCGCCGAGCGGACCACTCACTTTTCATTTGCCCCGAAAACGTAAGTGATAAGAAACACCTTTCCGCGCTGTCGCTGGCAAACAATGAGCGGCGCCAGGGAAAAATCAATTCTGGTTATGTAAGCTCGAATAACCGGATACCGTGTCCACTAATTCGCAGGTCCCGATTTGCTGGATTTTCAACTGGAACGGACCATGAAAACAACCAATCTCGGCCTGTACGCTTTCCGTTTAACCTTCGGTCAGGTGAGCACTCGCACATTAAGCCACAAAAGCAGGCGGCAGCATGCGCCATTCGGGGGCATCCACATCCACTGAGTTCTCCGGCCACGCGACCCACGGAATGGAGCAACTGCAGCCGGGAGACGCGTGCCTGGAGTGCCAGAGCCTGGGCAGGAATCACAAGCTGCGCTTCTTCTATATAAATCTCGAGGAGCAGCTCCTGAAGTGCGAGTCGAGGAGCTGTCTGTGGCCGCACAACGACGAGGTCTCTTCGGATGAGGAGCAGGACTTGGTTCCCTCCAATTCTCTATCTGTCCAAGAATCTGTCAATCTTTCTCCGCGTGAAAGTGCTCCATCGCCTGAGCCTTCTCCAGATAATGACGATGAATTCATACTGGAATTGCTGCAGCAACTGGCTCCGGCCACAGATCCTCCTGAATTTAGTTTGAATCTCTCTCCTGAGCCTCTAGAAGTAAAGCCCTGCCCGGAAATGGAGCTACCGGACTTGAGCTTCCTAGAGGAAGACATTCCCAAACAGAGGGAACCCTCAAAAGCTGTGATAAGCAAGCAGGAAGTAACCAAACTAAAGACTCCTCCCAAGCTAAAAACTTAAGCAGGAAGTGGCTCCGTTGAAGATTCCCTCGATTCCTAGTTGGCAGGGAAAAATAGAAATTCCCCTACTGCCCGCCAGTGTACAGACTCCTCCCAAAATGAAGCCCAAGGGAGATCCGTTCAGCACTCCGCCCAAGAAGGCCTCCACTCAGCCGCAAACGCAGCCGGAAGCACCGGCGGCCGCCGTCAATATAATTATCAGTTATCCCGAGCTAAATCCGGCCATGCCCTTCCTCGACGCCATCAAGCGCCATTCCACAGAGCCAAAACCCGCCGCTCGTGGCGGAGCAAGACGCACTAAGCGGCTGGCCAAAGAAACCACCGGCAGGGGAATTCGCACCCAGGCTGTGAGGCACTTGATCGAGCACCTGGAAATCACCACGGAGGCGAAACTCTCGTCACCTCGGCCATAATCAGCTGGCATTTTACCTAAATCGAGTATTTGAAATAAATTTGCATATCAAATTATGCATTCGCACCACCGGACAAGAAATCAAGTTCGTTTATTTATAAACAATTCCGCTTTGTTTTTTTTTTTGGCAACGCATTTTGAGGATTATTAATATACGCGGCACGCGTTCTGAGCATGTTCAAGTGGAATGAATAGATAGATGAAGATGGCATTCCTTCCTATCAGCAGAAGTGAACTTTGAAAAGGAGGTCGCGGCAACTGCGTCATGCGGCGATCAGTTTCAAGCCGGGATTAGCTGTGTTACTGCCTACAACTGATAAGGCAGACGGGCGTCATGAGGCCCAAAAATGATAGCAGGTGGCCTAAGAAATCAGGCATTACATCGACCCTTTATTATCAGTTCAATGAACGTGGGAACATGTGGGGTAATCGCTTGCGTGTGGCCGGAGCACTTGAACCTGGTTGCCAGCGGCCGGCGTAAAATGTTTTCTGCTGCGCAGTTTGCTGGGCAGTGGGCCAAGTTTACTGTTTGTTTGGCTAGCTATAAATACCCGGCAACTAAATCGGTTCTTCTATCTTATCTCCCGCAGGCGCCGCCGTTGTCCGCTCAGGCCGCAACGCACTGCAGCCATGGCTACACCACTAGCACCTCGTCGTCGCCCAACCGTGTGGTGACCCGCTCGGCCACCATGCTGGCGCTCTTCGGGATCGCGCTCTCCTCGTTCAGCCTGAAGCAGCTGCTGGCCAAGAAGCAGAAGCACCAGGGTCTGCGCAAGCTGTAGGATGGGGATGTAGCGGCAGGAGGAGCAATGAGGAGCCACAGCGCCATGTCCTGAGATCACACATTCGATTAGTTCATCATCGTGTATATTTGCCTAAGTTAAGTCATCCACTCACCACAAAACACAAACGGAACTCGGACATGGAGGCTTGTTTTGTAATATTCTCGTTAAATTGAACGGAGACCGATGCAGATATAGATATATTTTCTTGTTTACACATGCACACCATGCAGCGCCAACTAAAAGGAATAAATTTGTGATAAATCGTGTAGGAGGGAACGATAGATGGAGATAGAGATTCGCTAAATTTACGGAAATCCCAAATTTTCCAAGACCCCTTTGTTGCCCTTTTAGTTTTATATATATTTTATGTGTAAACAAGTCCATCATATACGTATATTTATTTACAAGTTGTACGAAAACCAGAGAAACGACTCAGTAAGAAGGGATAGATACAATAATGACATCGTTGGATAGCAGATCGCCGAGCAGGCTGCGTCAGTATCCAGGAAACAAACTAGTTGTAGTTCCGTATTCAAATAAATGCATTATATTCAATTCGAAACGCATGATTTTTATTTCTGTTTGCTTTGTTTAAGTAGGCTACAAAAAGTAATGTATTATGCCAGCACTTGGAAATATTAAATAATCAATCTATGATATTTTCCTACATCTGCTCGTCAGATTCTAAGCAAAGTACTAAATAAATAAATTACTCATGAAAATTAGTGAATTTCTTGGGTTGGAAATTAGTCAGTTTTGTGGTGAATAAAAAAATGGTATGTTGAAAACAACTAATGTTAATTCCACAGAAAATTGTAAGGGAATTTAAAAAGATTGTTGGTTTTTATATTCGTAACAGATTAACAATTCTAGGGCGTTTGTTTAATCATACACCTATTTATATTTTAACATTTTATTTATTTTTTTTTAAGTTTATTTATTTTAAAAAAGGGTATGATTAAAACAACTAATGTTAATTCCACAGGAAATTGTAAGGAAATTTAAAAAAAAGATAGTAAACAGATTAACTGTTCTAGGACGTTTGTTTATTCATACTCTTATTTATATTTTAATCTTCTTAGCTGCTATAGCTCTTAATTTAGTTAGCTTATAGTTTTAACTTTAAGTTAGCTTTAATAAGCAAACAAAATTGTTGTATCCTTTATTTTTTAAGGTCTTCAAATCTGTTTTGAATCTTGCGCCAACTGTAGAACAAAAAGAGAGGTGGCAGCACCGCTAGATACGCTAGATTTCCGCACCACCGCGCGAGGGTCACACTGGCACTACCCCCGCACCCCACCCCGCCCAATGATCAAGTGACGTGCCACCAATATAATCATTGGCCGGCCAAACAGAGCTCTCTAGGACTGCGGAATGGGGATCAACGTCAGCAGGACGGCCGACCTGGGGTCCAACGCGTGGCTCCAGCGCTTCGTGGGCCGCCAGCACATCGCCCACGATGACGAGGCCTTCTGGAACGGGCTGCTCAACTACAACATTGTGCTGCCGGAGAACAGGTGAGCTTGCTTGGTGAGTGGAGCGACAACGTCAGCAGGGCTAATCTTGTGGGGTCTTTCAGCCAGGAGCAGCTGAACCTGGACAGCCGCCTGGAGGCGCTGTGCCAGTCGTTCATCGGCAACAACCTGAAGACGGGCAACTTCGGCTCCCTGGTGACCGTGTTTCTGGAGAAGACCAGCGAGCTGCTGTCCCTTTCCGACCAGGAGAGCAACATGCACGTCTGGCAGACCTTCAACGCGCTCTTCATCATCCGCAGCCTGGTCAAGTACATCAACGAGACGGGCTCCGAGTTCCAGCTGCTGCAGCACTTCGAGGCGATGCCCAGCGCCGAGTTGCTCCAGGCGGCCTTGGAGCAGCAGCAGGCGGCGCCGGCGGAGAGCGCCACGATTGCCATGGAGGCCACCGAACAGTCGGCGGCGGCGGCGGTGCCGGTGATTGTGGACGGCTCCAAGTTCGAGACCTTCATCGATGCGCTGGTCAACCTGATTGTGGTGATCCCCGTCAAGGAGTTCACCTACCACCTGCACCTGGAGGCGGTGAACATGCTGATCACCCTGCTGTCGGTGCATCTCTTTGCATCCCAGCAGCCCACGGACAAGTCGATCGTCTTCCGGACGGTCTTCAAGTGCCAGCACGCTAACGTTTTGATGTCGGCACTGCTGCACTTTGTGGCCCGGATGGTGGAGGTGCCGCACACCATGTTCGGTTCCAGCTCCGCGGGATCCTTTGTCTTTGGCATCGCCGAATCGCTGCTCTCCATCTTCACTTTCCGCAAGCAGCCGGACGTACTGAAGTCGGGCCAGGCAGCCGGCGGCGGTGAGCTCTCGCAGCGATTCCGCACGCACTATCCGCTGGCCAACCAGAGTCTCCTGCTGATTCTGATCCTGACGAACCACTGCACGGCGCAGGATAATGCGTATCGAACCAGCCTATTTGGCTGCGCCGACTCCAAGGATTCGCCGAAACAGGGCGCTGTCTCCTTCCAAATCGACTTCTCGGCGGTATACGAGACGTTGTGCCTCATCGTCACCATCGACCAGGCCACGCTGCTGCTCTACCTGCTGCTCCACCGCAACGAGCGCTTCTACCGGTTCGTCATGCAGCAGCAGGATCTGGAGCAGCTGGTGATACCCATCCTGCAGACACTGTACAATGCCCCGGATAGCAACTCACATCACATTTACATGTCGCTGATTGTCCTGCTGATCCTCAGCGAAGACGAGGGCTTCAACAAGAACGTGCACACGATCGTAAGTCAGTCCTCTTTATATTTAGGCATCTAACCATATTTCGTTTCCCATAGATGCTGAAAAACATCACTTGGTATACGGAACGCACCATATCGGAGATATCGCTGGGCGGCATCCTCATCCTGATCGTCATCCGCACCATACAGTACAACATGCTGAAGATGCGCGACAAGTACTTGCACACCAATTGCCTGGCGGCGCTGGCCAACATGTCCGGCCACTTCCGCTCGCTGCATCCGTACGTGGCGCAGCGTCTGGTCTCGCTGTTCGAAACGCTGGCCCGGAAGCACACGCGCCTGGATGCGCAACTCAAGGAGCCGGCCGACAGTGCGGTATTTGTCAACGTCTCGACAACGCCGGAGGACATGCTACAGGATCTGAGCGTGCTGGAGGAGGTGCTGCGCATGGTGCTGGAAATTCTTAACTCCTGCCTCACTAACCAGCTGGTCTACTGTCCCAACTTGGTCTATACGCTTCTGTACAAGCGCAGCGTCTTCGAGGGCTTCCGCAGTCATCACGCCTTCCAGGATGTCATCCAGAACATCGATATGGTGAGTTTGGGGGGATTTCATTGGGTTTTTGTATCACCTTCATGTCTTTTTTCTTACCCAGGTGGTTGGTTTCTTCTCCTCCCGTCTGCAACGAGTGCAGGAGCAGCGAGGTGAGCTTGGGGTCAACGAGGTGCTTGAGGTTATATCGAAGGGCGCCAGTCAGTGGTCAAGCGATCGACTGAGAGTAAGTCTTACTGTTTCTAAAATCATGACATTTTTTACTTATCCCATTTCTCCCCTGCAGAAGTTCCCGGATCTCAAGTTCAAGTACGTCGAGGAGGACGCTCCCGAGGAGTTCTTCATTCCATATGTGTGGACGCTGGTCTGCAAGTACGGCTGCGTGCACTTCAGCTCCGAGAGCATTAAGAGCGTCACCACGGACATAGCCTGCTAATATTTACTACTCGCTCCCTTCCTCACACGCACACACGCGGCTCCGCTTTGGTTCTCACCATGTTTCAGTGCTTCTCCTCTTGTGTTCTGTGCCGGATTAACCGATCTATAGGCCATATACCGCGCCCCATCCTCTGATCCAAGCCAAAATGTCGAAATGTTATATCAAAAACAAAAACAAAGTAAGAGGCATACGCATCTCGAACGTTGACGATAAATTGAAACAAAGCAAACGAGAGAACTAACGATAATACTTAGATCTAGTTACGCTAATACTATTGTGTATGCTAACAAGCAATCCAGTCGGAAGTTGTACAAGTTAAAACATAGCATAATCCTTGAAACATGATCATATTTTGCTACGCCAACAACAGAGAGCATATTTGAAGGAAAGTTAAGCTCCGTTCGCCTATAGGTCGATTGTTCTAATCAACGGGAAGACGCAAATCCAATAAAACGTATATATTACATATTAAAGAATCGGAATATATATGCGAAAATATATTTACATTTTAGTCTATGATAATTATATATTATTGTATTTAGCAATTGGAAAAGTCGATAAATTATATATTAACTAAAGTTCATCACCTTGTGCTTTCTTCTGGCTTGGTTAGTGGTATTTTTCCATTGGATAAGATAATGTTAGAACATCCTAACTATGTCACTCTTTGTGTTATCTCTGAAAAGCCCAACATTTAATTACGGGTTTGGTGTTTATCAAATCAAAGAAGTGATAAGATGTTCTATGGAATTCGTCATGGGAACATTTCTTTGCCTAAATAAATTTATTAGAATAAGATATTCGGCTTAGTAACGATATGAAAAGTATGACTATAGACAAGTTCATAGAACTTAAATGAAGCATTCTAAGTTCCTAAATAACGAACTTCATTTAAAAATTTTTGTTTTTATAGCTGTAATATTTTTTTTTAATTCGTAAAGTAAAATGGGCTTACAAAAAAGGTTTGTCTTATTTTGATATTTCCTTTCCATTTGGAAGTAAAAAGGTCAAAATTGTATTTTCCTGAAAAACGGAAGCGTTCAAATTGAATTTTTGTTATTACGTATACGCCACGTAAACAAGGCGAGACTCGAGCTCCTTGCTTTTAGTTTATCATTTCCATTACGCATCGGGCTTCGTTGTTTGCGCTTCATTATGCATATTTGCACTATCAGCTGCAACAACAACGATGGGCTTGACTTGTTTATTACTATTACTATGTACTTTTCCCACCACCAGCTAAAAAGGCAGCTGGAAAAAACGAAGAACCGACTTTTACTAGGGTTCATCGACTTGGGCGGTTGGCGGTAATGCTGCAGGTTTTGGAGGATGGGTAGCTCAACCCGCTGAAGGTTTGTTGTTGGCATCTGTAGCTGCGGTCGCCCGACTCGTGTTGCCGCTGCACTTTTGTCAGCTCCGCGTACGTGTCTCTAATAAATAAATACATAAGTTCGCTAAGCTTACAATTGCGATAAAAAAAATTGCATTTGTTTTATTGCCGCTGAAAAGGCGGAAAATTTGTTATTGTGAGTTTTTCATGGCGTGCTGCATTTTAATTATTTTTAGCCCACAACAAACGGCGAAAATTTTTCAAATTTCTTTACCTCCTATTTTGCCATTATTTTTATCATGCTGGCTGCCTTTGTTGCAAATGTTTTGGTTGTTAGTGCTTATAGTGCTACTGTGGATATGCAGGTTAAAAAGGTTTATTGACTTCTCAGCTGCATTTTGTTAGCCATTTGTATTGTATTTGTATTGCCAATTTCCCAATGGGCAAGAATATGCCAGAAGCTTAGCCGAGTTCGGAACCCGCCTGCAGGCATTGCGAAAAGAAAACTCGCAGAGCGTTGCGCATGCGCAAACTTGATTGAAGCTCCAATGCCGCTCCCCTCACTTATCTCCTCTGATATTGTTGAATTATTGAGCAAATTTCATTGTGAATTAGTTAAACCAACTTAATAAATTGTAACATTAAGTGGAACTGGCGGAACCCAGTTATTAACAGAAAACAGGGGAAGGCCAACATTAAACACCCTTCAATGTGATACTTTATCTTCTTGTCAAATCATTTACTATCATGTAACTAAAAGCTAGATTATGCATGTAAGATATAATGGCTTTTTATTTGCTTATAACCCAAAATACAAACATAATAGATCGCGCTAAATCCCATTTTAAACTCCATTCACTGAAATTTAGTGGTTCAATAGTATGGAATCCATACTACATAAAAAACATATCTTTTAATTTAAAAAAATCTACCCCTTGTTATGATCATATAAAATATTGACCGACAGTTTCTTAGGAGCCATTTAAGCCATTAAAGCTGTGGCCAGAATTGGGATTGGTCACTGTCTGGACTCTCACTGTAGAAGGGTATCAAAGACATGGATGGAGCTGGAGCAGCAGCCGGTCCATTTGCCGCCGTTGGGGATGTTGCAACTCAACGGTTTGGGCCCGCATTTTCGCATTTTGTTTTGGCAAGCGGCTTCGGGTCATTGATCCATCGATTTTGTTGTTCGCAAACGAGCCCATTTACTATGTATACTATTTATACGGCCCGCACAATTATCTTGGAAATTTGCCCAGGCCCAGGCCCAGATCGAGACCCAAGTCCGAACCCAAGTCGAGCTGTTGCCCTCGGCGGCGTTTCGCTTCGGCGACTCCGTCTTCGAATTCCAATTATGCTTATTGACTGAATTAGATCTTGTGTTGTTTCTTTCTTTACTTCGTCTGGCTTATTGCCAATCGGCTTAGCATAAATATAAATTCGCACCTTTTAATTGTTTATGTTTACTTGCTTTGACTTTGGCTCGGATTCGGATTCGGATTCGGTTTTGGAATCGATGTCTCACCGGTTTGTTTGTCCATCTGTCCAAGTCCAAGTGACTCCGTACCGTATCCGTGCGTATTTTTACCGCTGACGTAGTGGTTTGCCTAGACCCAACTACGTGGTCCACTCATCCGTCCGAATTTGACCTTTGCAGCTTGTGATCTTGTTTGCTATTGCTATTGCTTTGGCTCCGCGATCGATCGATTGATCACCGATCGCATGAATGGGCCAGTTTTGCATTTGCTTTGGACCATTTCCAAGTGAAATCTATGAAAGTTAAGCTGATATTTGCCTCTGGCAATTGCGCCAAGCGATCTCTCACACTTTTTGAGGCCGTTGAAATTGTTTTCGCGACTTTTGGCTTAGGCAACGCAATCAGTAGTTCAATACTGTGTTTATAAATATTCAGAGAACCAGTTATCTATCTTTGGATTCGTTTTAAAGACACAGTTTGGTTATCAACAAACATTTGAAAGTGCTAGAATTATCTAGAAACTACGGTTTTAGCATTGGCCATCATTCTAGGTTAATCATTCTATTAAATAATAATAATACTAAAATTCATTCAACGAACACAGTACCATGCCATTAAAGTAATGTAAAATACAAATTGTACTTTTATTAATTCTGAATATTATGTTGAAAAATGATAATGTCATGTTTTTAAAATATTTTCTGTAAAGTAAAGTTTGGATTAGAAAAGTCAAACGAGAAAAACTTTACATGTTTTATGCAGAGATTTTATACTTACATTAAAACCAATCATTCTTTACAAAAGTCAAAAACATTTCCAACTTGGTTTTCTAAAAAATTCTTTATTCCATAAACATATTTTATCACAATAACTTAAGCACTAGATTGGGTGACGGGTGTTGGACACCCCAAAAAGTACAAAATAAATGGATCAATGACAGAAACTACATAAATATTAGGTAGAAGAGACGGTTAATCGCATGGATTGTGATGTGCGTGAGTTTAAGAGTAGAGTATTCTGCCTTTAGTTCGCTGTATTTCAGAGCTCGAAGGAAAAGCAGGCGCCTTTGGCAACACATCCGCCGTGGAAGGCCGATCCCGATCTGGATCCAGAACGGACGAACCTTACATGCCCTCGCAGGTGGACATGCAGTCCTTGTAGCTGGAGAAGTTGTTCTCGTTGCCATCGCAGCCGCCGAACTTGAACTCCTCGCACTTCTTCTGCTCCGGATTGTAGCGCCATCGGGGGATCAAGGCCCTGCAGACGCCCTTGCGCGCCGGCATCAGGCAGAACTGCTCCGGATGAGTGTTGCGTCCGGTGTTGGCCACATCGTCCAGCGAGATGGCGTCGAAGAAGTCGCTCACGTCGTCGTACAGGTCCATCGGCTTCGCCTCGCTGCTTCCCGGCAGCAGGAGGAGCACCACTGCCAGAACCGCACATCCCACTCCCAGGGCTTTCAGTTGTCCGCGCATTTTATATTTTAAAATTTGATACTTCTTTCTTTTTCACTTGATCACCTGGCGATTGGCTTCACGCAACTGTTGGCGCTGCAGCCTAGCTTTTGGTTTTATACTTCGGTTCGTAGTCCAAAGAGGGACAAGGGAAACAGCTTGATACTCCCATCTAAGAGGTCTAAACAAGCGAGCAGAGCTTTAACTATAGCTTCAAACTCTCTTAAGTTTCTCTTATTGGATATTCATGCTTGACTTCAAAATGTTGAAAAATTAAGTTCTTCGTAGCCCCCTGTTCAATTGGCTCCCCAAATATTACCATTTCAAGGATTTTCTGTAATATTTTAATCAGAGCTTGCAAGGTTCGGTCAACCTTTTCAAAGTGTTAGGAAAAAACCTGTCACAAAAAACCCTATGACAACTGGGTGTGAGCTAACCCCTTAAAAGGGTTTTTGCTTAACAGATGTTACGCTCAGAGCAAAACCCTTTTTTTCAGAGTTATTTCGGTTTCGGTTTCTACTGACTACTTTGCTCGGTCTGTTAAGGAAAACGGTCTTTTGTGAATGTATGAGTGTGCATGTGTGACCTGTTCAGTAATGCTTCAGTCGTAACATTGCTTTTTGATTATTAAAATTCAAAAGGGTACGGGAAAATACGTAATGTGTATTTTCTAAAGCTTAATCTGTAAGATTAGCCCATTTACCATTAAATTCCAATATTCTACATATTTTAAATAATTTACGATTCCAAAACTCCACTTTTGGCATTTCTTTCTTATGTAGCAATTAATAACCAAATCCACGTAATAAGAAGCGAATCTTTTAAGCTGCAAGAAAAATTAGAGCTTTTTAACAGGTTAAACCTCCTTTAGCAGTTTCAAATTTTGTTTATGTAGCTTTAAATCAATTCCTAACTATTTAAGAATATCTTCACAACATTATTCAGTTTTATTCAAAATATTTCGAAAGATTTGAAGGAACGCGCGATCCATTTTGTAGGAATAGGCTTAGTTGGAATGCTTTGAGCCATTTTTTATCTTAAGACTTATGGTAGTTCTCATTTAATCTTATGGTATAGCTCATTTGAAAGGTAATTCGTTTCTTTATGGCATTTCTTATTAAAGATAGTTCCTTATATAGTCAATTAATATATTGAAGCAAACAAAAAAATAGCAGCTAACCTATATTCAGAATACAATTTTATATACATTTATATGTACAATGCAATTTTAGAATTATCTTGATTTCCTATGTAAAATTTATGCACATATCACAGCAGGCCTATACTTTTTCCTTTCTAGAGAAAACCCATTTTTTTGACTTTTTTTTAACAGTAGTCTTTTAGAAACCCTTTTAGGTGACTGTTAACTTAAAAGGGTCTCACCGAGTGGTTATTGAAAGACCGATTGCTTTGTTCGGTTGAGCCGAACGGTCGGACCGAAACCGACAAGCAAAACTAAAAAAGGGTTCCGCTCAGAGAGAGAGTTTGTGAGCAACATTTTTTTCGGTTTTGTCGAGATTAAACTTCCTCAGGAAAATCGGTTGACAGTTATTTGCAAGCTCTGATTTTAATTGAAATTTTCAATTTGAAAATAATTGACAGAAAGGTGACCCAAAAATGTATTACTTATCCAAAAAATAAATATGTCTAAACGTAATAAGTGTCTTTACAGTTCTTTTATCTTTCAGTCTTTCTTGAAATAATATTATTTATTTATAATCTTGTTCGTACTAATCCCACCGAAATACATATATTTAAAATCAGTTATTATTATATCTTTAAAAGTCCCGCGAATTGCTATGTTATCGATGTCCGTCCGAAGATTCATCGATATTTCCGTCGCGTGATTGCCTTCTCTATTATGTAGTAATTGGTGAAATCTGGCGGGACTTTGTTTAAATTGTTATTTGCCCAAAAAGAGAGTTCAAAATGGCACGCGACTCGATCCTGACGTGGATGCGAAACCTGGGCGAGAAGGGGCGTCAAAATGAACTGGAGCTGCTGATTCAAAACACGCCAATTGAGGAGGTAAGTCTTCCTGAAATACAAGACACATTTGTTGATTAATGTTTATGGGTTAATAGTTGAAGGACACCCTGAAGAACACGATGACCCGCAGCGAGGGGATAACGTTCTGGAATTACCTGCTCCTGGGCTTCAATCCGGACAGCAAGGATGCCGTGGCCAAGCGATTCGAGTGCGTTCGCAGCTTCATGGACGGACTGAGCAGCATGGAACTGAGCTACAAGCAGACCTTCGATCTGATCACTCGCCTGTCCCAGGATTTGGGCACCTTTCCCTCCGACCAGCTGGCCTGGATCGTGGAGCACTGCATGGACGGGATGCGCCAAGGAGACGCCAAGTGCGTCGGCTGGAAGGATCTGCTGCCGGATGCCTTGTCGCTGCTCTTGGTCAGGCCTCGGTTCCTTCTGCACGGCATCTACGTGGAAGGAATTGAGTTCCGGAACACCACTGTAAAGAGTTTAGTAACCATGCAGTGGCCAGTCACGATCCTCACTCCAATTGCGGACATGTTCAAGTGGGTGACAACCGAAAAAGTCTTATTCTTCTCTACCTAACCGGTGATTTCTCCTTAGGTCCATAAATCTGAGCAGTGGAGAAATCCTCACGGTGCTCAACAAATTCTCTGGCGCCCTGCAGGAGCTGTCGCCCATGGAACTGCCAGCACTGTGCTTCCAGCTCTTCTCGATGTGCAGCACCGCCTCCCAGTTGATTATTCCATTGCTGGCCTTGGAGAAGTACTTTCATCGTAACTTCTACAAACGACTCTTCTCGGATATGTGCAGCAACTCCACAAACTTGGATAGCATCGGTTAGCTTGAATCCTCTGTTGATTTACAATCTGTAACCTATAATGTGTGCTATTTAGACTCTTTTTCGGACAAGGAACTTAGGGAGGCCGAGGAGACTATCCTGCATCATTTGAACTACTGCACCATGTACAAGCTTACTGAAAAACATTTGGCTATAATGTTAAGGGTAAGCTGGTTTGCTTCCTAAAAAAAGTACACTTATAACGCCCTCGTAATTTCTTTTTCAGAACTTCCTGCATATGCCTGATGTGATCCTAACTCCGTTCATGCTCAGCGCCATTATATCCATGACGAGCATTAATCGTGACCCCGAGTCTGCGAGGATCTCTCACTCCATTTTGCTACCCTTTTTGCGTAATGTGATCAAGAACAATGAAGAAGAGCGTACATTAGCCGAGTACTCCGTGTGGTATCGAGATACATTGCAACGCAAACAAGTCGATTTGCAGCAGGTTTTCATGGTGCTAATAGATCAGAACAAAGACGGAAAGGATGTGATTACACCTGGGCTTGTCCACCTCGTATTTTACCTGCTGAAATCGCATTCCCCCAAGATGCACACATCGGCGATAACGTTTCTTACAAAGTTTATACGAAAGCGTTTTATTTTTGGTCAAGGCATTATAAAATTGATTTCCGAGTGGATGATTGTATACCAGGACCAGAATCAGTTCTCAGGTGATTATACTAATTGTCCTTAATGATTCTTTATTAAAGTTGCATTTTTTTAGAATGTCTTACACTTTTAAGTGTGGCTGATACGTACACAGTCTCCGAGTGCATTAAGACCATTCAAACTGTTATGGAGCACATGCAATGGGCAAGTTTTGCAACGCAATTATAATTATTATTAATTATTAATTATATAAGCATTTGGTAACTATTTTAGCTGTCTGGTGAGCAATCCATGCGCATGATGAACTTTATTCTGCCTTTGCTAAAGATTTCCAATCGAGTTCGCGATGCCCTGATAGATGTGCTTTGCAAGGCAATGAGCTCTAGGTGAGTCTGATTACTTGTAATCATATATTTCCCTAAAATACCCTTCTTCTCTTTATTCCAGTGGTATTCAAAAACGACGAATGGCCATTTATGGCTTCTGTATGATCCTTAAGCAGCTTAACAACAGCAATGCGATGCGCCAAACCTCAGGTGCCACAAGTTTCTGCACACAACACAGCATTTCTGGGTACTCCATGATGACCCAGAACACATTGGGAAGTCGCAGTAATCCTCAGCGCAATTTCGACATGCTTACATTGGAAATTATCGGAATGTTGCGAAATTGCTTGCAGCAACAGTTTGATATACGGTGCACCCTTTATGAAAGTAAGCTAAGCTAAACGAAGGACTTGAAATCACGGAATTATTCTATATAAAATATCCCATACAGATCTTCAGAGAGCCGTGGAACTTAATGCCAAACTAGTGCCCCATGTGCTGCAAGTAATTGACTGGCACTTTCGCAGCTTTTTTGACACCCCGTCCGCAGAAGATGCTGGTGATGATCTGGACACAGTTTTTCGCATTCGCTACGATCAATTGGTTAGCTCCAGCGATGATCAGCATATGGAGGTTCAGCTCAAAGATAACCTGGGCAAGTTGATCCAGTTTGTAGCCAACTGTTTGGCTGTTTTTGAACGGGCTCCATCGGGCTACGACACTCGTGAGATGAACCGGCTCCTAGGTTTCTGTGTGGACCGTATGGTGGCCAACAGATTGCCATTGGAGGACATAGTAAGCAAAGTTAAGCCCTTTCCAGCTGTACATAAAATAATACCTTGATTTTTAGGCACCCCCAGCCACACATCTAAAATGCTCTCTGGTATTGCAACAACTTAATGTCATTGAAGGGATAATTTGTCACCTGCTGCTCAAATCCAAGCCACAAAACGATTATGTTTCTCAAATATTGCCGCTATTCAACCAGCATTGTAAGCTTGTGGAGAGCCTTAAGGCTTTGGGTGACGCTTCCAAGAAAGCCCATAAACAACTAAAGCAATCGGCCAAGAATAATAGTACCTCTGCCTGTAATCTGACATTAAATGGTGTCCCAGTAAAGACGATGTGCACACAACCAGAAAATATTTGGGATCTTGCCATTCTAGATAAACTGTTGCATCTACTGCTTGAGTGAGTTGTCTTTGGTAATTTTTTCCTATAACCTTTTTCATTGTTTTTAAATATTTTACAGTGACATAGTTGCCTTTGCTGCTCCTGAAAAAACGGTGCTCCTTCGGTCCAATGAGCCGCTTGTTCGCTATGTTTTATCAATAACGGCTATTAGAGTGGAATCTATTCGCCTGGAGCCCGATTATAAGCAACTAGCCTACAGCAAACGCACTTTTAAGCAGTTGACGGACATTACCAAGGTTATTTATGAGCGCTGTATTCACCGCTTGCCTGAGTTGTGGAGGGACTTTGATATGCAGAGCTCGGCGCTAGCCACTCAGTGTTTCTTGGAATGCCTAAAAACAGCACATGAAACTTATTCAAAGAAATTCCAAGATTTTGTCAAGGGATTTGGTAAGCCAACGATTACTATGAATATGTAATTTATGTTTTTTACTTTGTTAATACTTTCAGATATGGCATCTATTAAGGGAAACAGAAACAAGGAAGTGATTTACGTTGTTCAGGATGTTTTGGACGAGTTTATGACGGAATATGGCAGCGATGAATCCATTTGCAAAGATGATTTTATTGCCAAATTGCCAGTTTGCCTTTTGGAGTCTCTTGAAATCCTGTTGGATCACATAGACTACGGGGATCGTGCCGCTACTGAATCGTACACTTGGATCCTAAACTTTTGCAGCAAATACGAGATTCTCAATAGCGAAATGGGCTTGGTCCACAGAATGCTATTCGTTCAGCGGCAAAAGACCCATTTGGGTCCCTTTTTTAACAAGGTTGCCAGGCAATTGGGTCTCGTACTTGGCGTACAAACTGAAGACACGCCATCAGATTCTGTGGAGCTAACTCTAAAGTCTATAAGTACAGTGACCGCTGAGAGTTGCTTGCAGCATCTTTATACAGCCGTCCAAAAGCAGCTGACGGATGTGGATTATTTTGTGACCAAGGCAAATAACCTAAGCTACAAATGCCAAGTGGTTCCCGAGATTGACCAAATTTATTGGCGGGGTAACCTGGATGCCATGGATCGTAGCATTTGCACGCAAATCATCCACATATCTCGCACCTTGCTGGTGCTCACCAATGTTTGCATTCCACTAGGAAGTTCCATGGATGGTCTTATGAAATTGATAATACAGCATTACACTTGCATGAAAAACCTCACAAAACACTACATATCGAGCTACACATCAGATGCGAGCATTGAACACATTCGTAGCACCAAGTAAGTCGTCTATCTAAAGGAATAAACTTATAACTAAACTACATTACATTTCCTAACAGATTTGAACTGCTACTTCGAGATGTGGGCAAGCAACTTCCGGCGAATATTTACGAGCTTATTACGTATATAGAGGCTAACACTCTAGATGAGGAAACGCAGCAGCATATTAAAAAGCGAAAGGTCCTAGCAGAGCGTGCCAAAGTTCTGAGAGAGACCCGTCTAATTCCCAAGGTGATCATGGTTATCGAGGACTTTAACAAACACATTATCCTCCTGTCGAAGAAGACTAAAATTCAGAATAGGCTAACGGATTACCTCCACTTGGGGACCATGCGTGACTTTGATATCAAGTCCACCGATCTGAGAGCGGCTATAGAGCGCAGCATCTCGGATGGTCGAAACATTTCCATTGAAGACAGCAATGCTGAGGATCATGAAGATGAAGATGAAAATGAGGATGGGGATAAGGATAGTGACGCTCAATCCACCACATATCCTCAGGAATTAGAGGAGGAAAATGATGAACCCGCAGTTGTGGAGAAGAAAGGGCAGCGCCGGAGGCGTGCTCCTAGCAGCGAATCCGAGGTCTCTCAACCAAAAAGGAAGAGAGGACGCAAAGCTAGCGAAGAGCCAGAAGAAACCGAACAATCCGGAGATCAAGAGGAAGAGGAACCCGAAACTTCTTCGAAATTAAAGCGGAGTAAAAAGGATTCGAAGGTACAGCAACAAAAGCCTGCTCGGGCGAGTAAGGCCACTAAAAAAGCGGATGCTCCAGCAGTAGATACAAGTAAAGCTTCTAAAAAATCTGATGATCGGGAAGAAGAATCGGGTACAACCACTAAAAAATCCAAGGCTCGGCCATCAGATGAAAAGGCTACCAACAAAAAATCGAATGCTTTAAAAACCAAAGCAGCGGAACCAAGAGAAGAACTTCCCGAGCCCGAAGCACCCGTTGAACAGAAGAAATCTGTTTCTAGTCGTCGTCTGGGTATTCCTCGATCTTCTAAGAAATAATAAAAATAAAACCTAAAATGTTGATGGAAAACCACAAGTAAAAGTTGATAAGTTTGTCACTGATGTCAGCCTAAATTGCTGATCAACGGTATTGTGCTTAAAAAGTATGAATTATAAAACGTTTTTTCTAAAAACTCCCAACTTAAATTTGGCTACACACCTGATTGATTGAAAATTCCAATAATATTTAAAACTTTTATTTAAATATAAATATTTGTATTTAACTTTAAAATCATTAGTACTTTAGTTCCGTAAAACTCCTTGTGCTCGAAACAGTATTGTGATATCCTTTTTTAGTACTGTAAAGAAAATAATTGTTGGGTTCAAACTAGAATTGCTATATGTATCTTCTACTCACATTCTGGGTCGCTCCATGACCAGAAACGGTAAGGCTACCATCGCTGCCCACGGTGACTGTTCGTCCATCCGGGCGCTTCCACACCGAAACACTGTCATCCCAAATTCCTGCCTGATCGTCACGAGCCACGAAATTCTCACCCTGCACGCGTGCATCATTGATGCTGCGGCTGCTCCTTTGAACCACAAATCCTCCAGAACCAAAGTCTACCGTTCGGCCAGGACGCTCCACATGGAACTGGGGACTACGGCGGCTTCTTTGGACCACATATCCTCCGGAACCGACGTCTACAGTGCGTCCAGGACGCTCCACATGGAACTGGGGACTACGGCGGCTCCTTTGAACCACAAATCCTCCGGAACCGACATCCACAGTGCGTCCAGGACGCTCCACATGGAACTGGGGACTGCGGGCACTTCGTTGAACCACAAATCCTCCAGAACCCACATCCACAGTGCGACCAGGACGCTCGACATGAAACTGGGGACTACGGCGGCTCCTTTGAACCACAAATCCTCCGGAACCGACATCCACAGTGCGGCCAGGACGCTCCACGTGGAACTGAGGACTACGAGCTATACGATGTACTGCAGGCGTAGATCTATAACGTGAATCCTGGACAGCGGGATAGGCGGGTTGTCCAACAACGAGACCTGGTCCTCTGACAGTATGAGTTCCTTTAAATTAAAATATTTAATACGATTTAATGTAAGGCTTGGGAGCTAAATCCATGTCTACCTTGTCCGCCCGCTTTCCTCTGGTGCACATAGGTGTTACCCTGTTCATCCGTGTAGACATGTTCCGCTGGCGACGACGAGTGCTGGAACTGGCCACCTACTCCTGGCACCTTGTAAACTCCATCGTTTTGGCCTCGTATATAGACTTGATTGCCGGGTGTTCCGAAAACATGGGGACCATTACGCCCGTCGTATGTCTGCTGGGGATCGGCGGCTACGGGAGTAATAAAACGACCATTAATCGCCGTTGGGTGCGGCCATGGCGATGGGGTTGCTCACCGACGAACAAAACACCGCAAACGATCGGCACGAGTAGTCCAAAAAAATGCATTACGACCTGTGTTCTCTGACGGAATGCTGAGCTCTAACTAACTGGCTTGACTTGCTCGTCGTATTTATAAGTAGCTGCGCAGTAGTCCAAGATCAGGTAGCCATCAAATTAGCGACAGCCTCTGAAAAATTCCCAAACGTCGGTGGTGTTGATAAGGGAGCTCGAGTGGGAATTTCAGAACGAATCGAACAGATTGACCCGCACAATCGATCGGCGAACGCATTCCCGCTTTGGTCCACCAACCTGATTGTGCATTTTGTAAACAAATTGATGATCTTTTAATTTACAGGGCTAGCACAATAACAAACAATGATAGATTACTGATAAGATATACAATTTTTGTTTTCTATTGAATTTGTTATGAATATAGACAATTACAAAATGAAATACCATGGAGTGCCATAGAAAAAAAAACTCATTGAAACATAATAAAATTGGGGAAAGCCGGGGTTTTCAGATCGGTGTAGCGTTTGTACTGACGATTACATTGATTTAGCATTTCGTCGAATTGGCAACGGGTTCGGCAACTGTTCACTCCTCCGGGACCTTCCACTGAAGCAGTTTTCCGCGTTCGTAAAGGTTCTTCAGGGCGTTGGCGAACTTCTTCTCTTCCTGCAGTTTCAAATAGTGCTTGTACAGCTGCAGAGTGGTCCGTGCATCCTCGATTGAGTCGTGCGTCTCGGACTGGATCTTTGTGCCTATCGGATTTAGAGATGCAATCAGAAAACCAAACCTTAGCAGGGATAAGCAACTACAAACCCAAGAAATGCCAAGCCAAAAATCGCAAGGAAACCATTCGATGGTGGGGCAGATGGAACAGATGCACCGTGTCTATTATTTGCTCTGACGGCACATAGATGTTTATGACCCTGAAATGTCAAGAATGTATAGTCGGTTGCTTGTTGCTCTAAATTCAGTTCTTCGCACCTAAAATCATTCTTCAGACCATGGCCAACAAATATTACACCCACATCGACCAGATATTTCAGTTTCTGATATGAGTACTTAAGGGCAGTCAATCGCTTTTTGCTGAAATTTGCGTCCAAGTCGCCTGGTTTGATGCCCGAAAACTGTGTTAGGTAATCCACAACCTTTTCCTGAGTTGAAATGTAATCATCCATGAATGGAATTCCCTCATCCGAGCCTTGTCTGCAAAATGATTAATGTACATTATACATGTTTTCAGAGAGGATAATCAAAGTAGACAATGAAATTACCCTCGAATACAAGAAATGCGGGCCACACTCATGTGACAGGGCTTGATAGTCGCCGTCTTTCCATCCGGACGTATCTCATTTTCCTCTGGATTTAAGGTAACGAACTCAGCATCCATTGCGACCAAGTCACCTGACTGCGGCATTTCATCCGTTTGCAGCGGCTTCAGTGAGGCGTCTGTACTCACGTTGCCTGGCACAGGACTCACCATGTCCTGGTAAAATACAGACTATTAGGATTCTATAAAGTAAAAGACAAGATTTAAGTCTGCACCTCTAAAAAGGGGTTGGAAAGGTTCGTGGGTGAGTCACTGCTACTCTCCGATGGAACGGTCTCGTCGCTTTCTGTCACAGTTGAGCTTGTAGTGCTAGCAGATTCCGAATCATCCTCTACGTTCCTGTAAAACAACACGCAGGGCACTTTCCAATCCAATGTAAACCACACAGATTCTTGTGGCGAAACGGGAGAAATGCTATAAAACAAAGTAAGCAATATAATTCGGGGAAGATCTTCTAAAATAAAGACCAAACTCACCTGAAATCGTTGAAAATATACCATTGATTTTGAGGATCCTCAGGGGATTCCGCAAGTTTCATAGTGTGATATTGCCGCTGCACATTTATCAGGGACACCAAGTTCTTTTGGGTGCCATCATCGACTTGGCAGACCACAGCATGTAGGGCGTACAGACGATTGTTGTCCCCACTCTTTGCTGGTGGCTTCTCGGCCTCCTCCTCCTGCTCCGACTTTCCAGAGCCAGAATCTGATTGAGTTTGGACCTGCAGTTCGCCTTGCTCGTTGATGCCCATGGTAAAGGTCAAAGGAAACCATGACTTCTGGCGTCCATTGGGAGAACTATTGACGTTATTAGCTTGGTTAGTGTGTGAAGGGGACTTTCTGCAAGGAAAGTAAGAGTCATATTAATGAAGTGACTGCCTCAACTGCAATGTAAGCAAACTAACCGATCCGGATGCATAAAATGACAGTCGCTTCGAGAGCAGTTGGCCCCATAGCGACAGGGTTTACTAGTGCTTAGGGAAGCAGATACATCGGCGGATGGCTTTTCGTTGCAGCGATTGAGTTGGCGCTTCAGGAAGGTAATGTCTTTATCGTTGTTGAGGCCACAATTGATGGCCAGCATTTGCGGAAGTCCAGTGACCTGAAAATAAAGATAAGTACATGAATCACTTTCACTTTTATTTCCATTAGGCCTTTGTTTCCCACCTTTACGCTCTGGTTAGTTGGCGAAAACTTCTTACAGTTTTCACAGAAAGCCTGAATGCTTTTCTCCGAGCTGAGAGAACGCTTCAAAATGGTACCAAAGTTAAAATACTGATCACTATCTTTAACGTGTGTGGGGTACGACATATTGCAGGCAAGTAATATGTTTTCCTTCGATTTCTCGACTTGGCATTTGATGCAGCGGTTTACACAAATTTGCTTGGTCCCGAAGATTTTACTGATTTCCGTTTCTGCGTTGATCTTACTGCGTTCCCTATCTTCCTCTTTGGAGTTCTCATCTGTTGATATGCGGATTGAAGTGTGAAATGAGGTTAAATTAAAGATTCTATCAACTGCTTACCGCCCATGGAATCAAATAATTCCGAGGAGCCACTTGTTTCGGAAGGAGTCGTGTTTTCAGCTAAAAAATATACATAGTTTAGTATTAATATCGAAAAAATTATCTATTTGTGGTTACCATTGGTTGATGTTTGCACAGATCCGCTTGAGGTGGATGTGTTTTTGCTGGAATCGAAGATTTCGTAATGCATTTGATGCAGAATGAATCGGTTCCAGTTCTGAGGGTGTGCATATGTTAAATATCTTGTTAAATTGCGAGGGTTTTACTTGCCTGTATGAGGGATATTAAGTTGACATTTGATGAACGGTCCGTGAGAATCAAGCCCAATGCCGAGGCCTCCGGCACAGTGCGAAAAGAGCGCAGGAAATTGCTGGCTTGGCATGGTGATGAAGCTGATAAATGCATAGAAAAGATATTTTATTTAGAAACAGGGCGAAATAAAGGCAAACTAACCGGTACTCTTATCCAGCATGTTGAAAAGGAAACCCAGTTCGCAGGACAAACAAAACTCCTTGCTGCAGGAATGCTCAATAAGTTTAACACGCAGCGATTCCGTGAAATATAGTATCTAAACGGAAAGTACAAAGTTAAAAGTAAGTTTTTAACCACCTAACAACGATTACAAACCTGCAGCATCGCATTGCAGTAGGAATTGGGCAATGTGGCCTCCAGCCCGGCGAAACACGTCTGATTGTGCTGCTCAAAGTCAAAGTCCTGGGTGCCCAGCTTTGTGTACTTCAGCTCGACCTTGCGATACCGCCTTGGAATGATTTTGACCCCGTTCTCCGCCTTGGTGGCCGCAGCAGCTCCATTGCCATTCGTACTGCAAACGCCTCCCTGCTCAATAACGTACGGGATTTGATTTCGGCGGGAGGTGCGCGGGTTGGGCGAGTATCCAATGGGTCCCTGCATCTTCATGTTGCCTAGCACTTCCGGTTCGATGGTCTTGGGTCTGTGGTAGCGATACCGCAGCAGCTCCTCCGGCCAGTCCGAAAACCATGTGGTGCCGGTCGTCAAGTGGGGCAGCATCACCGACGACAGCGGAAAGTTGGTGTCCGTAATGGAGACCATCGGCAGCTGCGGCACCACGTCCGCAAACTCGGTGTTTCGAGAGAAGGGATTGAATTGCGGCTGCGGCGTCTGAACGGCGGCAATCATGTTTATGTGGCCCGACTGGTCGCCAAAGGCCATGGCCTGCGAGGAGCTGCTGATGTCGAAGCTGAGGCACTGGCTGCCGTTGGTGTTGATCTGATACATGGACACACGCGGCTCGCTGAGCTCCACGGTGTCCACCAGCTGGACTTGTCCGTAGCTAGACACAACGGCCAGTCGGGATGTAAGCGATGGCAGGAACTTCAGCATCTGCGGATCGATCATCACTTGAATGGGCGAGATCAAGCGCAGCATGCGCAGATCGTAGACCATTAGGAAGCGGTCGATTGCTATATTATTCTGGCGTCCGCTGTAGCCGCAGGAGATCAGCAGGTTGCCCTGGACACTGAAGTCGGAGAGGACATTGGTGTGCGTCTTGATGGTGTGCTGGACACTGAGGCTGTTCAGGTCGCGCAAGGTGACAGTACCCAACTGATCGCCGGCGAAGAGGAAACGCGAATTCTTGCGAAGCACAGTGCAGCCGGCGGCTCCCACATGCTCCAGTCGCGTCTCCTTCAGCGTTCGCAGGTCAAAGTCGATGAGCTCCTCCTGCAGGCCGGCCATGACCAGGCGGTGAGGCGACAGCTGCAGCATGCTCACCATTTCCGTCATATTATTAGATCTGCAAGGATGTGAAGCTATGAAGTGGGTGTAAATTTAAGCCAGAACCTGTCTTACTTGTAGGTGAACTTGGGCAGACCCCGGCGGATCTGGTGGCGCAGCGAGGTCTGCGTGAGCACCAAGACACCCGAGTCCAAAGTGCTGATCTGGCGCACAATATCGCTGGCGTGCACCTGGAAGGAGGTGTACTTCTGCATGGAGCTGGTGTAGTACGAGGTGACATGGCCCTGTGGGTAAGGGGAAAATTGATTAGTTAAAGTCTGAAAGACAGAAATGTTCACCTACTCCCTGGTTGCCCATCCAGAGCAGCTCCTCGTAGTCGTCGAACGCCACGCTGGAGACCCCAAAGTGCTCCCCGCCGTCTGCGAGCACGGGAACCAGCTCCACGTAGTCGGGGTCCGTGGTCCCGATGTTGAAGCCATTGAAGCTGGGCGAGAAGTGGCCGTTTCCTCGCGCGGATCCCGCATCGTAAACATCTATTTACAACAAAAAGTAAACAGAAAACAAAGGAGAAAGCTTAGCTGGTTTGCATATGTGTGTGTGCGAGTTGGTGAGCGTTGACCCAAAAGCGACCCCCTGACCCACTTAGTATGTCCTCGGGGGCGCCGATCGGCTCGGTGCCGCAATAAACGTAGTCCATCTGGGGCACGCTGATGGCCTCCCGAGTATTTATTGTTTATTTTTGGACAAATTTCGCTCAAAACTGCCAGCCGTTTTTTTTGCGTTGCACCGATTGTGTGACCGTGGCAAGTGAGCGGCGAAAATACCTTTTCAAGCAACCTATCCAATACTGCCGGACGCGACTGTGGGCAGTAAGAAGAAGCACGGCAATGCTGCGTAGAACTGCCACGACTGTGGGATCCGCATGTAAAAATTACGGCCTAAATTTCAAGAAATTCGCGAAAAACCGAAGAACCATGGCCGATCTGCAGCAGATTGCGAGCAACAATGAGCGCGCCGAGGCGCTGATCAACTCCATTGAAGCGGAGGCAAGTATTCCAGGCCGGCAGTGTCAGTGATCTCAGTGATAACCTCCTGCCCACCAGATTTCCGGCCTCCAGCAGCAACTTGTGGCTCGCCAAAAGCAGGAGCTGATCAAGGAGAACGCCGCCCTGGCCAAGGAGGTGGAGGCCGCTCTGGCCCAACTGGTGCAGCTGGAACTGCGGAATGGCAAGAAACAGATACCGGTGCCGGGATCCCGAGGATTCTGCACCAGTGCGGCTCCGGTAGTCCCAACCGCTCCCGCTCCCGCTGCTGCCGCTGAGGCTCCCAAGGCGGCGGCCAAGGAGCCCAAGGAGAAGAAGGTCAAGGAGAAGAAACCGGCCGCCGAAAAACCAGCCGCCGCTGCTCCAGAAGCTCCCGTGGACGTGGGCCGTCTGGATCTGCGCGTGGGCAGGATTGTGGAGGTGGGTCGCCATCCCGACGCCGACAGCCTGTATCTGGAGAAGATCGACTGCGGCGAGGCGGCGCCGCGCACCGTGGTCTCCGGCCTGGTGAAGTTCGTGCCGCTGGAGGAGATGCAGAACCGCCTGGTGGTGGTCATGTGCAACCTGAAGCCGGCCAAGATGCGCGGCGTCACCTCGGAGGCCATGGTCATGTGCGCCTCGACGCCCGAGAAAGTGGAGGTGCTTAGCCCGCCCGCCGGCGCCGTTCCCGGCGATCTGGTCCACTGTGAGGGCTATCCGCGCCAGCCGGACGCCCAGCTTAATCCCAAGAAGAAGATCTTCGAGGCTTGTGCCCCCGATCTGATGACCAACGCCGACCTGGTGGCCTGCTACAAGGGCGCCGCCCTCCATGTGCCCGGCAAGGGCAACGTGGTGGCCCAAACCCTGAAAAACGTCAATGTTAAGTAAGCCAATAAACGAGAGAGAAAAGCTTTAAAGTGAATGAATAAATGAGACATCACCTCCTGTAAAAGATTCGCTTTAAACATGGGTCCTTTCACCACAGAATTCTTCCAAATTAATAATATAAATCCTAAGAATTTTGTGTAGTAAACTTTTCAGATCTTAAATAGAGCCCTGCGTGAATTGTTAAATTTTTGTTTTATAATAGTATGCCATGAAATTTCTGATTTGATTAATTTAATTCTATGTGAAATAAATTTATTGATTTTCTTATTCATTTCGAATTGAATGAATTTTTTGAATTTGCCAGATTTTTTTTGTGCCTTCTTTTGAGAACAAAAAGTGGAAAATTTATAACAAATCAATGTCAGATTTAATCACAAAATTTTGGCCCTTTCTTCTTCAAAAGAAATGGTCGTTTCATTCTATTCTATTAAACTCAAAATTCAAATTCATTCAATTCTATTAAACTCAAAATTCTTATTAATTCATTCATATAAAACACAAAAATCAAAATAATTCATTGAATCCATTTATGCAGGGCTCTAATCTTAAAGTACAAAGTGTATCTGAGTTTGGCATGATTTTCATTAATATACTCCCTGTTACTCAAAAACTAAGAGTTTTTAAGGTTTTCTGAGTTATTTGTCAACTTGTGTAATACTTTAACTCTTATTTGCAATTCCTGGCAATCTATATCAATCGTTTATGAGATTTAATTTTATTTCACAGAACAGCAGTACATCACGACATTAAATTTAGCTAACTATAACGTCTATTTATATATGTATGCATAGGAAAGAGTCTAGAATTCCTATGCACTTTGGCTGGTTCGAATTCCGTGCTCAGCGGTTTCGCGGCGGCGGTGGCACTTGCGTGCGGAATACGGCATTGGAATCGGTCTCCACCACTATCGTCTTGGTCATGATGTCGTAGGCGGTGCGGTTGTTCTTGAAGAATATCATCACGACGCAGATGGGAAAGAGCAGGGTCATCACCAGGTTCTTGGCCAAAGCGCGGGAGAAAGAGCGCATCAGTGTGGGCGTCTGGGCGGGATAGAGCAGTGCCCTCATCGGCTCCCTCTGCGGCTGAAGAACGAACTGCGGAAGAGCGGGTGCCTGCAGCGGCATTACCGCCTCCACATAGTGGATGCGGATCTTCATGAGAGACTTTCCTGGAGTGGCTCCGTTGTAGAGAAACGTCCACAGCGCTTCGTAGCAGCAAACTGTAAGCTTTGTGAGCAGTTCGATGAGCAGCAGGTCGGTGGACATGGTTATAAAGTCGAACGAGATGTCGAAGAAGTTCACGAAGAGATCATCCTCGTCCAGAGTGCGCCGTATGACGTCCTTATCGAAGTCCATGTCGAACAGGTTGACCACCCCGAAGGTGATGATGATTTTCATTATGAATAGGATGAACACGTCGATGGTCTCGGCCACTGCCCGCTTCCAGAAGGGAGCCACCACGTACTCGTAGCCGCCCAGTCGCTGAATGGTCTCCAGCTGCGCCGCCTCGTCCAGGATTCGCAGGCGACTGAAGTTTTGCGCCGCCGGCGGAGGTGGTGCAGCTGCAGGTGTTCCCGCTGGTGGAGCAGCCGCTCCTGCTCCCTGAACTGGTGGTGGTGGCAGAGGAGCCGCCGGCTGGGACTGTCCGGGCTGAAAGGCGACCGATGGAAGGCCAGCGGAGGACATCTGTCTCTGGAACATTGGGTAATTGGCCATCAGGTAGTAGGGAAACATAATCATTGCGTTCTGGGCCATCGTCGCCTGTTTGGCCCACTCGGCGAGGCTGGCGAAGTACGCCTCCTTGGTGGTCTTCTCCTGGAGCTTCTGCCCCGTCTCCTCCGCTTTGTTACCCATTTTTCTGTCCCTTCTCTGTGGGTGAATATTTTTATTTGGCCTTTGCTTTATTTTCTTTCCAAGTTGACGTGTATTGCAGGCGGCGGGGTGTGCCGGCGTTTCGTGGTGAATGGCAAAGCTAACCCTTGCCTGCGAACGGCAAAATGGGCGGGGAAAATTAGACAAATTCAAACTGTTGTCAGACTTTTCATCTTTTGATAAGTGAATATCTTTAGATAACCCAAGGAAAAGTAGTTTATACAATATAAATAGACCTAGAAAGGTTTATAGAAGGTACAAATTTTTGACCAATAATATATCCCACATTAAAAATTAAACTAGGAAATTAGTTTTTAAGTTAAACAAAGGATTATAAATGAAAAGATTCCTCAACCCAAACTTAACTATTTAAAAAAATGAAATAATCGGCACACTTACAATGGTCTGAATATTTTATTATTACACAGTTCGAAGTGGTTTGATTTATTCCTTAGACATAGCAACTTAAAAATCGAATACATTAAATCCGTCGACTACCCAGCCATGATATTTAAGACTCTCATTGACAAACAGGCGTGTGTACGTTCTTAGGGATATCAAGCATTTAAAAAGTACATTGCCAGAACTCCATTCTTTGCACTCACACCCTGGCGTGGACGATTTGTTTATGCATGCGTATCAAATACCTAGCTAATGTTTCAAAATAACATGTACATTTGATTGGGAAGTGCATTAAGTTTCGTAGTTCAATTTTAATTAGTTGGGTGTTACACGTGTAGTATGTATTTATGGTATAATTGGAATAGATTTGAACGAGCAGACGAGCGATTCTTGGTGGACATGAACATCGTTTAGATACAGTGGCTGCTTGCTTGCCATTGAATTCTTCTATAAATACGTATAGTTTTGCTCCGTTTTGCTCTCAGGACAACTAACTAAATTGGCAAGTTGTTGTACAAATCGAATGCATATAAACAAGCGCCATCGACGAACACTCGTGTCTTAAAATTAATTAAAGGAATACAACTACATAAATACACACGCTGTATTTATTGCCAGACATTACCGATATTAAGGTTTCCAAATTGTTGGTTCAGATTTGATGGGACTGAGGATCCGCCCGATCCCTGTGGCTGGCTGCCCAGGTTCATTCCACTGGGCAGGGGCTGCATTAGGTTCATGGACAGGCCGCCAAGCTGTGGGTGCTGCTGCTGCTGTTGCACCGCTCCAAACAGCGGCATCCCGCTGAGAATGCTCTGGTTGGTCTGCATAAGATTCGTCGCAACTCCCTGGCTAGGAAACTGGGCTCCAGCGAAGCCATGGGAGCCACCCATGCTCATGGCGGTGGCACTGCTGATTGGTGCGTTGCTGAACGCATTTGGGGCAGCCATCACCGGGGAATTGTACATGCTCACCGAATTCGGGGGCGTCATAAACTGGTGGGGTATCTGCTGTTGCTGCTGCTGATGCATGTAGCCACCGGGGGCCATGCCAGTGAAGCCGCCAAAGTTCATCTGAGGATTGTGGGCCGCTGGCGCATTGCCGTAAAGAGCTAGGATGCTGTCCTTGGACATCTTGCCGGACTGATCCTTCTCGCTGCTGCCGGCGGCGGCGGCTCCCAGAGATCCCTGGTTGAAGAAGTCCTGCTCCTCCTGGGCCAACGAATTGGGCTTCGCGGCCATCAAATTGGCGACGTCACCGTTGCTGCCGTTGTTCGGCTTATCCGGCTGTTCGGCGCTGAGAAAGCTGGTGAAACTCTCGTTATGCAGGTCTTGGCTGGCACTGGTCGCCGCCAGGGGTTTGGTGGGCGAGGACAGGCCCAAGAGGTCGCTTTCGCCGCCGCCGCTGCTGTTCAGCTGGACGCGCTGCGTCGTCTTGGGGCTGCAGCCGCCGACCTGGTTGGGTTTCGGCTTGGGCAGCGGTGCGGGCAGGGGGGCGTTCTTCAAAGCCGACGACGATCCAGTGGCTCCAGACAAACGCTTCTCACCGCCACTGGAGATTCCCACGAGGCCCAAGGAGGCCTGCGCCTGGGTAGACTTCTTCTTGCGCTTCTGCCGCTCCAGCTCCTCGTCAATCTCCTTGGCCCAGTCGACTTTGGGCGGCGAGGGCGGCACCCATTCGCGGGCCAAGTACTTCTTGTGCTCGTACTTGGCTCGGATGAAGTTCTCCAGCGCAGTGTCCGTCTGCGGCCGGCGGAATCCGTCCGGCAGCTGCGCTTCGTAGACGGCGCGTGCCCGGGAATTGCCCATTTGCTGCAGGGAGATCACCTGCTCCGGCGTCCAGGTGTCCAGGTTCACCGACTTGACGCGCGATATGTGCACGCCCAGGTTGCGATGGATGCCGGCGCAGCGGATGCACAGGAACATGCCCAAATTCCAGGAGGCCCAGCGGGGACCTGAAAAAGGTAGTGAAAAAAGGGGTGCCATTCAAAACGCTTTTCTTGCAGTGCATCTGCATGTGTGTGCGGTGTGTGTATATGCACATTGGTGCGTCACCAAGAGGCGTATCTCTCGGAGATCCGCGAATCCCAGTCTACCTACCCTTGGCATCGCAGTCCACGCAGTATTTGTTGTCCTCGTCGCGGAGCATCTGGGTGAGCAGCGTTTGGCATTTCTCCTGGATCAGCTTCGTGCGCTGTCCCGCATTTGAGGAGCTCATTTTCCGCGATTCTTTCGGTCTCTGGGGCCTGCTTTTCGTTTGTTCTGGCGGTGCGCGACTTTGCGACGTGGCGTGGGCGACGGGAAAAGTAGAGTTTCTAGCTTATCTCTGCTTCACATGGATATACAACACACCAGCGAATTTACAATTTTCTACAAGTTTTTGCTACCGAAAAAGGCGATTTTTTAAAACCCAGTTGGCAGGTCCGTGCGAGAAAGTCGGCTGGCAACTCCCCTTTTAAAAATACCAAACGGTTTGGTACTAACGCCTGTCTGGCCTCTTGCCATTCACACGGAACTCAAGCCACCTTTTCAAAAAAGTTGTTTACTTTTTTCCAGCGAACAATTAAACTCTTATTAACCACTAAATATGGAGGTTTTAAGGAAGAAACTAGAGGCCTGTCTGCAGATTTTAAACAGCACTAACGCAGGCGATGCAAACTGGTTGAATGTGAGTGGAAAGGGGATAATGTTGCGTCGAAAAGGATACTCACCTGTTGATTTTCAGGACTTGTGTGCCTTGTTATTGGACTACTCCACCTTGGTTCACAGCTCCTTGTGCTCCCGAAAGCAGAACGAATCCTCGGAGTTGGTTTGCCTCTGTCTGAGCCAGATTCTCACCTGCATTCGCCAGGTGGAGAACACCATGAAGATGTCGGGCGGTAGTTCACATTCGGTGGGTAATTTAATAGTAAAATGAATAGTAAATAACTCTCTATTTAAACCAGGCCAGTCATCAGAATGTTTACTTCCTGGATCGCATTCGGTGGTGCCTCAAACGCCTGCTGCATCTCCACAGCGAGGACTCGAATGGGGATGCACTTACTCCGGAACGCTCCTTTCTGCATCTGATGGACGCCACGCTGGACACTTTGGCTCTGTTCACTTCCTACAATGAGGAGAACTCGGATCCCTTAAGCTTTCCCCAATCCCACCAGGAAGTACTTGTTCTCAGCAAACAATTGCGTGCCAACATAGATTTGATCCTGAGTCAATCCCTGGGATTCGCCAATGTGGCTTTGTCGCAGGACAAAAGAGCTCTCAGTGCTTTGTGTCAGAAGGTTAGTCTATCAAATATATCAAAAAACCTACAATAACCGGGTTTTCCCCCAGGTAATCCGCGAGTGCAACGCCTTTCAAGTGGAGTGCAAGGTGCCCAGTGCCTCCTACCACTCCGTACTCAAGCTGAGGGCCATGACCTTGGAGCAGGCGCTCTACCAACTGGAGGACTTTATCAACGACGCCCTACTGCGCTTGGTATTCACCTGCTTTCTGGACTTTGACAAGTTTTCGGTGGACAAAATAAGAAACCTGCTGAGAAAAAGCACGGAAGATGATGCCGTAGCCGATGAATTCATAGCCGACTTTGATGTGAACATCGATCGGGCCACCCAGATTGGGATATTTGCCATTTCCTTTGCCCCGAGCTTGAAAAGTATGGCCTAGTTAATAGTATACCAGATCACATTTAACTCTAGTATCTCTCTCTCATTAGTGAAAACCATGATGCGCAGCTGTCTGGCCTCCTTTGAGTCGCTGGACACCAGTCTGATACCTTCGCTGCAGGCCCATGGCTCCGAGCTGCACTCGGACATCCTGGAGCAGCACTTCACCGAGGAGGTGGCCAAGTTCAAGGCGGCCCTGCAGGAGATCATCGACAGTCGCGCCCTTCTGGGTTGCTGCTTAGAGATACTGAGCTCGGGCATTAGTGCCACCGAGAAGCTGTTTGATAAGCAGCGATTGGAGGACCTGGCCCAAGTTTCCTTAATCTTAATTGAGCACTTTCAACTGGAGGTCAACCGAAAGGGGCTGACCGAAACGAAGAACCAGGCGGGAGAGGAGTACTACGCGCAGTTCATTCGGATATTGCGCGAGTGCAAGGCCATTTTGATGTGCGCATCCCAGGTGGAGCCGCAGCGAATCCTCAAGCGCTTCAAGATCCTGCGCACGATCTTGCGCAAGCTGCACGGCTGCCTGGGCGTTGGCGTCAGCAGGAAGAGAAGCACCCTAATCCCTTAGAACCCCTCTTAGTGGTTGAGACGAGCGATCCAAATGGCGATAATGCAGATTTAACCCAGTTTACTCGCCGAGGGGGAAGTATTCTCTACGACACAGAGCGTAGGACTAGAGTAAATAGAACAAAGGACAATAAGCTGACCGCAAATACCTTGGACATTAAATCGGAAAAGGCAAAACCTAATGGAAATGTTTTAAGAAGTAAGTGGCCTCCAATTTATACAAATTATTTATTTAATTCTAATGATATTTTTAGGAGAAAGTTTACGAACTGTTATGTTCAAGCGCCAAAATATAGCCGAAAGCAGAAAAATGTATACCACGATCAGCAATCAGTCCACAGATCTGGAGATCACAGGTAAATATAACATTTTAAGGGCCGTTTTCTCGTCCGTTTGTTAAATTTATTGTAGGGTTAAAACAATGATTTCCCATACGATTTCAAGGGGTTAACTCTACTTTAAATTTACCAAACGGACGAAAAAACGTCCTAAATGTCGAAGTTTACCATGTGAAATATTATTTTATTTTAGATATACTCGAGCAACTCACTGGAATGTCCAATGGCTACTTTGAATGCTGAAGCATTTTAACTATTTGTACATAATTTTATAATATTTAAGTTCATATAATTTAAGGTTCGCAATTCAAGAATTCAAACTTAACGGACATTAGCACTTGAATGTCATAGGTCAGTTTAGGCATACACACAAACATGTCCATACATGTTTCGTGGTGGCGGATGGTGTTGCATCCGGGACAGTTTTTCCTGTTGAAAAAGTAGAGCAATAAGTTCAATAAAATACATAGAAACAAGAACACTTTGTCATCGCCTCGCCTGTGTTCGTTTGACCTTTAAAGGATACGAGGATACATCCGTGCATTACCAATATGTGAAGCTGTGACCCTATCGATTTTCCCCCTCAATCATAAAACAGGATTCGCAGTCAACAGATACACACAGTCTTAGAAACAGTAATGAAATCGCCAATTGTGGATAAAGCTAATCCTTCGGATGAGATCAAGTTCCGAAAATCGAGTGTCGCGAGCAGGGAGAAGGATACGAACAACCATCATGTGGTTCCGCTAGGCATCCTCGTCGTCCTCTGCACTGTGTATCTTATGGTGGCTGGGGTGCAGCGCAACTACAAGTACTATTTCAAGCCGGGCGTGGCTGCTTTAGATCTAAATCAAGCTGAGGAATCCCAGCCGGAAGCCTTGGAGGAGGAGTCCCCAGATACTTCCTGCCAGAAAATGGATATTTTTGCCAGGAAATCGGATCGGAATCCTTCCGCTCACCCAGTTTCTAGAAGATCCCAGGGCAAGGCCACCAAGCGAACCAAAAATCAAACTGGAAATGGGGTCAGCAAGCAACCCCGATTGCAAACAACCTCCCCAGAGGGCAACAAGAAAAAGGAGGCGACCAAGAAAAGCAATACGGCGGAGCCCATCATCTACCTATTCGCCTTGGTCTTCATATATCTGCTGCTGAAGGCCGCCTCCGACATCAACCAGCACTACAAATCGGTAAGTCTATCTAGTATACCCCTCTATACTGAACCCTTAATATAACATATTCGACAGCAGAACAAAGGGGACAAACGCCTGCGGCGCTGCTCCCTGCAATCCTATGCTCAAATCCACAAGCAAGATCGACGGGCCTCAAAAGGTATTTCACCAAAATCTTTGCCAAAATTTTAACTCGCTGGGCCAGGTGCTTGTACACCGTGTTAACGAGGGATCAAAATGAATTGTTATCTTATAAAAATCTATATGTATCTACTACTATGAGTTAGCCAGTTTTCTGTACTGTAAAGCACTGTCCACTCTTGAATGGGAGCCATGTATTTTCGGACTTTTTCGGAAAATGCTTTGTATATTGTGTACCTATAGTCTGTCCTTTTTAACTCTATACATCTATAAATCTCTATCCTACAAACCGCACTTTTTCGCGTTCGATATTGCGTTTAATATCTGTGTTTTTGAACGACCTCCACTGTTTACCTCCCCTTCACTTCTCCGTGAAACTGTACTGAATGTAAGGTTGTATATAAAAATATTACTGTCCTATATGTGTACGTAAAATAAATCAATTACTATGTGCTTTCCTGTGATCAATTTAAGTAGCCGTATTAGATTGTGTTTCATTTCCTCTGCTTTCAATGGGACTTTCTCTGAAACTGATCTCCATTTCCCCATACATATATGCATGACCAAGTTGAGGAGTCCCCGATATTCCGGCGCAGGCATGTGCTCGGCGAGGAGCGTTCCGTGTCGGTGGATCGCTACAAGTACACCCAGAACGAGGAGGGAGGGTTCACAAAGTCTGCTCCGAGGGTTAAGAACTACCATCATAGGGTCATATCCCCCTTGGCCAGCAGGCCAACTAACCAGCATCCCTTTTGGCCGGGTTCCGAAGACACTCGCATGGGTAAAGTCAAACTAAATGTGCCACGTCCCATAAGACCAACTATTTTCTTCTCTAGGGGGCCGCCAGAATCGACGCTCTTCGGTTCCGATCAGCATTGATTACCAAACGGTTCACCTCTCGGGGGCACATCCACCAGAATTGTCGAGACGCGGCTCGGTGATTAGCCTCACTGGACCTCAGAGTCCGGATCCCGGTGCCCTGCCAAGTGGAGCTGTTGACCCAAAACGTCGCGTGCGCATGATCAATCGCCATTAATGTCCAAGCAAAGAGACTACCAAAGTAGTGTTGGGTAAAAACTGCTCATTTGGGTGAACAATGTTCACTTGTTCTTTTTTTCCCAATAAGTGAACTCACTCAGTTTGCTCACTTGTTCACTTACTTGTTCACTTGCTCACTTGTTCTGTCCTTAAATGTATCATTTCCTGTGAGAAATCAGCTGATTGACTGTAAAACCGAATGCAAAATGCATTCTAATAATAAAAAAAAATACTTTTTGAGCCAGAAACAGCAAGAGAGCAACTGAGTAAGTGAACAAAAAGATCAAATAAGAGAGCCAAACTGAACAAGTGAACAAAAAAGAGCAACTAAGAGAGCAAAAATGAACAAGTGAACAAAAAGGAGCATGTGAGCAAAAATGAACAAAGGAAATGAAATGAACCAAAGTGAACAATAAAGAAGGAACATGTTCATTCACTTAGCTTAATGAGAAACTCTTTTTTTTCATTCACTCATGAGCAACCCAACACTATACCAAAGAGACTACCGAATTTGAACACAATCATTTTAAATAGCACACTCTGTAGTTCTTAATGCGTTTCTTTTAATCAGTTAATTAAGTTGTATTATTCAAGTGTTTTAAAAAACGTACAAAGAGCATTCTTCTCGAAGACACCGAATTTACGCCCACTTTTCGCGGAGAGTGAGCCAACGTTTGCCATCCTATTGTACATTATTCTACTTAGGGCAAGATTAAAAAAATCTTAGTGTCTAGCGTAGTGTTTAGTTTGGAATTCAGTACCTATGATATTACCATTAACTACGAACTAACTACGAACTTGTGATGCTCATTACAATGACAATTACATACAGTTATGTATCTATGTGGGTTAAAAGACCTAAAAGACCTGCGAAGCGGATGAAAGGGTGCCGGAACTTAACTATCGTAAACGCTTTACTGGATCGGGGTGTGGAGATATGGTCGAGCTAATACACGTATATCCTACAAGGCTCCTCCTCCATCATTGAATTTTGCGCTAGTTTCTCCTATTCCATTAAATATTAAAATAAATTACGTATTTTAATTGCATGTGGGTTGGAAGCTTGCACTCAGCTCAGTTCGTTGCCCTCGTAGAGGCTCTCGCAGCTCTCCAGCAGGCGCAGCACCGGCGATATGTCGTAGGGATACAGCTGGCGCGACACCAGGCGGGATATCTGCAGGCGCAGCCGGATCAGCACACCCATCGCCTCGTCCAGCATGGCGCTGCCCATGCCAAAGGTGTGACAACTGTGCACAAACATCGTCCAGTTCATGCGTATGTACTTGAGCAGGCGCAGCAGGTAGAGCAGGAAGCAGGTCTCGTTGCTCACCAGCAAATCCAGCAGCAGGTCGGAGCTGTTCGAGGTCATCTTGAGGAACTCCAGGAAGGTGTACACCGGATTCAGCATGGCCACCAGCTCGGGAAAGGCATTATTGCGGAACGAGATGCCCGACGTTACGTCCAGCGTGCAGACCATGGCCTCTATCAGATGGTCGTCCTGGTCGTCGAACAGGTGGATCAGGATCTTGCTAAAGTGGCACTCGGGATGGAACTCCAGCGTCTGCTTGATGAACGTCTCCAGCTTGCTCAGCACATCGCGGATCGAGCGCTCGATGAGCATCATGTCCTGGAAGGCATCGTAGTCGCTGGAATCGATCGAAGAGTCGGAGGAATCGCTGCGAATCTCCTTCACCGTCACCGCTATTGACTTTAGCACTAGGAGAACCATCTTTTGCAGCAGCGTTTTGTCCATTTCAATTAGATCTCCGCTTTCTCCTCCTTCCTGCTCGGCATTCCCTGCTATCGCCGCAGGTGCCAAACTTATAGTTCCGCTGGCATAGACCAGTGGCCGGCCATTGTAGCCAATCAGGCTGACCATGTTGTCCGGCTGGCGGCGGGGCAGCGACTCCAAAATGCGGAAGCCCCGCACGTGACAGACAATCTGGTGCGCCAGCTTGCACGTCTCCTCGGGCAGCATGTCCTGCAGCGCCAGCGTGGAGCCATAGCACAGCGCCTCGTTGAACAGGCACAGCATCTGCTTGTAGACCGTGCAGGACAGACTGTGGCTGAGCAGCAGCTCAAACTTGTCCAGCTGGGCGTAGTAGGGACGCGTCTCGTCGATCGACAGATTGGCCTTCACCGAGATGATGTTCTCCCACAGCTGCAGGAAGTTGAGCACACAGTGCTCGGCCGCATCCTGGTGCGTTGGCGCCATCAGCTCCGGACATGTTCTTCACCAGCGTGGGCCACTTGTGCTCCAGCTTCTGGATGGTGATGCACTTCAAATGCGTCGTATCGAAGCTCTCCGAGTCGGTGAGCGTGACCACATGGCAGCCGCTGGACTGCTCGACGCTCATCGCCTCGTTAAAGTGCCGCCTGTGGCGTTCGCGGCTGTCGGGCGACGTTTCCCGTTCCGCCTCCGCATCCTCACGAAACTGCAGCGCAAAATAGTTGGTGGCCAGCGGCTGCTCCTGCACGGGAAAGTGCATGTAGCTCACCGAGGCCTCCGTGGCGAGGGGCACCACCGAGGAGGCTGAGCTATTCGCCGCCGCCATCCAGTCATCGTCCAGCGGATGAATTTCCACATCCTTCCACTCGACAATCCGCTTTATGATGTCCAGGCTGAAGTGGATCTTCTGGACGGCCGCCTGGTCGAGCTGCTCGAAGTTAAACAGCTGGTCGACGATCTTCTGCAGCCACTCGTCGTTCAGCTCCTGCTTGGCAATCACCAGGAATGCGGCTAGCACACGTCCCGCCAGGAATTGCACATACGAGTTGTCGTAGCCGGCCAGCACGATGATCTCGTCGATGAGCTTGTGATCGTTGCGAATCAGCGCGTCGCAGACGTCCATTATCCGCGTGCAGATGAAGCCCTTGGCGTTCTGCTTCAGGTAGATGTCGAAGAGCAGCTGCAGGTTGGACAGGAACTGCAGCAGCTTGTTGGTGGGCCACTCGCGCAGGTAGGCTATCCGCTTCTGGCCATTGGTGTCCTGTGAGTAGTGCGACTGGAAGGGCTTGCGCAGCGTTCGCTCCGAGACGCCGCACAGGCACTGGCGGGTGAGGGACTGCTCGAACTCCAGCATGTCGTCGATGGTTGCTGCCGCTGGGATGCAGTTGCTCGTGCTGAGGGACAGCAGATCGGGCAATTTGGCCGCCCGGTCCACCTCGTCCTGGGCGGCATCCGTTTGGCCGTGCGGCTCTGTGCTGCTTCCGTTTTGTGGCAAGATGTTGTGCAGCAACTGGGCGTAGGAGGCGGCCCGGGAGCTGCAGGGCGTGGTGGTGGGCGAGTTGTTGGCGCTGCTGGGCGTGGACAGGGAGTGCGAGTGCGAGGAGGAGGACGAGAGCGAGGAGCACAAATGGCTGTTGCTGTTGGCGTCCAAATCCAGAATGTCCGGCGGCTGGGGCGGCATTGCTTTGGCCTGCTGCTGCTGCTTCTCGATCTTCTGGCGCTTCGTCTGCGGCTGCTCATTGGAGGTGGCTACCGTGGAGCAGGGACAAACGTCGCCCTCTCCAGTTCCCGCTGCGGATTTAGTGGTGCTGCTGGTGTCCATCCTTCTCGGTGACGTGCCCGACGTACTGGGAATGGTCAACTGCAAGCGAAATGTCCGGATGAGCAGCGAATCTAAGCGGCAGCGAGTCACAGCCACATACCTATATATGTACCTATACCGAATCCGAACAAACAGCTTCCGTGCTACGCGCACACAAGGTTACGTGTGCAGACGCTGTGGCCTGGCTTCTGGGGGCGTCTCTCCGGGGCTCCTTTGTTAAACTCCGACTTTCTGGTGCGGATCAGAACGCTCTAGCAGCAGCCAGGCGCACTGACTGCTCCTCCAAACATTTTAAACGGCCACAATTCGATTTTCACACACTTGTTGCTCTCTGCGGGGCCAGCGACATTTCAATGTTTGTCTTGGTTTCACTCCACTCGCGCCTCGTTTTCGGCCCTGGCTAAGAGTTTCGGTGGGTCGGCGCTTTATTCACTTATCAACAGCCTCTGATTGTTTCTCTGCCGCTGCTTTTATTTTGGTCTTAATACACTTTATTATGTGGGAAAAAACAAAAATTAAGTGCGCGTCGCCATCTTTTAGCGAGTTTTAGCCACCTGGTAACCCTGCGAACGCAGCGTTGCCAAATGGTTCTTGGCCTTGGCGTTAGCGGTATATAGCTATCAGAGTTCACCACCAGGTTTGAAACACAGGTACGTTATTACTGAAAGTTCATATTTTATCATTTCTGAAATAATTTACTTGTTTCCTATTATTTAAGCAACTGATGGCCATAGACTCCAAAGACGTAATTTGTTTGTTGCATTAATTTTTTCATTGTTTCGCCAAAAAATAAAATTTTCCATGGGTGAAAATCGGGATCTGGGTTTTTGGTAAAAAATATAAGTGTTTCTGGTTGTTTTTTTTGCTATAACTGTAATGGGTTCAAATAAGAAAAAAGTCATTTTATCTTCAAAAAAGGGTTGATGAGTTGCTTATGACTACTTTGACGTTTTTTTCCGTAATTAGGTATACCAAAAACGTGATTATGAAAAGTTGGAAGGTTGGAGCTTAGCGGAAGATCACTTTAAGTTGTCGGAGACCATTTCCTATTTTAATTTTTTTTAATTTCGCCAATAGTAACCGCAAGGATATGCTACGCGGGAATAACTGCTTCTCAGGGACGTAGATGTGCCCGGTGGGATTAGCGTTTTAAGTCATCCGATAGTAGGAACCTGACAACCCTTTTCCCACGACGTTGCCACATCGGGGGAAAAGTATGATTTTGGCGGCGGTTATTTTGTTTCCAAAATTCCAGTTTACGTCCTTTTTTCGATCTGCTGCGATCATCTAGGAGCAGGGAGCCCCAAGCTCAGATCAGCCAAGTCCACACAGTAAATTCGCACCCAGTCCAACCCAACCGGCCGAGCCAAACAAGAGCGCGGCCGACGTGGCAACACTCGCTTGTTTTTCATTTGACATTGAAAGTGCTTGCGAATTCCAGAAAGGACGTTGGAAAATCGGCGGCCGCTCTCAGTACCTTTCAAAAGCAAACACGGCGAAGTTGTGGCGCGGTGCTCTGGAGATTTGCCGGAGCCAGATAAAACCAAGTAGCGGACGACTGGGCAGCCTAGTGCGCGTTTATAAGTGAAGTGTCGCGAGTGACAAAAGCAGTTCACCTGTGCTCTCTTTTCCGTGCGCTTCAAATTCCGCTCGCCTTCTAAAGAGTCCACCTTCTCCCACCTTCTACTCCGCATCCAATCAATCCACCCGCTGTTCTTGAAAACCATAGTAAGATGGCCGGCCCACTTCCTCCGCTGAACCAGGAGGCAGCCTTCCAGAAGCTGCAGGAGTACTACGACAAGCAGGGCAAGGACCTGAACATCAAGGATCTGTTTGTCAAGGATGCTAAGAGGTTCTCCAAATACAGGTGGGTTATTTTTCGGGATTTCGCCTCCGAGGGTTAGAGTTACGTATGTAGTGCCCGTGCCCCTACATACATACATTTGTGTATCCCCCATCGGTTATTCTCACTCTCACTTTCACCATCGGCAATCGAGTGTCGTCGTCGCCACTCGATTTGTCCTTGCGTAAGGTCACAGCAACGACCTCCGAATCGTACTTGCTCTGAGGTCAAACGCTTTCCGCTTGTCTCGTTTCTCTATCAGCCTGCGCCTGCACACCCAGAACGATGGGGAGATACTGCTGGACTACTCGAAGAACCGCATCAACGACGAGGTCTGGGAGCTGCTCCTCGCCTTGGCCAAGGTGCGTCGCGTGGACGCCGCCCGGGATGCCATGTTCTCCGGCCAGCACATCAACATCACCGAGAACCGAGCCGTTTTGCACACGGCCCTGCGCAATCGCGGCACCGATCCCGTCCTGGTCGACGGCAAGGACGTGATGCCCGACGTCCGGGCGGAGCTGACCCACATGAAGGAGTTCACCAACAAGGTCATCTCGGGCGTTTGGCGCGGCTGCACCGGCAAACAGATCACCGACGTGGTCAACATCGGCATCGGTGGCTCCGATCTGGGACCGCTGATGGTCACCGAGGCACTGAAGCCATACGGCAAGGGCCTCCACTCGCACTTCGTCTCCAATATCGACGGCACCCACCTGGCCGAGGTGCTCAAGAAGGTCAGCTACGAGACCACGCTGTTCATCGTCGCCTCGAAGACCTTCACCACCCAGGAGACCATCACGAACGCCACCTCCGCCAAGACCTGGCTGCTGGAGCATTCCAAGGAGGTAAGCTATTACTGTGTTTATACGATGCCGAATTCACGCAATCATTTCACGCTTTCAGCCGATTCGTGATTCCCATCGTATAAACATAGTGTATTATTCACATAATTTTTCCACGAAAGGGTTTGCTTTACTTGACCTCAACTGATAATACTTTTGGTTAAAGATAATTCCACTAAACTACTAGTGATTCAAGGCTTTTTTCTATTAGTTCGATATGTTTAACATGTTATACCATTTAATGCTAAACCCTAAAGAAAAACCCTGAAAAATTAAAATTTAGAATTAGAATAAATACGTATTTTTAAATTATTTAAATTAATTATTTATTTAAAATTCAGCATTAAATGTTTTTAATTTAATAATCATCATGAGTAGACAAGATAATAATATAATAATAATAATAATATATTGATATGATTATATGTTCAATATGTATTTCATATTTAAATGATTTAATCGAAGTTTTAGAAGAATCAGAAGAAAGCCGTATTTTTAAATTATTTAAACGATATTTATTTAAAATTCAGCATTAAATGTTTTTCATTTAATAATCATCATGAGTAGACAAGATCACTATGGACGGCAGTCCATGTAGTGACGAAGCGCACCAGGAGAGTGTGCGAAGGCGACTACTATTATATAGCCGCAAAATTGAAAATCTGCTGTGATAGTCCGATCGTAATGAGTAATACACCAATCGAAAGGTATTGCAAAAACTTAAAGGATTGCATACCAAGACTTTAAGAAAATCAATTGGCTTGGGAGAGAGAGCGGTGAAAGTGAAAAAGTGAAAATTTCGAAATTTGGAGCTGTTGGGGCCGGTGGGGATAAATGCCCCATCGCAATGTTTTAGTTGTATTCCTTTTGAAAATACCCGTCGAATGAGGGGTCATTTGTCAAAATCCGACGCTCAGTTCAAAAGTTATAGCCAAAATAAGATTTCCTTCTTCTTCCCAAAATGAAAATTTAATTCTGTTTGTCAGTTTGTCAGTTTGTCAGTTTGTCAGTTTGTCAGTTTGTCAGTTTGTCAGTTTGTCCAAAACATGTTTCTTAAGTTTTGAAAATTTAATATGACGTTCATCCCATCGATATAAAAAACTTTTGTTCTACCACTTTTGGAAAAACTCGCTAGTTTAGCGGGAAAACAGCTATAAATAGCTAAAATTCGGAAAACCGTAACTTCTATACTACTAAAGCTACAGACTTGTGCTGCATCTTGTTTGAAAGGTATTTTTAAATGCTATAAACGCCTTCTATATGCAATTTGTGTAAATGTAATAATTAAAAAGATATGAACAAAAGACAATTTTTTAAAACTTTTTTTTAGCTTTTTTTATTTTTCTCAAAAACGGCTCTAACGATTTCCTTGAAAACTTTAAACTGTATACCCCTTGAGATTCCTTAAATTTTGGTATATAACACATTACTGTAAAAAGTCACGTTTAAAAGTTATTTTTATACGAAAATAGCCACTTTTGCCAGCTCGAACAACTAAAGCTTCCTGAGTATTGAATTTTGTGTGAGGGTATCCGAACTGTATTTTAGGGTCATGGAATCAGTAAATTTGCACTTAAGAGTTCCATATAGGAATCTTTTGTTCTACGACTTTTGGAAAAAGCCGCTACTTTAGCGGGAAAAAAGCTAAAAATGGCTAAATTTCGTTAGTTTGTAAGTTCTACACTACTAAAGGTACAGACATGTGCCATACCTCGTTTAAAAGGTATTTTGAAATACTTTTTAACTTCATTTGTTTAAATACAATGGCTTACAAATTATGATTGACCAATTTAAATTTAAATGTATATATTAGCTCCTATGAGAGCAAATGTAAACAAACAAAAACTTCTGATATCAAATAAAAACACCTCTTAACGAGGTAAAAAACTAGTGACGATCGCACCTTCAACATACAAAAGTTCTGATATCAACATTTGTGACGAAAAATTATTACACTCGTCATTAAATAGACTTTCTAATATTTTTTTTCATTCGGCACGCTGCAATAGAAAATGCCTGTGAAGGGAAAAAGGCTGGAATAGTCTGCTAAGGCAGGCCGAATGAGAAAATATTAGAAAGTCTATTTAATGACGAGTGTAATAATTTTTCGTCACAAATGTTGATATCAGAACTTTTGTATGTTGAAGGTGCGATCGTCACTAGTTTTTTACCTCGTTAAGAGGTGTTTTTATTTGATTATAAATAAGATAATAATAATAAAACAAGAAAGGAAGCTACCTTCGGCCAGCCGGAGCTTATATACCCTTGCAGATAAAAGAATGCTCACTCGGTGCAGTTCCAGGGATTCCAGATTCAGCGTTTCTATTTATTTAAATTTTGTTTTTAGGTAGTCAAGAATCAAGAAGCCTACTGCCTACAAAGTTACAATGAATTTTCTTACATTTGTTTGAATATGCCTATGGGAGCTTTAAGATATAGTGGTCCGATCCGGCTCGCTCCGACATATGTACTACCTGCAAAAGAAAGAAGACTTTCGGGAAAGTTTCATCGCGATAGCTTTAAAACTGAGAGACTAGTTCGCATAGAAACGGACAGACGGACAGACAGACAGACGGACAGACGGACATGGCTAGATGGACTCGGCTATTGGTGCTGATCAAGAATATATATACTTTATGTGGTCGGAAACGTCTCCTTCACTGCGTTGCAAACATCTGACTGAAATTATAATACCCTCTACAAGGGTATAAATATATTGATATGATGTACTGTTTCAAGGTTTTGTTTAATTTTTTTTTTTTTAATTTTATTTCATTTTATTTATTTTGGTTTTATCCCAGTGCTACAGGCTAATATAAGCCTTTTAGTTATGGCACCAGTCACTTCGGGTACAATATTTTTACATTAGTCATTTTTTAATTTTATATGTTCAATATGCATTTCATATTAAAAGGATTTAATCGAAGTTAATGCTAATTTAAAATGGAGAAATATTTATTTATATTTTGATTATCATCAGTAGACAACATTTTTTAGTAAAAATTTAAAAAACTCCCCTTTTCTGACCCATGTTCATACTCCGCTTTTCCTTTTCAGCCCGAGTCCGTTGCCAAGCATTTCGTCGCCCTTTCGACCAACAAGGAAAAGGTCACCGAATTCGGCATTGACAGCGCCAACATGTTCGGCTTCTGGGATTGGGTGGGAGGACGCTACTCCCTGTGGTCGGCCATTGGACTCTCCATTTGCCTGTCCATCGGCTTCGAGAACTTCGAGCAGCTCCTGGATGGAGCCCATTACATGGATAACCACTTCAGGTCGACGCCGTTCGAGAAGAATGTAAGATCCGGCGAACTGAGCTATTTAAAGCTATTCTTGTTAACCAATTAACATGCTTTTTAGGCTCCTGTTATCCTCGCCCTCCTCGGCGTTTGGTACTCCAACTTCTTCAAGGCGGAGACCCATGCCCTGCTGCCCTACGATCAGTACTTGCACCGCTTCGCCGCCTATTTCCAGCAGGGCGACATGGAGAGCAACGGCAAGTTCGTGAGCAAGGCGGGCAAGGCCGTGAAGTACAGCACAGGTCCGATTGTGTGGGGCGAGCCGGGCACCAACGGCCAGCACGCCTTCTACCAGCTCATCCACCAGGGCACCCGCCTGATCCCCTGCGACTTCATTGCCCCCGCCCAGACGCACAATCCCATTGCCGGCGGCAAGCACCACAAGATCCTGCTGTCGAACTTCCTCGCCCAGACGGAGGCCCTAATGGCCGGAAAGACGGTGGACGAGGCCAGGGCCGAGCTCACCAAGGCTGGACTGTGCGGCAACGAGCTGGACAACTTGCTGCCCCACAAGGTGTTCGTTGGCAACCGGCCGACCAACTCGATTGTGGTGAAGAAGGTCTCACCTTTCACCCTGGGCGCTTTGATTGGTACGTTTAAGAACGATAGTTCTAACTCACAGACACATATTAATTGATTCAATTGATTTTCCAGCGCTCTACGAGCACAAGATCTTCGTGCAGGGCATCATTTGGGACATCAACTCGTTCGACCAGTGGGGCGTTGAGCTGGGCAAGCAGCTGGCCAAGGCCATCGAGCCGGAGCTGGATCACTGCAACGAGGTCTCCACGCACGACAGTTCCACGAACGGCTTAATTAACTTCATCAAGGCCAATTGGAAGTAATCATCTGTGGCTATTTGTTGCAAATTAAAATGAAATGTTGACACAAATGCTCTAATTGTTAGTAGTTTCTGAGCCGTTCTTGAGTAGACGCTACGAACCCCCTGTTATTGGCACATTATTCAACTGTATCTATGAATTGGACTCCTCGTTTGTTTGTTTGCTTGCTGCGTATCGATAAAATCTCATGTCGGAATTAGACCAACAAATGGCTCACCCTATTCGTTGTTGCACGTAGTTTAAAACCACAAATAAAATTTGATGAATTCGGTGTAGAAAACTGTGTGTTTGGAAAACAATTGTAGTTTAATTTCTTGCGGTACGGCAAACCAAGGAATTGCATTTAAACTTAATGTAGGGGGAGCGGCAGGCTAGTTAGTCCATGGATTCATCGGAGTCTGTGTCCGCGTTCACATCGTCGGTCGCCAGATCGTCGTCTGCCGCCAACTCATCGTCCGAAACCATCTTCGAGCTGTCGTCCTGATCCTCCAGGTCGCTCCAGTTGTTCTCAGTCACCAGCGCATCTTCGACAGCCTCGGTTGGATCCTCTGCAAGCAATTGGTTTGATTCTTCGAATCTGGCAGAACAATCTCTTAATAACTCACCTGGGTCCTCGTCCAGAATTAAGGCGTTGCTATCGTTCAGGTGGTTGTCTGCATTGCGCTTCATCTGGCTGATTATCAGGTTAACTCGCCCCGTAATTCTGAAAAGAAGGCATTGAAAAATAGAGACTTATTAGGGTTTACAGAATAAATACACCACAAAATCGAATCTAAATTTAAATGGATCTATTGTGCATCGATGCTGTGAGCTATGACCACTCTACCAGTTCCCATTACGCGAAGACATCAAATCAAAACCTGGGAGCTCCAGTTGGACCAGGAAATGCTCTGCCCATTACCAATATACCCAGCGTGACGAGTGTCATCAATCTGTGCAACAAGCCGATCTGCGATGACGCCGACATGCAGTGCATCGTCGACCTGGTCGATGGCACTATCTGCGAAGCTCTAACCATAATTGAGTCGGATCCGCGGGGTCTCTTTTGTTACAGATTCCCCAAGCGGATGAAAATGTCCTCCATCAGCATGGTCTCCTCAACCTACACGGACACAGTTGTGGCCAGCGGAGAGGACGATGGCTCGATCACGAATCACAACACAGGTTATCTGGGTGTTTCGCAGACTGGATCTGGTTCCAGTGGCCTAACGCGCAAGATGCTGACCATCGCGGATTTCGAGTACTCCAATGCCATCGCGGACATTAGGGATTTCGTCAGCCGCTGGGAACTGTCGCCGGACACCAAGTGCGTGGTCATCAGCAATCCCATTCGCCACGAGGTTCCCATCAAGGGAACCATTCTGTTTGTGGATGCCCATTTCTCCAGGCCAACGCCGCGGTGTCCCAATCCTCTGGCGGTGGCCAAGGTGCGTTTCATCATTACCGTCTCCAAGGTTCTACTCCGTCACTATCCAGTGATGATCACCTACCGCTTTGAGGGCTACAATACGCTGTACTATGGCTTAGGCGATCGCTGCCTTAATTCATTCACCTTTCAGCGCTTCTTCATCGACACCATTTTGCACACCAAGCTTACCTTCTTCGCTGCGATCTCCGAGTGCCGTCACGGCACCATTGAGAAGCCCAAGCATAATATCAAGTTTAAGCATCCCAAGAAGTCGGACAATTGACTTTTTAAAATGTTTTGAATCTGCATAACTTCAAAAGTCACGGAGTTATACTAATATAAATGCACAATTTCAATCTAATTAAAAATCAAAATAAAACAATTTACTGAAATATGTATGTGTGGACTTTAACAATGTAATGAAACCACTCTATAGTTCTTCATAGAACTTCGGATAAAACCAAATTATATTACAAGTTTTTAAAATTATATTGGTCCCATTTAACAATAATGCTACGATACATTATAAAATGTATACCATACCCTCTCCAAATAAAAGAGCCCCTAAAGAAATTAAATAATTCTCCTGTTTAAGATTGTGACTCAATCGAACGAACAGTAAAAGTTTAAAACTGATCCCGTCTTCCAAATAAGCTGATTTCTTTTTCAGAATTGTCGAGCACTAACCGATCTTGAACCCAAAAATGATGGATGAATGTAAGAACGAACAATAGAATAAATACTAAAATAATTTGCCATTAAAGCCCTTGTTTCGTTGTCTTGACCTTCTTGATTACTTACTGTAGTGCTTCCGACAGGCAATGCATGCGCTGCTCCGCCACGCCGAGGCAAACGGCCAGCTTCTCGCGCAACGCCTCCTTGTCCTCTGACATCAGGACACTCGTGTGGGTGGAGGCCAGTACGTGCAGCCAGCGAAGGGCGGAGCTGACACTGAAATAAAGGGGAGTTGGGTAATGAAACTATCTATCAAAGGATTTCGCCTTTTTTCCCACTCACTTGGCGTGCTTTCCTTGCAGCAGGATGGATAGCTCGTTCACCAGGGAACTCACATACTCGAGCGGCAGCCGATCCAATGTCAGCTGTATCGTCTCTGTATCCTGCGTACTCAGAACGGCTTGTATCATCCTGAAAACATAATCCTTTTAGTAATCTTTAATTGATATTCGATTATATCTTACGTTTGATCTTTGCTGTGTAATGCCTGCATCAGCAGTTGCGTTTTGCTCTGTGTCTGCAGCTTGCCGCCGCTCAATTTGGTTCCCTGGATCTTCAGGTGCTGCAGGCGCGCCTCCATGGGCACTTCGTTCTGCACCTTCTTCTGCGAGATGGGCAGTGAGCTGTTGTACTCCACGTTCTTTTGGCTCACCACGGGCTTCAGGACCTTGGTGGCTGCCTGAAAGCCCTTGCTGCTGCTTTCCCTTTTTTTCGCATATAGTTTTTTGGGATCAGCGCGTACAATAACATTCAGTTTCTCCCCATAGTTGGGTGTAAAGCGTTCGAACTGCAGCTGCTGGCGACTTCCGTAGCCGAAGAGGATTTCATGAGAGCGCGTTGAATCGGTCACAAAATGTGCGGCCACTGCAAGAATGGGTTCCACGGTATCGGCGCCATCGGACACGATTTGCAGCGACACCTTGGGCTTAACGAACTTCTCGGCGGATAAACTGTGAAGGGAGGTTTGTAAGTTTTGTCAACGCCTTGAATTCAGTAGTCTCACCTATTAACGTTCAGCAGGTAGATGTGTATATTGCCATTGCGCGTTACGCTGGCCACGCGCAGCTGGCCGTCGTCGCGCACCTCGCTGGCCAGGCAGTAGGCCAAATCCTCCATGAGTAGCGTGCAGGCAGAGGGCTTGTTCTTGCCCTTCCTGTCGATCTTCCAGAAGCAGATAACGCGCTCCATCTTGGCGGTGGTCAGCACGAACTCAGTGCCATCGGTGCAGGCTATGCCGCTAATGGCGTTGATCTCGCCCGAGTGGCCGGTGAAGGTCTCCACCAGCTCCTTCGTCTTCACATCGTACACCTTCAGCTGGCGAGAGCCGACGGCCAGGGCGCGACTCTTTTGCAGATAGGCTATGTTCTGCGGCTTCTCCGGTCCCACCTGCCATTCGGCGATGGAACGCTCCTCCGTCAGGGACCAGACGACCACCCTGCAGTCCGCACCAGCGGTGTACAGATGCCCAGCGTTGTCGTAGACGATGGCGGTTACTGGTCCATCATGGCTATCGCCACTAAGCGTTCGATCAATCTGCAAATGTCAATGGAGGTTTAACTAAGGGTTCTTTTAGTTTCTAGGTCAGTAGCTTTCACTCACCTTTCCCTCGGCCAGAGAGTATATGACTACTGATCCCTTCAGCGTGCCCAGGGCGATGTGTAGCTGCTCACCGGCTGCATCCTGGGCCTGGAGGCTCTTCCGCGACTTCTTCGGCCGCGGGCCGGCCAACGAGACCCACGTGAGCGCCGTGCAAGGCCCGGATACCTGGAGATTGGGCGTAAACTCCTGCTTCAGCGTGTTCGTCTCCGTGTCCCATATCCGCAGAATGCCCTGCTCGTCCACCGAGGCAAATAGTTGGCCACCATTGGGCGAAAACCCCAACACGTGCTTCTTGCCCAGCGACATGGTTTTTTTTTTTTTTGAATTAGAGATGCGCTTGGCCTAGTGTTTTTTAACGCTCACGAACGGCCTAGAACGTGTCACGCACGAGTCACGAGTGTAGGCATCTACCAACGTAATTTTACCCTGTAATTTTGATAATTTTTTAACATTTTAGAATTTAAATGGTATTTTAAATAAACAAAATGTTACTTTTTGAACTAACTTTATTTGCATTAAAATATTACATATTTAATATTTTTAAAATGGTGTAAACTTTAGAAAGTTTTGGTAAAACAATTATTTTTCATTTTTAAACTTTAAAAACCATTTAATCATTCTTTTCTGTCTATTAGAATAATTACTACTGTACCTAGGTCATCGTAATTTTCTTTGTAATCCTAATCCAATTCAGTTAAAATTAAAAAATATATATTCATACCCCATCAACATCCTCTCAAACGCAACTCCCAACGTCATTAAAATCATCTCATTCCTTGAAAAAGCCCAAATTAAGTTCAAAATCTAAATTCAAGTAATAAATAAAAATGTTTCCAATTCGACACCTCGGAAAAGCCCAAATTAAGCTCAAAGTCTAAATTCAAATTATAAAAATAAAAATGTATCTAATTCGACACCTTAGACGAGCTGAAGGCCTTAGCTGCTAGAGCTCTTAATCTTAGTTAGCTTATAGTTTTAACTTTAAGTTTGCTTTATTTTAATAAATAAATAAAAAAAATATATATTCATAGAAATAAATATTTAATAATACTTATCGATAGGCCAGTGCCATCCCTAACCCATCCAGAATGTTCGCGGCCACTTTGAGGTTATAACTCTAGCTGGAATTTACCGACTGACTCCGTGTGAAATCGAAATCTGTGTACAAAAATGGCTTTATCCGTTCCCAAGGCTCCCGGAGTGTCGCAGATGCTTAAGGATGGCGCCCGGGTGAGTGCAACAGGGGGGAGGGACACCGCGTAAGGTCAATCAGACAGCGTTTTCATTGAGATTCGGCTAAAAATGAAAACATGCGTCTCGGGGAGGCGCGTGATTAGTCATCCTCATGAAAGGCAGCCCCACATATGACCGAAAAATGACTAATTTAATGGCTTTCCGTGTGTCCTTTAGATGTACACTGGGCTGGAGGAGGCGGTGTACCGCAACATCAGCGCCTGCAAGGAGTTCGCACAGACCATGCGCTCCGCCTACGGGCCGAATGGCATGAACAAGATGATCATCAACCACATCGAGAAGCAGTTCGTGACCAGCGATGCCGGCACCATCATGCGCGAGCTGGATGTGGAGCATCCGGCCGCCAAGCTGATCGTCATGGCCAGTCAGATGCAGGACGCCGAGGTGGGCGATGGCACCAACTTCGTGGTGGTCCTGGCCGGTGCTCTCCTCGAGTCCGCCGAGGAGCTCCTCCGTCTGGGCATCACCACCGCCGAGATATCCGACGGCTATGAGAAGGCCCTGGAGAAGGCTCTCGAGATCCTGCCCACGCTGGTGAGCCACAAGGTCGAGGACTACCGCAACGTGGAGAAGGTCAAGGAGGTGCTGCGCACCGCGATCATGTCGAAGCAGTACGGCCAGGAGGACTTCATCAACGATCTGGTCAGCAAGGCCTGCGTCTCCATTTTGCCCGATGAGGGCACCTTCAACGTGGACAACATTCGCATCTGCAAGATCCTGGGCAGCGGACTGACCAAATCGGAGGTGGTCAGCGGCATGGTCTTCAAGCGATTCGTCGAGGGCGATGTCACCTACGCCGAGAAGGCCAAGATCGTCATCTTCTCCTGCCCCGTCGACATCATCCAGACGGAGACCAAGGGCACCGTGCTCATCAAGTCGGCCGACGAGCTGCTCAGCTTCTCCTCCGGCGAGGAGAGCCTGCTGGAGAGCCAGATTAAGGCCATTGCCGAGACCGGCGTCAAGGTGGTCGTGGCCGGCGGCAAGGTCGGCGACATGGCCCTGCACTTCTTGAACAAATACGGCCTGATGGCCGTGCGTCTGAACTCCAAGTTCGATCTGCGCCGCCTGAGCCGCTCCGTGAATGCCACCGTCCTGCCGCGCATCACCACTCCCAGCCAGGAGGAGTTGGGCTACTGCGACAAGGTCTGCATCGAGGAGCTGGGCGACACCACAATTGTGGCCTTCAGGTGGGTGGATCTTTTTATACCCGTTACTCGTAGAGTAAAAGGGTATTTTGTATTCGTGCAAAAGTATGTAACAGCTAGAAGGAAGCGTTTTCGACCCATAAAGTATATATATTCTTGATCAGAGTCACTAGCCGAGTCGATCTAGCCATGTCCGTCTGTCTATCTGTCCGTATAAAGCGCTGAAATCTCGGAAACTACAAAAGCTAGAAAGTTGGGATTACCCACACATATTCTTGGGCTTCCTACGCAGCGCAAGTTTATTTCAGCCGAGCGCCACGCCCCCTCAAACGCCCACAATCGCCCACTAACGATTTTAAAAGATTTCCGAGAAGTATAAATGCCATTTTGTTGTGTATATTTATACCTATCGAAATGTAGAAGACATTTTTCAAATTGGACCATTCCTTAAAAAGTTATACGTTAACAAAAAATGTTATATATCCATCTCCCTCGGGACACCAACCAGACTATAGCGTTCTCTCTTGTTTCTTTTAGAAATGAGGGCAAGGACTCGCGCATCGCCACCGTGGTCATTCGCGGAGCCACCGACAACTTCATGGACGATATCGAGCGCGCCCTGGACGACGCTGTTAACAACTTCAAGTGCCTGACCCGGGATGGCCGCTATCTGCCCGGCGCAGGAGCCACCGAGATCGAGTTGGCCACCCAGCTGTCGGCCTACGCCGATACTCTGCCCGGACTGGACCAGTATGCCGTGCGCAAGTTCGCCAACGCTCTGGAAGTATTCCCCAAGGCTCTGGCCGAGAACTCCGGCATCAATGGCACGGACATCGTCAACCAGTTGTATTTGGCACACACCTCCGAGTCGGGCAAGACCATTGGCTTCGACATTGAGGCGGAGAAGGCCAGCACCGTCGACACAAGCAAGGCAAAGATCTTCGATTTGTACCAGGCCAAGTTCTGGGGTCTCAAGTACGCCGTGGGTGCGGCCGCCACCATCCTGAAGGTGGACCAGATCATCATGGCCAAGCGCGCCGGAGGTCCCAAGCCGCGACAGGCTGCCGGCAGCGATGACGAGAGTTAAGCGGCTCCTCTGTGATTCGTCCTCCTTACTATAACTAGTTTCTCCTGCTCCCACAAAGAGTGCATTGTATTTTCATAAACGAGTCCCATGGAAATTATAAATTTCATTAACCACTCTCACACTCACCCACATACACAGCCATGCACACAGTTTCTTGTATTAATAAACTTAACTTACGAAAACTGAAACAAATTACTAAATCTCTCGGGCTCTCGGGGGTATTTTTTAAATAAAACAAGAATTTTTTTCGCACCGAACCCGGTGCCACCGCTAGATAACAATTCTAAGTTAGTTATCGCCTTTTATTTTTTGAAATTTAAGCAAACGATTATTCATTTTGTTGAGTACAATACATATTTCAAATGCTTATTCGCAGATACATTTCAATAATATTTGTGAGGACTCGTCCCCGTTTGCGACGCAAAAGATTTGTATTAATTTTCGAATAAAATACGATCTCGTTGTCGCTTTTCAATTGAAGTGAATAAAACGTGTTAAAGTGTGTTCGATGATCATGATTTTGAGTACGTGTGCTTGTAATGTTTCCATAAACGGTTGTCACCTATTCTTATTAAGTTATAAACAATTGCACATGCACATCTGGGGACAGGACCGACCCATCCGTGCTCCGTTGGATGGTCCGGCTGTCCGCAGGTTAAAATTTGCGATGATAACTCAAAAGTCTCCACGTGAAGTGTCCGTTAAATCGAAAACTGTCCTATGCGGAATGTTTAAGCCGGAAAATGGGCTCCCAAACCAACTGCAGTTTAGATTTGTGGTGAGCCCCCAAAATTACTTTCGAATTGGCGATTTTGGAAAACATTTTGCTGTTTGCTCACGACAGCAAACTGTGGTTCAAAACCTTGTAAACATGTCCTAAAAAAAAAATGCTCTCTGCAAAAATGTGTGATTCTTATTGCACTCTTTCGGAATTTTGCAACATTATGAACTAAAATCACCGCCAATTTAAAATTACTAGTTAAATGCAACATTGGAAGAACCGATCAATAAAACTATACTCTCCATCGACACTAAAGTGTCGATTCCGATGTGAATTCGACAGTCTGGTTCGATGGAAATCTTAATTTTTGAATGCAACATGTAAGTACGACTGTGTGGGATGATGACTTCATCGTGCCTTCCGTACAGGATAATCATTACTTCTCATTCCAATACCGTACAAATATGCCCTATACCATGTTAGTTTGTACAAAAATAACTTGCTTATGGTTGTTACTTTTCTCTCATGCCAATAACATTTTAATTAATTGCGCTCAACACATGATGTGTGGGTTAGTGTAGTGTAGAACAGTGTGGGGTGTCTTTCTTTTAAGAGGGAAAAATCACACATTCTTCTCGACATCTTCGTTAAACTGGGGAAACTGACAATTTTCGGATTATTCGGATATCTGAGTGGTAATGTTGTGGTTCACATAGCGAGAATGATGTACTGAAATAAATTATCGGTCTTTACAATCTGTTTCTTTTCATTGGATATCGGCCTAATACGCCGTAGTGAATCAAAATGGAGAAACTACGCTAAAGAGATAAATATTGAATATATATTTCTCGATTTCTTTGGTATTATATGCTCTTGCTGCGTTACTGCAACGGTTCGTAATATATTTTGACTAAGAAAAACTGGATTATAAACGCACTAAATATTGCGATAAGTTCAACTAGCTTGTTGTTGTTGTGGGTAGCATTTCTGCTTCGTGTTAAAGCTTTTAAAGTAATTCAATAAGATATTTGCGTATATTTGCCGTTAGTGGTTTCGGTTTCCACTCGCTGGTGGTTAATAAGCTTCAAAATACATACATTTTCAATTCAACTTGATCTCCTCCTTCTATATCTTTGTCTTAATCGCGATCTCTCGCCTTGTTATCTTCTCAATTTTCAATAAATATAACAGATATTTCTCGAAATAAGAAGGCAAAATATATATATGTATTTCCGTTTCGGTTGAGTTTACGTTTATTGATAAATTTGTATGTCGGATTACGCTGATATTTTGTATATATAAGTGTTTCGGTTTAGGTAGAGTAGTAGATGCTATAGTCAGCGCTTTAATTGTCGTTATAGTTGGGATATTCGTGTACATAAACAACGTTACTAATCGGGAAGGAAACAACTCTGATATCTTTGGAACAAATGCTTCGATTTAGATTTGAATTTGGATTTGCTATCTGATTCTGTTTTCGGACATTACTTGTTAACGTGAATGGTACACATTGATATATCGATTTATATAATATAGATATTCCTTGCAATTGGAATTCAAACTTCTTGTAACTATATTGCTTATGACAATCGTAGTTATTGTGGCTTTTACACAAAGATATATTGATCCAGGTGGAGTTGACCGGTACTGAGAAAGTACTCCACACACATTCGCGTCTTAATCCATCTTGCTAAACTAAAAATAAACTAAACGTCCGCCGGCGATGTTTAACTTCTCGACTCCTCGACTCCAGCGGACCTCCGACTCATCCTCCTTAGAGGACGGTGCACGACGACTTCTCGCGGAACGGATTCACCTTCTGGCTGGTGAACCCGGTCAGCAGGTAGTCCTCCTGCTCGTGCTCCGTGATGTACTTCATCATCTTGGCGCACGACTCCGAGATCGTCTGGCGGTCGATGGCCGCCTCGCGACGCAGCTGCTCCACCACGACGCGCTGCTGCTGCAGGGATGATGACATTACGTCCATGATGGCTGTCTCGGATAGGCCTATGGTTGAAAAGGTTCTCAGTGTTACGGATACTGGGAAATGCAATTACAGGATGGTGGATGTGTGTGCTTGTGCTTGTGTGGCTTCGCCAAATGGCTGGGGCTTATCGTTTGTTTCTGGGTTTACTGGTTTGGATGGATCTTAATGGCTGGCTGGAAATAACAAGTTTGGTTATTTGTAGTTAAGATATCTGTTTTTTTAAGGGCTTTTCCCACACGAGTACAACATTGAACAGGCGACAGCGACACAAGGCTTATTACACCAGTTTACAACAAAAAATTAACCTCTTCTGTTAAAGTACATCTCTCTAATTAAGAAATGGTGGTGTTAAATTTTTTTAAGTGTAAAAAACGTTTTTGATCTTTTTTTTCTTTTCTATCTTAAGTTCTGGTAATCCGATTGAGGTCATCGAGGACTCAATTTAAAGGTAATATAATGCCTTTTAAATGTCTTATATAGAACATTGAGTTCCAGTCATTAGTTTAGAAGCTACACCTCGTCAAAGTTTTAAAAAGTTTAAAAAAAAAATGCAAAAGCTATGGCATAAATGGCTTCGTTAAAAACCGAAATTAATTTTATAACTTCTACTTAAAGATACAACTTTAAGCAAATTAACAAAACCATTAGCTCAAGTAGAAGTAGGAAGAGGTCAATTTTTTTTGGAAACTGGTGTTATCTATAATCTATACGATTTCCGATTCTAGGATAGAGATAGAGATAGTTTAGTGTTTAGTTTTAGGCGGAAAGTTAGGATAGCTGGTGAATCACTGTTTTTTAGGGGCAGGCATTAGTTCAATCGATCGCATTGGCGATTAATTTTCCAGGCTAACTGGAAACCTTGACACGGACAAGTGCAAGGTTATTCACTGCGAAAAGTGGGCGTGGGAGGAGGGCGCTGGGCGCCACATGTCACTGGGGATGAAAAAACCACGTTATGTACAGAAAACACACGGCAACTGTTTTGGAAACACCCATAATTATAGTTTTCCTTATAGAATAGTGTAGTGGGGGACACACACAAACACACGGAGACATATTGCGTCGTGTGGTAAACATAGGGGGTTAAAGGGGGAAAGGTTAGGAGTTCGACGGATGCACACACAACACACAACTAGATTTGCACACTATTAGTTAATTACCAGCTCCGCTTTATTAATTTTTTGTTCTCGAACGCTACGGACCAAAATCGAGCAAAGTTGACGAATAAAAAGTGGATACACACCCAAACTAGCGATGTGCTTAATCGCGATAGTTTCGACGCGTGAGTGCGGCCGAGTGCCATCGCTAATACTTGCCTGCTGCAGAAAAACATTCGGTTTGGCCGACTTTTTTAACTCCATGCGCTCTGCAAAATGATGGCCAAGGACATCGGATCGGTGGCTGCCGCTGCCCTGCCGACCGCCCTCATCGACCACGAGTGGTCTGCCGAGGAGGAGCTGCAGCTGTTCCACGCCATGGAGGGCCTGCGCCCGGTGGGCATCAACAAGCACTTCTACATGTCCTGCATCGCCCAGCGATTGTCCAAGTCCCTGAACCGCGAGATGCCCAGCGAGCTGATCTGGCGCCACCTGGGCACCATGTACAAGCTGAAGGAGCTGGACGACCTCGAGTCGCTGCCTTTTCCGAATGAGGAGCGCGAGTTCAGCCTGCCGGAGCAGGATTACGGAACGCTACAGACCAAAAAGGCCGTGGAGGTGAATGCCGGCGAGGAGGCTGGCGAGGCACAGCTGGCCTAATGGCCCCAGCCACAGAGAGCAATGGCAAAGGTAGATCTTCAGAAATTATCAAGGTTCCCCCTTTAACTGTTCCTGTTTTACAGCTCCACCTGCTACCAAAGCGCCGGTGCCGGCGATTCCTGCCAAGGATTCAGAGAAAAAGGCCGCCTCCAAGCCGCAGGAGCTGCCCAAGCGTCCGGCCAAGCGCACTCGTGGATCCATGTCCAATGAATCCATCAGCCCCTCGACCACTCCGCCGCCGGTGCAGAGCAACAAGCGCCGTCGCATCTAGAGGAGCTCCCGGTCCTGCCCCCCACTCGAAATGGACGATCTGTTATTTTTACCCGTTTTAGTTCACTAGCTTTACTGTACTCGTACTCTAATAAAAGGATTTATTCTTCGAATTCGTTTTCCTCCTCGTTGGAGGCGTGGTCGCCGTCCTGCGAGACGCCCTCGGTGGCCTGCATGTTGTCCAGGAGCGATTTCAAGAGGCGCCTATTCAGGTGGTCCGTCTGCGTCAGCTCCCGAACGGCCTGCTGCGGAGCATCCGTGTCCTCCGGCGGCGTGGTGTTCCCAGCTGGAGTCGGTGTCTCGGCCATGGCTTTAATGTGCTCCAAAACAGGCATATTTTGCATTTATCCGATTCCGAGAGGTTTCCGTGATTCAGTTTCAGGGTGACTACAGATAACCATTCGAAACCTATCGATTCGAAACCTATCGATGTTTTTTCCGTCAGTCTTAGTTTCCCACCTCTAGTTCGACCCAGCTCCAATTGGATTCCAGATTCTCCCGCTCGAATTGAAATTTCGTAATTAATTTAATTTAAAATGTTTGTGCCCGAAACGGAGGACATGCTGCCCAGATCGGCGCCCAGGCCAAGTGCAGCGGTGCCCATGGGCCTCACCAACGACATTATACGGCCCACTGTGCCGGAGGTGTCCATATTGTTTGGCCAGGCGCCGCAGGAACAGCAGATGCAGCAGCAACAGCCGCCTCAACAGGAGCCATCTCCTCGGGCGGCACCCACTTTCGCGTCCTGGACGAAGCAGATGCTGCCCCGGGTCAACTTCTCGCCCATCCTGGCCACGGAACTGGGACCACGAACTGCACCGAGCAACAGCAATAACAACAACAACAGTCCTTGCTCCTCCAAGGAGTACATCATGATGCCCAGGGATCGCAACTACACAAACGATTCACCACTGACGGCCAATCACATGTCCAGCAATCCTGGACAGCAGGTCTATCAAACCAGACGTCTCTCTAGCTCATCCAATGCGGATGTCCTAACGATTTGTGCTGGCACACAAACAGAGATCTTTAACCCTTCACCCCCGCGGAATTCGTTGCCACCAGTGGTCTACTCCGACATCGATGTCAGCCACCTGGCCAACAAGAGTGATCTGGCTGCAGTGGTTTCCCTCTTGGAGTCCATGCGCCAGGAGCAGCGGGAGCTGAGGAATCTCTGCGAGTTGCTCTTGGAGCAGCAGCAGCAGCGGAGCAAACCCAGCAGGACAACTGCCAGCCAGTGTGATATTTTGACTACCAATAGTGGTGGGTAAATCTGAAATGTACTATAAATAAAACCCAATAAAACTAACCTATTTAACAGGCAGACGAATATCTCCGATTATACAGGATTACATAGCGGAGGAGGAGGAACCACTGCCTTCACCGCAGGCTCGCGTCATTCCCCAGTTTCAATCTCCGCGACCCAATCCGCCAATGGCTCAATCCACGGGCTACCGGGCCAATACGCCGCAGGGTAAACGGATACCGCAACTGGCCAAGCCAAACACCGAAAAGAGCCTGGTGATGAACGAACTGGCGCTGAAATACTTGCGCCAACCCGTCGACGAGCTGATGAAGGACATGCGTCTGAGCGCCTCGCCCAAGTCGCCTAATCCCGAACCGCTGCGCCAAATCGACAATCTCGCCCACACACCGGGTCCCAATGATATTTCAAATGCTTCCTACAAGTATCTTAAGAAATACCGCCTGCTGCCCGAGGAGCAGATGGAACATGTGTGCCCCCAATCTCCGATGGCGGCGGCTTCCGCCTCCTCGCCGCGAATGCAACTGGACTTGGAGAACATCAGGAACCAGCCAAAGCTGCTGTAAAACAAACTCGATTTTTGTTTTGTTATTTATGCATATGTCTATTTGCGATTTAAGTGGAAATATATTTCAATACACGGAATAACGTTGACACTCATCTGGCAAAAATGCCAGCCTACATTTAGTTTACAAAACATAATAGACATTCATATTTGAAGACACAATAAGTATAAACGTTCAGTGAGCTTGCCTTTTGAGGCTATAATCGAAACTCTAGCGCAGAACCAATTGCAGTTCGGCTGCGGACTGCAGGAGGACCTTCAGTCCCTGCATAAAGCCCGCACACTGCGCAAAGTCCGTGCCAAAGGCAATGCGGGTGTGGATCTCCAGTGCGTTGGCATAGTCCGATATTTGAATGTACTGTATTATTTGATTCAGATATTGCACCGTTGTGGGAGTTAGCTGGATAAAGATAAAGGTGTTATTTGACCGAAAAAACTGAGAGATCTTAATCTACTCACCTTGCCATCTCTCAGGCAGTCGTAGAGGTTTTCCAGCCTCTTTACAACATCAACAAACTTGCGTTTCGTGCGCTATAAAATGATCAGAATATGAGTTAGTCTTCTATCTATAGAAATGATTTAAACCTTTACTCACCGGATCGTTGGTTGCGCCCAGGCATCGGTTCTTCAGCTCCTCGAGCACAGTCTGCAAGTAGATGTACTCCTCGGGCAGTGGCGGCTTCTCCTTGGGCGGTTCCGGTTGGCGCTGCTGCTGAATGGGAGCTGGCTGCTCGGTATAGCCAATGGTCTGCTGCTGTCCCTGCCAGTTCTGCTGCTGCTGACCTCCTTGATTCGGAATCCCCGAAGGCTGCAGGTTGAGTTGCTGCTGCTGAGGCTGGAGATACGATTGCTGTTGCTGCTGCTGGGGATTGTTGTTAAAGGCAGCCGGATTGTAGTAAGCATTTGGAACTCCTCCAGGTGGAGGTGCATTCTAAAAGAAGGAAGCAATTCAGTAAAGACGTTTCAAGGAAAACTTAGTTATATTTTAGGGTTCGGAAAATTACACACACTGTAAATAACTTGTGTTATTAACATGTTAAGTGTCAAAGTATTAAGTTCAAAAAAGTAATTGAATACATATGTTAGAAACATAAATAACACACACATGTCATTTGTGTTATTTACACGACATGTTATTAACACGACGTGTTGTTTACACATCGTGTTTTTAACACAATGAAATACACAAGTCGGCTGTGTGTGCTAACAATTATTTTTCACATTTTACACTTTTGTATTTGACACACATGTCAAAAACTTAGCTCACACTAAAAATAAAATTTTTCATGTTTTTAACATGTGTGTCAAATTTCGAACCCTGTTATATTTTACCTGATACTGAGCAGGATCCACATAGCCGTTTTGATTTTGATTGGGGTCGACTGGAAACAGGGGATGGAAGATGGCAGCACTCGGTTCCACAACGGGCTTCGGCTTGGGCTGAACAACAAAATCAATTTATTAATAACTTTAAAATCTTTAATTTTCATTGCAAACACCTACCGCACGCGATGATTTCAGTGCCGGAGGATCGTTCCAGCCAGGCGGAGGTGTGGGATTCCGTTGCACATTCTGGATGACCGGTGGAGCAGCCTGAGGCGGCAGGGTTTCAATGGGATTCACACCGGGCAGGAATTGATTTTGTTGAGCTCCCATGAATGGCGATGGATTGTAAGGTTGGGCGGGCGCTATCGGATTCGTGTTGAATGCATTGCTATTATAGGTTGGCACGCTGGTGGGCTGGGGTGCCAGGCCTGCTCCGCCGATGAAGGGCGCGGGAACGGCCGAAGGAACGGGGGCAGGCACTGGGTTGTATGGCATGCCGTAGGAACTGGTTGGAGCCGCCACCGATGGATCCAGTACGTATTTGGAGCGCCCCGAAAGCACCGATCCGCCTGAGGATGCTGCTCCTCCTGCCGGCGGTGGACCGCCCGAGGAGCTGGCGTTGCTGAGTGGTCGCGGAGGTTGGGACAAAGGTTCCGGCTTGATTGGCTGCGGATTGAAGAGCTGCGGCGGCGGTTGTGGCTGCTGCGGTCCCGGATAGGCGGTCTGCAAAGGCGGCACAGGTGCATTCCAGCTTGGCTGGGCAAACTGATTCACCGGCTGGCCGTAGGGCAGCGGAACCGAAGGCTGCGGCTGTGAGAACGATCCCCGACCTCGCTGGTAACCAAGCGGAGCAGCAGCAGCAACCGGCGCCTGTGGCTGGGAGTAATCCAGGTTGACAGCGTTGTTGATCCGATCGCGCAGGCTCTGCAGAATATCGTTCTCGTTGGCAGCTCCGCCACCCAAAGTGGTAATGTACTGCAAAGCGGCAGTCAGTGCTCCCTGGGAGGCCAGCAGACCGCCGTACTCGGTCAGAAAGCCGGCAAAGCGACCAGCCAGGTCCACTGATATGCCCTGCTGCTCCAGGGACTTGCACATCAGCATCACCACCTCGGCCAGGTCCTGTAGCTCCGTGGTGTTGGGCTTGTAGCCGGGGTTCTGTTGCTCCAGTCGCTTCAACTGGTACCAAGCGGTCACCAGTTTGTCGATGCTGCCGGCGCAAATATAGCAGAGCATGGCATTGCGCGTAAACTCAACGCTGGAAGCGCACTCACTCAACAGACGATCGCCCAGGCGCTCGCAAATGTCCACCACCTTGCGCTCGCTGTGCTTCAGGGCGGCCACCAGGGCCTCCCTCCACGAGTCCACGGTGCAGCGGTTGACAAAGTCCAGCCAGTCACGGGAGACCAAGGCGGAGATCACGTGCGACAGCTCGTTCTTCTGCTGCAGCAGGTAGCGGGTTTGAGTGCGCGTCAAGGTCTCAATGCCAGCCGTCGAGGCGATGATCAGGGCTTCCGGAATGCGCTGGGCCTCCAGGCAGAGCTCAACGGCAGCCTCCACATTGCCTGTGAGTATGGCCTCTGCAATCAAGCTATCCGAGTCTGTAAAGTATATAAGTTCGAATAATTACTAAATGGTTACGAGGCATGAAAAGATCCAATGAATTATTTTGAATTGTTTGCTTTATATGAATGAATTAATTTGAATTGAATGAATTAGAAAATAATTCTAACGACAATTTCTTTTGAAGAAGAAAGAGCCATAATTTTGTGGTAAAATCTGCCTGAATTTTATTTACTATGCAGTTAACATTGATTTGTTAAAGATTTTCCACTTTTTGTTCTCAAAAAATAAGCACAAAAAAAATCTGGCAAATTCAAAAAATTTATTAAATTTATTCATTCATTCATTCAATTCGAAATTGAATTTAAGAATACTAGGATAAAACAAAAATTGAATGATTCACGCAGGGCTCTATAACGAGCGAAGTTGAAAAAGATATCATTGCTTTTATCAAGGCAGTGAAACATTGTGTGATTTCCATCTACACCTCTAATAGATATTATCTATACCTATAATATAGATAACAAGTAATCAACACAAGTGTAAATGTTCACCTACTGATATTGGCAAACTTGCTTTACTTACGATCTCCGCTGGGAACCTTGAATTGCGGCCTCGGAGGCGTGGCAAAGTCGTTGTGATTTTGTGGCTCGATTGCATTTCCATCAAACTTGTTGTCCTGCGTCTGCTGTTCATGGAAAATAATAAAAATACGTTAAAATTTCCTTTTAAATAACTTTCTAAAACTGCTATTAATTTAGCTTTGATCGCGTTTCTTATGTCCCAGCTCTTACCGAATTATCGGTGCTATAATTTGTACTCTGATCGCACTCAACCTCCGAAGAATCGCTCTTAGCATAGCATTATCGAACAGAAATATACAGGGCAAGATGAACATACATTTTGGGACATTGATAGTGCACGCATGCTGTTTTTTTGAACTGATAAGAAGTACTTACATGCGTGAGTGTCGAGATGCGGGTCGTGAGCGTATCCACGTCCGATTGCGAGTTTCCCTCGGTTTCCTTGATAAACTTGTTGAACTTGCTATCGGTGTCGTCTTTGTTGTAGCCTTAAAAACGAGGAAATCTTAAAGTGTGCTCTTGATTTTGCTTAGAGTTAACTTACCTAAGAGATTGAGCATTTCCTCCTTGGGATTAAGCTCAAAGTTCGCCTTGATGAAGTACCAAACGTAGCGTCCATGCTGATCGACGGTCTCGTCGGCCCTCTGCCGGCAGTATTCCGAGTAGTTGGCATCGACTAGTGAGCGTTCCAGGGCATTGGCCCGCTCCACCAAAGCAGATTCGGTGGTCAGCTGCTGCACCTTGACCGTTTTCGAGGTGCCATCGAAGCTGACCAGCTTGCCACCAAACTAAGGAGTAAAAAGAGGGTTCATTAATTACGTTACACAAAAAATCTAAAGTTAACTCACCCCGAAGGCAACGCCACAGGGTCGCTTCATCCACTTGGGAGCGTGTGTGAGGTCATGATAGACCACCTGGGTGGCCTGCTGGGGAATTGGCTCCTGGGCGAACTGATCCATGCCCGGAAACGAGTCGGCAATCTTGTTGGAGGTCTGCACCATGTGGTGAGTGCCTCCGTGCAGGGAGTAAATCGAAACAGCTCCCTCCAGGCTGGCGCTGGCGATGAGTGCCGGATTCCGTGGGCAGAACTGGACATCCGAGTACCAGGAGGACGTGGTGGCCACCTCTGAGAGGATTTCTCCTTCTGGAATCTTCGTGTTGGGGTTCCAGCAATAGATTCGGTTATCCTTGCCACACGAAACCATCAGATCGTTGTCCTGCAGGCACCACGACATGCCCAGCACTCCGCGCTCGTGAATCTGGTAGGTTTTCGCCGGAGCCGTGGCATAGCGCAGATCCCACAGCTGCACCACCGGCGCCTGGTCGTCCTCGGAGGCCAGCCAGACCTGCGTCG